TATATTCTTTTCTGATTCAGTAATATTATGTGGTGAACAGATTGTAACACCTGCATCAATATAAGAGTCTTCTTAAAATCTACCTAAATAATTGCCTAATTAAACACCTCCATAGGAACAACCAATAGCTAATATTTATTTGAATTTGTATTTTTATTTTAAATATTTAAGTGTGTAGTGTAAATCAGCAGCTAAATCAACTCTAGTAGTTTATCCTGTAATAACATCATTACGAAAATATTATTAATCAATTCCTTATAAATCAATTCCATAATCTTAATAAGGAGGAACAAAGAGGAAATTAGCTTCTTTTGATAACATTCTATAAGTGTATATGCAAATGTTGTTAAAACCATATTGATGAGCTTAAGTAATAAGACTATTCACATATCTATTTGATTAAGGATGCACTCTTACCCATTTTAGACTTTTCCAGTCAATCCAGGGATAATCAATAATAAAGGTTAATCACAATTAATCTATTATCCCTTGTCTACAAAATCTACTGAAATTCCTGTATCACCAATCTTTTCTAAATTTGATATGTGTTTCTCCTTTGGTCTTGATATTGTAGGTATTACAGTATGTAGAAATCCACAGTAAAATGCAGGAGGTCTATAAGATGTAAGTGATGGACAATTTTCGATTATTTGATTCTACAATTCAGTATTCAATGAATACAATTCTACTTAATTGCTTGTATAATTATTCCAAACCAAATAACTCAAATATGAACAACATCCTCCTAAAATACCCACTTTCATAAAACTATAATTATTTATGATATTAATATTTAATATTATCAAACAATTTTTAATATTCCTATTATCATTAACTTCACTCCATATAATGTTTGAATCATTTAGATCTCTACCTAATTATTTTCATTATATCAACTTATGGTCTCTTTGAATATAAAGATTTTCAATCTTTGACACATAAATTATAAATATCAATTTTAATTAATAATGTTCTATATTGTAATTCTTTAATTTATTTAAATTTTTAAATATAATTCTTTTATATAATTTATTATAATTCTTGTATATAATTTATAAAAATTCTTAAATATAATTTAATATAATTCTTGTATAAAATTTATAAAAATTATTATAAATAATCACAATTATTATTTTAATTATTTATGAAATTGCAATACATATTGTAGAAATCTAACATTAAGATTATCTTACATATATAAATTAAAAAATAATTTGATAAAAAAATATTTTATTATTTTAGTTATTCCCACTTTTATATAAAAACAATCATGTTATAAAATAAATTAAATTCATTTATCCAAATAGCTGCCAATGTTCTAATAATAATCACTATCTAAAATTCTTTTATATATCTATTATTAATTTATAAATTGGATGCTTTCAATATTTTCTAATTAAAATCTTTGTAAATAAAAATATTCAATTTTTTTTGTTAATTAGATTTAAATATACCCTACTCACTAACACAAAAAATCTTATTTTATAGAATTTTCCTATGTATTTATGTGTTCAATTTTCAATATTCTTCTCAATCTAGATTTTATATTATCTATTTGATGATCTCTATCTATTCAATCTTTAGAAATTTCAGTATTCCTTTTATCATTTATATTCTTTTGGATTCTTAAATGTTAAAAGCATTGTGAATAGAAATCTATTCAAATAAGATTTAGAATAGTAGGTAAATAATGATGGACAACTTTTTATCAATCTTATTATAAGTTTGATGTATTAATATATTTCTTAGAGTTTTAGTGATATTAATAACAATTTGGAAAGATATGATTTTCTTTATTTTATAAATTTCTTAATTTATTAATTTATATTATTACAACTCTTGCCATGTTAAGAATTTCTAAGACTTTATTTTCAAATCTTACAAATTTAAATCGATTCACTTATCATACAATCAATGACTAAATCAAATTAACAGACTTCTGTATTCAGGTACATTAGATGAATAATGAAGGAAATTAAAAAAAAATAAACAACCAAATTTCCAAATAAATTTTTAAGATTAGGAGTTGATGGAGCATGTATTATTTTATCAACTAATTTATAGAAGGATGTTCAGGATTTAAATACTCATTTAACTTTGATGATTAAATATTAGAAGAGGATTATGTTTTGAAAGAATAAAATGAAATAATATTTGTTGTTGATGAAATCACTCTCAAATTTGTTAATGGTTGTATTATTGATTATGAAAATAAAATGATTAGAGCTGCATTTTATGTAATTCTTAAATTTATTTTTTTAGGTATAAGAAAATCCAAATGCAGAGAAATCCTGTAGTTGTAAAGCATCATTTGCTCCAAAACCCGAGTTATTATGACTATTCAATTATTAATCAATATTAGAATTATTAATACTTATATAATCAATATTTTTAAAGTGTCTTCGGTATTTACTTCATACGAAAGTCATTAAACTCATGAACTATAGTAATTTAACATTTATTTAAAATTATGAACTAAAAACAAATCACAAATCATAATAAACTTGAATTTGATAAAATACAATTAGCATTTAATAGAAATAGAGTTCGTTCTGTGTTTTCTGATATATCCAATTTAGAGTTTTCTTGTGTCACTATTTAAGGAAAACATAATTATAATATAATAAAAGAACAATAAAAATCTTAAACAACTAAACGAAGAAATGCAATAATTCCTTGTTAGATAAAGATTCCAACATTATTTAATAGTTATCCAGAATACTAGTAATAAATAAATAAGATAAGTAAATGTTCATCATTAGAGAAACCTATATTATGGTATCTTTAAACATATGATTAAGAAATAAAATAATATGAAAGAGAAATTGAATAAAGAGTAAATGTGTTTTTATGTACTTTAGAAATACGATAGTAATTTTGATATAAGTTAACATTGTTTTACAGAATAATAGTTTGAAAAGGCATTAGATTGGATGATATATTAGATTTATAGATTTGAAAGTTTTAGTTATGAATCATTATTTAAAACAATAGAATTGGTTCATTTATATTTAAGTAAGACAAAGTAAGTGAGATTCAAGGATTTAGAACTAATATCTGGATGTTGTATCTACTTATCATCAAAATTAGTTGATTTAAATCCTATATATATTGAAGATTTAATAAATTAAGTAAAATTAAAGTTAAAATAGGTATTGGAATGTAGATTTGATAATGAATAAGTATTGAGATAAGAGAAATAAATTTGTTAAGTACTTAATTACAATTTACTCTGCACTTGTTCTTTATAAATAGTTTATAGAATTTTGTAAGAGATAAGATATGAAATGGAGTAATTTTATGATGCAGGAAAAATAGAAAGTATAAAAAGATAAGTATTGGATAATTTATTATTAATGGAATTTGGAAATAAATTTAGATAGATTTCATAATGTAATAGAGCAGTAAGTTGCATTTTATTAACAATGATTGAGAATAAGATTGATAGAAGAATTGTAATTATATGATAATAATTTAATGTGTTAAGCGGTTTTGGGCAGTGTAAATCATATTGAAATGAACATTAATTGGATTGAGAGAAATGCAATAGAATTAAAATAGTACATAAAGGAAAATAAAGATAGATATAGAAATAGGAACTATTTATTTTATTGATTTTTTTATGCGCCAATAAATAAATAATATAATTTAAATTATGTCAGATCAATGCACCAAGGGCACTAATTGGGGTGTGGTTTCCATTGATGATAAAAATTTATGTATGAAATATAATCAGAGTAACATAATCAAATTGCCACTAAAGAAAGTAGTAAATTCAAACACTTAGAAAAATGATATCGTACTTTAATTGAGTACAGATGATTATGGAGAGAAGTATAAAAATAATAATAATATATAAGTGATGATATGTTATGTGAAGTCAGATTTTATATTCCTCCATAAGAGTAGGTAATTTAGTTAAAATAAAGTAGAAATTGAAATAAGAGAAGGAAAAGAAGAAACAAGAAAATGAAGATAATTAGAATAGTATGGAAGAAGAAGATGATGGAGCAGATGATGATGCTGAACCAACATTCTAATAGAAATTACAAAATGAAATATTAACTAAAGCCAAAATAGGTTAAAGTAGTGCAGATTCTATACTAACTATTCATGATGTTCCATTAATTGTACCAAGGTAATTGATTTATTTAATATATTCAATAGAGGTAAATATACTATGGATTTCTTTAAAAAAGATATTAGATTTCATGGAAATACCTATCAATTTACAACTGATTATAAAGGAATCTCAAGATTCTTTTTATTGCCTATGCCAGATGAAATTAATCTATCTTTTGTAATTGGTTTAGAACATCCTTTTAAATAAGGTCAGACAACTTACAATTTTCTTGTCATGTAATTTAAAAAGGATTTTGAAAATGAAATTAAACTAAAATATAGTAGACAAAAATTAGATGAAATTGGATGGAAAGGAATAAAAGAAGAATATTCTGGACCACTTTATGATATAGTTTGTGAAGTATTAGCTGAAATTACAGGAATTAAAGTTGTATCTCCTAAAAATTTCAAAAGTAAAAATGGTCTATTTTGTCTGAGATGTTCAGTTGGTCCTCATTCAGGATTTCTATTTCCATTAGAAAAATCATTAATATATTTATAAAAACCAGTATTACATATAAAACATGAAGAAATAAAAGAAGTTATATTTTAAAGAGTAATATTTATATCTCTAAATATATTAGATTGGTTCAACAAATTTAAACAAATTCTTTGATGTTAAAATTGTATACAAAAACTAAAATTAATTATTTTCAGGAATAGAAAGAGATGAATTAGACAATTTGACTTAATATTTCTAATAAAAGAAAATAGCAGTGAGAAAATTATAAGATGAAGTTCCTCATATTCCTTTAGATGATAGCGATGATGATGAAGATGAAGATGATAGTAGATAAAAAAAGAAGAATGTATATAATCAATTTTTTAATTATTTTAGAAGACTAATATAGATCCAAATAATATGGATTCTGATGATGATGATGATGATTTTCATGCTGCAGAAGATGATGAAGATGGAAGTGGAAGTGAAGATAGTGATGAACCAGAAAGTGCTTCTAGAAATTAAAAATGATTATTCATTCATCAGATCAAATTCTTTATATTCAATTACACATTTTCAAGTTTATTAAAACATATTTCATAAGTTTTTGTATTATTAATCTTTCCTTTTCTTCTTATAGTCATATTAGCTATTATTTTATGTAAAATATTAATTGCAATTCTCTTCCTCAAATGAAGTTTGATTCATTTACATTTATGGTTGTTATTAAAATTATTAAGGTTGAGGTTCTTCTAAAAATGTAGTCTTCATTTTAAAAGCAGCAGGCTCAGATGTCAATAAAGGATGTTTTGATATTTAATATCGTACACTATTCTTCTCTAATATTTGTAATACTTCATCACTTTTTTTTCTTACCCATTCAATTAGTCCATCCATAGATGGAAATGATATTATTTATGCAAGAATATCAAATTGTCCTTAAAAATATGCCTATCTTTCTAGATTAGCAGCTGTCTTATGGAAATTTGATAAAGAACTTGTAGTTTTTTAGAATTGCTATTTTAGTCGATCAAGAGAATTCATAACTTTAATTAATTGAATGCCATAATTATTGTATTATTTATATGATTTTCTTCAACTGACAGACCTTTATCTCCATGAATTAACCATTCCTTAAATGAAAACTCCTCCAATTCCAAAAAAACTTGCCACTTGGTAATTGAATGTTTTATCATCATTAAACCCATAAGAAAATGAGTCTAAAATAAACATTCCTGCAAACAAACACACATATCCTGTTAATATTAATAAAGCCTAAACATAAGTAAGTGCTGCTTATTTCAAAAATGGTTAAACCATTCCTACCAAAAATCCTACTAACATCAAACAGAACGCAGCTATTGAGAGATTCAAGTAGGTTTTATATTTTTCAGGATCTGAAGTTGGTATGTTCGTAATATCTGCTGTTAATTAAGTATTATTATCATCATTCTCTTTTAGGTATGATACAAATGCCAAATTACAAATTACAACCAATGACATGAATGTGTTACTCAACACTAATCTGATTTTAATATCCCTACATATTTTATATAAATATCATACAATCCCATTCTAATCTTTTCTTTTTATTAAAAATATTATTTATCTCAAATTCCTCTACAGCCCTTAAGAATACACCATATTCTTAAAATTAAAATTTATCAAATCAAAAATGCTTTTTCTTAACTAATTTATGAAGAATTTATATATTTCTTTACACATCAATCTCTTTTAACTTGAAATGTTTAATTTTATAGAATAGAATAATATCCATAAAAATTATAAAAAAAGCCTCTTAATTATAATATTTAATATTAATATCTATTAATATAATTATTGAACTCTTAATAATATATATATCTCTTAAATGATGATGTAAATTTTGAATCAAATGTTCTTTTCAATCTGCTTAAATTTGTAATAGATTTTGATTTTAATAATCATTTTCATTTTAACAATTTGATGTCTTAGCATATAAAATATCTTCCTTTCCTTAGCTTAATGATGTGGAAATCTACCCTAAACTATCCTAATCATCATTTGTTTAAATATCACTAAATAAGTTTTTTATTGAATTGTTTAACATATGAATTTTTTTTTCAATTCTTTTACATATTTATTTATTAAATTCACTATAATCGTTGAAAATTTATTAGGATTAAAAATACCTCTCTTTCATATTATTTAGTTTCGGACAGGGGTTTATTAATTAAAATTGAAATCCATCCTTGGAAGATATACTTTCAATTTGAGAAAACAAATATTGTACATCTTATAAAACTTGTTCTGATTTAGATATGTTTTCGAGAATTCTTTTAATTTATTCATAAGATTGGCATTTTTCTAATTTCTAAAAATTATTTTTGGACCTGACTATAATAAAAATTTACTCTTTGATTTAATTCAAAAGAATGTCAAAATTCCCATTAATAATTTACTACATTTATTTTACTTCTGTCTCAAAACTATCAAACATTTTTGATAAACTAAAGAATAAATTTACAATAAACCAGTATTTAGTATTCATTTCTTCATCATGATGCTTTTTAATGTGAAATTGTTAACTGTATTCTATTAAAAACTTTTTTAAAGCTATAATTCTGTGTCCTTCATGAAGCTCTAAACACAAACAACACAGAAGCCTTTCTTATTTGCAAGATTAATCAAGACAAACTGTATTTAAAAATTCATCAGAATGACACTCATTTTGACAATAATTATAAGCTATTTATGCTTTTTACATTATATAAAAAATATTAGTTTAAAATTGATTAAATTTAATTATTAGTACAAATATTTTCACAACTTGATTTTTTCAAATTAGGTTTTATTTTTTTTTGGACTAAAAATGTATACATTTTTGACTTTCTCTAAAGTTTTTAAATTTCTATTAGTTATTGATCTTTAAGTCACTGTCTCTTTGATATCAGGAAGAATAGACCATGATTTGATATGATTTAAATTGTTATTGGTAAATGCATTTTTTAATTTAATTGGAGATGAGGAATCAGTTTCTGTAAGACTCTATAGTTACTAATATTATAATTAAACTTAATTTATCATCTTTGCTATTGAATTTGTTTAAATACTTTATTATCTTTCATTAACATAATTTTGAATTGAAGTAAAAGTCTTTCTATGCTTTTTACTTAAATTCAATACAACTTTTGGTTACTCTATATTATAATCATTTTATTGTTTTTTCAATATTCTTTTCCCAAATGGAGAATTATTAACAGATGAAGAATATCTTTTTAATTCTTCCTAAAATTAGATATACTTTTCAGAATTCTAAATATTAACAAAAAGTTCTTAAGATTCTCTCATTTAACCTAATTATTACTCAAATTGTTTAATTATAAATAAAGGAGACCTTTCTTCTAGCTTTGTAGGAGATTCATCTAATTTTTGTAATTATGATATTCCTAAACTACTTTGGGTTTTTATATTGTTTGAATGTTTTATTAAAATACTTGACATTCTTTTGAATATTGATTTCTTCCTCATTTCATTCTTTCTTAAGGCTTTCTGTTAAAAATGTTGTGCAACATATGTATTCGGGTAAAGAGTTGAGAGTCTGACCTAATTTATATTTTATTTTTTTACTTATTTCTCACTACCTCTATCTTATTCACTTCTTCTACGGATTTTTCCAGTTCCATATACGAAATGGGCAGCTTAAATCTAACTTTTACTTTTTTGATATTTATTGCTATATTGCTTCATTCTCAAAACTCTATAAGGTATTTTTGTATTTAAAAAGGACTTTCTTTATGGTGACAATAGATCCTCCTCTAATACGATGCTTTCTATGTTGTTAATCTAAATAAATTTCAAATTTTCTCTAGTACATGGTGGGTTAAAGTTCTCAACATTATGTGATTACTTTTCTATTAGCTTTCTAACTTTACTTACTTTTGATTTAATTATTATAAAGGGGAGATTCAACTTCAATTCTTTCATTCAGGAACTAAGAATTATTAGATAGCTGATTTGGTGCAAATCTTCTAGATTATTGTTACGATAACATAATTTATTTATAAATTTAGATCTTTTTATTAAGTATCCAATAATTTAATAATAAATAATTATTGTTCTACTCTGAAAATTACTATCTTCTATCTATCAAAATTAAAAATGCGAAATTTTCGGAACCATTTAATAACTATAATCAAGAAATCTTTGGCTTTACTAAAGATTTCTTCTCAAATTTTTCTAAATATTGTATCTAGATTGAAATTAAAGAAGCATAGATGAAATGATATGAAATTACCAAGTTTTTATTAATCATTAATAAATTTCACATTTATTACAACTGGTTCTGAAAATAAATATCTAAGAAAATTGTCTTTGTGAAAATTAAATTTATTAGATGTTAGAATTGGTAAGCTGAATCCTGAAAAATATCTATAAAGTTAAAGGTTTTTAAATAAATTTTCAAGTAATTTATCAAAGAAAAAAATAATTAACTAAATAATTCATAAATTGTGAGGATTTTAAAAATTAGATAAAAGACACCTGAAAAACTTAATAGAAACATCTAACCTAAAAATTAAAAGATCAAAGTTGATAAACTTAATTTTCTGATTAAATTATATCAAAAATTTTAAAAATATATTTAAAAATCTTAATGTTGTATGTATTTACTATGATTATATTTTGATTAATTTTTTCAGATAAATTTTATTATTGTATATATAATATAATTAATTGAAGATCTACCAAAGCACATTATTTTATATCTAATTACAATAAACTTGTTTTCTTTTATATTGCACTTAGTTTATTAAATATTTTTTTTTATCAAACTCATAGAAAAGAGACATTTTGAACGAAATTTTCTTTTTTTTCTTAATTTGTAGATAGGAATATCAATACTTTAATTAAAATAAATTAACCAAATCAATTTACTCAAAAAAAGATTTTAGAAGGTTGTTAACATGGCATGGGATATTGAACTATTGACTGAAAATTAAAAGTAGGAAAAAGGAATTCTAATTAGATATTCCAAAAGGTAATTCTAAATATTGTGTATTTGTATAACTTTATTTTTTAAATAAAAATATGGTTGATATTTTCTTTTTAAAAAAAACACAAACATTTTCACAATTTTAAGAAATGAATTTTAAAGATTGATATTGAATAAAAATATAAAGAGTAAAATATTAGTGGATAGTAAATTAAAAATGTTGTTAGTATATTTATTTAAGAGATTTAATATTAATATATTATTAGTTATGATTAAAAATGAATATATCGTGATAAAAGAAGTAAATTTAATTGTTGAGTAGTGGTTAGAATAATAGAAAATGAATAAATTTGATATAATAATATAAAAAAGAGTGATTTTATAATAATTTATAAGTGCTTGACGTCATTTCAAATGACATAATTAAAAATAATGAAATAGGTGATAAGTGTATTGTTGATTATTGCCATAGCAAATGCAAGATCATATACATTATATAAGTAATGTGATGCAACATGGGGCAAGGATTAATTAGGAACAAGTTCAAATACAATTTGTTCAGCAGGATGTTTGATTTCATCAGTTGCAATGATGTTGCATACATATGGTGTAACAACTGATGGAACAACAACTCCTAGAACAATGAATACTTGGTTGAAAAAGAATGGTGGATATGCTAGTGGAGATTTGTTTGTTTGGGGTTCAATTGATAAGCTTGGATTCCATTATTAAGGAAAGTTCACAGCTGCATAAGCTAAAAGTAATTATGATTATTAGTTTAATAGCAAAATTTGATGCTGGACAACATATTATTTTATGTGTTAACAGTGGTGGACATTATGTATTGATGACATCATATTCCGGTGATACCTTCAATGTTAATGATCCAGGATATTCTAAGACAAGTTATCCAGCAAGTGGAATCACAAATGCAGCTGCCTATACTTATAGCAAAATCACCTATTTTAAGAATCACGTCTTAAATTTGGAATGATTCTATTAACATATAAATAATAAGACAATATAAATATTTTTATATTTTTTAATATTGATCATCCCAGATACAGCATTATTAATTTTAAATAGTTCTTAGCTATTTCTCCATTTCCACCACATCTTATTCCTACTCTTAAATATTCAGTGGTTAGATCTAATGATGATATTACAACCATTATTGGTAGATTTAAAATATTATTTTATTCCTATGGTTTAACCATTAATTATCCGCAAGCCCAAATCATTTATAAGTTTTCAAGAGAAGGGAATGGTTGACTAAATTATTAAATATATTATTACGCTTTTAAATTCAATCCAATAGAAAGTAATCCTCCAGCTTTTTTTAGTATTTCAGACATTGGAATGTTAGATGGAGCAGTATTTCTAATAAAAGTATCTAATTTAAAATAATTTTGATTATTTAAATTGTTGCTATATATTATTAAATTATAAATACGTAAAGTCGTCAAAGAATTTAGAGAATTTATCATATGGCATTTCAATTGGTTAAACGAATTTATTAGTATATATTGGTAGATGGAATTCACGTTTCTTTTGTTATCCATTTTCTTCATAAAATACTGATGCTATTGGTAATGTCATATTTCCATCACAACTTAAGACTTACATCATTACTTATGGAAAATCTCCTTATTTTACAGGTAAAATGTTAAATAACATACCATTTGTTTGGGAAACCAAAATAGATAAATTTTAAATAGGGGATTTTCCTTCAAATTAGAAAGAAATCTAAATTAAATAAATTAATTAATTTACCTTTCCTAAATGTCCAGATATTTCTGATTTATATTATACTACAAGATCATCAGGTTTATCAATTACTTTTCCTACTGAATTAGTTAGTAAAAGTTTGATTTCATTTAAATTGCTTATTGAAGAAGACTTTAAATTATTTTCTTCTAGAGATGGAGGAACAACAATGTTAATTCCTTCAAGAGCAATCTATCCTTAAAATTAATTCAAAAATGGACATGCTTTTAACCAACTGAGATGTTTTTATAATTATTCAGATTTGTTTTATAATCTTTATTCAACCATAGCTATCTCTTAACTAGCTTAAATTCTAGCCTAATTTAATAATGTAGGATCTTTTTATTCTTTTGCATTTAAAACCATACCATATATTCTTTTAGTAAGAGGATTGTTTAATTAGACTTATTCTGAATATGGAGGCATTTTAACAACTATTTAATTTAATAATTTATCATCTTCCATTAGTAATGAGAAATATTCAATTCCTCTTTATTAAATATCTGGGTCAAAATGTTCACCAGCTATTTAACATATCATTATCGCTTAATCTCTTAATTCTGGATATTTGCATGCTAATTTTACAAAAGCATTTAACAACATTTATCTACTTCTTTCAGTACTGAATGTATAATGTTTATTTAAAATATCAAATAGTTTTTAGGGTTCTTTATTTTATTCTATTAACATTTAAGAATATTCACTGATTATAAATGCACCTATAGAAATCAATGTTTCATGTACATGAGGCATAGATAATTAAGAAAACAATTTAGTGGCAGCATATTTTTACAATTCTTAATTGGCTTCTTTTTAGAATCCTACAATGATTTGAATAATTCTAAACCAAATATCTTCAGTTACAAAATCACCAGATGAATTTATCATTCTTACAACAACATCAATATACCAATATAAGTTATCTGCAAATTTTTCAGAGAGAATAGCAATTTTGAGAACTAAATCATCTTTAATTTAGAGATCTGCTCCATTTTCAGCATAACTTAATAATTCTTCAACAATTCTTTAACTAGTATTAGGACTACTTATAAGATATAATAAATCTAATGCTCTTTTTCTAATAGAAATATCATTATCTCTTAAGGATTTAAAAATAGTATTTAAATGATCTTCTAATGAATCTCCAGCAAGTTTAACAAATTTACACATAGTTTCTAATCCTAGATATCTAAGATTTGGTTCTTTAACAGATATAAAGATTCCTAATAATTTGAGAATATCATTTTTTAATTCCATTCCAACAGCTCCATTATATGTGATAACAAGATTAGCTGCTTCAAATAGTATACCATGATCAACATTATTTTTATTAATACTTTTGGTAACTTCAGTTTTTTTAATAATTTTGGTTAAACATTCAGTTAATTAACGATGAGAATCAGTTGATGGAGGAGGTGGTGAAAAGAATGAAAGAGCTTTTAAAATTTTAACTTATAACCATGGAGCAGGAGTGGCATAATAATTGTAATCTCCAGGACTATCTTTTTAAATAGCAATTTTATGAAGTAATTTAATTAATTTAGGTGCACAATCTTCAAAGATTGATGGATTATCTAACTAGCATGTTCCAACTAATAATGAAGTAGCAGCAGTCATGAATCCTAATGAAGGATGTCTATTATAATATATTAATATAAATATATACCTAGATTCAAACATTTATGATATTCCTTATGCCCATTAAGATGGTTAGAATTTATCTTAATATTTTCTATACATTCTAAGTAAACAAGCACATGCCTTTTTTCTAACATGAAATGTGGATCTTGATTCTGTCAATGCTAATTTTTAGACATCTTAATGTAATGCATTCACTAATTCTTAAGGTGCTTATGTTCCAACCATTGTAAGTGCTAAAGATTAATTAATTTCATTAACAGATTGTAAATCATTTCTTATTGATGATGCTACTTATGTAAACAAATCATGTGTTTTTTCACTTACTAATATTGATGTAGCTACATATCCAGTATATTTCTCACTAAATTTAGATGAATTAATTAAAAATGCACATTCTTATTATCCAAAATCAACTTCATAACCTAATTAATAAATATTATTATTACCTAGAATGTAAATATATAACAATTTCCAAACATATTTCTTTTTTTAATATCCAGCTAATCCTTTTTATGATGTAAATTTGGCTCTAATTTTTTACAATTCTTTTTCTACTCTCTTTTCTTCTTATTCCTTATTAGAGCAATGACGAATATCAGTAATAAATGTATTCAATCCTCTCATATTAGTACTCATTTATTTATTATATACTTTTATATATATAAATGAAAATAAAAAATATATCTAATGATTATTAAATAAGTCATTCTCCTTTATATTATGGTTTTCTTTTTTCTGCAAATGCTTTAAGCCCTTCTAATCTATCTTAACTATGACACACTTAATAATATAATTATTCTTCTATTTTTAATCCACTTTCAATATCTACTTCCATTCCTCTATTAATTGCTATCTTAGCTGCTCTTATTCCAATAGGACCCTTCATTATATTTAATAATAATACATTCTATAAAATTTAAGTTGCTATATTCTCAGCTTTTATATTTGCTTATTATCCATCATCCTCTACATAATTAACTAATCCTATTTTTAATGCTTCATCTGCATTTAATCTTCTTCCAGTAAATATTAATTCTTTTGCCAATGCTAATCCTATTATTCTAGGTGTTCTTTATGTTCCACCCTTTTATTATATTATTATTATTTTATTACTGCTCCTGGTATTATTGCTAATCCTGTCTCAGGTAATCCCAATATTGATTATTTACTTACTATTCTTATATCACATGCTAATGCTAATTCTAATCCTCCTCCTAATGCATATCCATCTATTACTCCTATTACTGGCTATGCTAAATTTGATAATTAATTAAATGTATCTCTTAAATTCTTTACAACCAACTCTGTCTCAAAATTACTTAATCCTACTCTCTCTTTTAAATCTGCACCTGCACAAAATGTTCCTCCTGTTGATGATCTTAATATCACACAATTTATATCTTTTTATGCATTCAATTCACTTATCTATTATCTCATCTCTATTAATAATTATTTTGATAATGCATTCTTCTTTTAAGGATTATTTAATTCAGCTATTGCCAATCCTTTTATTTTATCATGTAATCTCACTGAAAACAATCCTTATGAATATTTGTATATTAATTTTTACATTTATTTATTAAATTCTTGTTTTTATTAAATTCTTATTTTTATTTCAATATTATTACTATATTAATCTTAACTATTCTACTATTATATTCATTTTTATTTATTAACTTTATCTAAATTTATATTTTCTATATATACAATTCATTAGCTAATAAACTATTTTTCAATAACTAAATAATTATCAAATATATATAATATTTTGCAACATTTTCTATTTTTAATAAAAATAATAATTATTTATTAGCTTTATTGGTTATTAATGTTAAATTCTAAGTCTTTACTACTTAATATATATATATAGGTTAGAACATATAATATTTATTTTATGAATAATTATTCCAGAGATCCACCTAGTAAAATTTTGCTTCTTGTTATAACTTAACTATCTCCAACCTTTCCACTTTGTAATGATCTTCTCTTTGAACAATTTAATAAATATGGTGAAATCAAAAAGATTCTCATTTTCGAAAGAGGAAAGGCTAACAAAGCATTTGTTGAATATTATGATGTTAAACATGCTATAGAAGCTAGAAAAGATAAATTAGGCAAATATTTAGCTGAAGGAGAAGGAAAGTACTTACATTTAAATAAATATAGACTTACAATACATTTTTCTCGTCTTAAAAATCTAGATCTAGAAGTAGTTGATAAATCTCGTGGAACAGATTATACTTAAACAAGCAGTACAAACTCAGATTCTATGAAACACTCTAATACTGATGATCCAAATGTTCTTAGATAATAGATTGAATCATTTACTCGTACTTTCACACAAACTTCTTAAACTAATATAACTCCTGCCAGAAATGATGAAATTAATAACTTATTAAATTCAGATTCTGATAATGATGATGATATTGATATCTGGAAATAATAGAAATTGTAAGCACCTTAAATCTCATAAGATATTTAAAATATTATCACTCAAAAACCATCCAAAATTATTAAAGTAACAACAATAGATGAAAGAGTTACTGCCAAAATGCTCTATAATATTTTTAACAAATTTGGAAATGTCGAAGAACTTCTATATGAAAAATAAATGTAAAGACTCTTTGTTAGATATTAAACTTAAGAATTTGCTCAAATTGCCAAAGAATATTTAAATAATATTTAATTTTTTGATCAATAAGTAATCAAAATATATTAACCTTTTTAGTGGCGAATTTCTTATCACCCTTTACAACAATTATAACCAACTACCATTTCAGATGAATATCTTACATATTATATTCCTAATGCACCTAAAATCATTGTTCCTTTATCAAAAACTATCATAATAAGTGGTGTAACCGAAGCTATGGAAATTTCAGAAATGATGAGATTAGTTGCTAAAGTCACTGGTAATTCTTCTTATTATATTTTAGAAATTAAAATTGTAGCTGCTAATACTCTTGAAATTACAATGATCAATATTTCAGAAACTTTAAAAATCATAGCAGTTTTCTCTGACTATGAATACAAATACCAAAAATTGATTATTTCTATTAAATGAATCTGTTTTATAATAGATCAATTTCTAAATCATTTATTTCATTCTCATCATATTTAAACTGACTATTCAATCTAATTTAAATTTTATTTAATATTTTATTATTCTCAAAATAATTTATGGAAAATATATAAAGATATGCTTTTTATTATATACATCAACTATTAAATGTAAATTGTGAACTATTAAAATAATTTTAATTAAATTGTATTATTTTTTAAGATTAATTTAAATTCTAAATAGAACTTCTCTTGTTTTTCTCTTTATATTTAATTTTATTATATCTTAAGTATTATATAATATTGATTTAATAATTTATTTTCACAATATCATTTTATTTATGATAAGAATTTTGCAACTTCCTAAAAATCTCTCAAGCTTACTAATATTAAATAAATTTTTTTTTCATTTATTTAGGAGATTATCCTTTTAATTCCAAATTAATTAAAAAAAAAAACAATAAAAAATTATTTATTGTTTTTCTGTCGAACATTCAAAATTTTAATAACATATATATTATTATCACATATGAATTTCATAAGATTTTTTGAGTTACTCTCTCTTTAATTAGTTATTGATAATTTGTTCTAAGAGATACTTTTATTTTAAGCCTTCCAATTATTAAATTTCATTTGCTCTTTTCAGCATAGAGATATTCAGTTTTGTTTTTTAAGGATTTTTATCACTTTTGTGTGATACATTTGATAAATCTGTATATTTTGGAGATTATTCTTAAATATGTTAAAGCTAACGTGATTTAATACGTGGTGATGCTTAATAATTAATTTTTGTGTGTTTTTATCTTTCTGATTAAATTAAATCGTTATCTTTATTATAATTTGGATTAGAATCAGACAAAGATCTTATGTTCGAGGATAAATTACCATAATTTTTGATAAAACTATGATCTAAATTTTATGGTTAGTTATAGATTTCAAATTAGTTTAAATATTTATCTTACTACTTTTGAGAACCAATCAAATTTTATATTAGATCCTCATCAGGTACTATAGCATCTAAAGCATCCCATGTAATAATGGGTGCTTTAATTGTTTAATTGTTTTCTTTTGTTGTATTAAGACTATACGCAAGTTTAGTAAGAGGTTTAAAGTTACTAATGTGAGGTATTACTCTTCTTCTTTAAAGCTGTTATATTAATTAAATTTTTTCAGGATACTTTTCAATCAACTCTGTTCCACTTTAAAATTTCAGTTCATGTTGCAACTTTTCCTTAGTTTTTTTCTCTCTTTCAGAACTCTTTTCGTTCTCTGATTTTAATTTTCTTTATCTTAAGATTTCTTTAATGAGATTCTAATCTTTAATATCTGGATGATAAAGTTTAAATTCATAATTAAGTTCTTCTTTTGTAAATCGTTCTCTATCATCTTTCATATTAAAAGGTTTACCAAGTAATTTCATTTTCTTTTAATTTTTTAACCAAACATCAAAGCCAAGTTCTTAATAAAATTCACATAAATCAATCCCTCGATATAATGCTAACAAACTAAATAATTATTCAAACTATTATAAATTGATGTGTTATCCATGAGTTGAACATTTCTTAAATAGATCTTAGAGTTCTTATTTATTGAGGAAGTTAATGTTAAAATCTCTACAAAAATGAAAGAATTTAGCTAAGTTTAATTAATTACTTTCTTGATATTATCTATCGAATGTTGCATTTACACCTATAGCATATGATTATTTAGTGTAAAATTGAAAAATTTATTGAATCACAGAGTTTTTAGAGGAAATAGAATAACTATTCCTTCTTGTATTCTATTCTTGAGTAGCAGTTGGCACATTTCTAAATAAAGAACTCTCTTCAGATAATTTATTTTTGTTTTTCATTTAAAAAATATATTGAAAAAAGTAAAATGATAGTATAAAATGAAAATATTGAAGGAATGAGAAAAATAGAGAATATGTAGGGGATTAAAATGAAGAGAAGGATTTGATTTAGATAAGAATAAAAATAATTTATTTATAAAAATGAGACAAAAATCTCAAACTGTTCATGAAGGTGGATTAAAAAAATTGTTAACAGTAGATTATGAAAAATGCATATATAATTGTTTATTGATAAAACAAAAATTTATAGGAAGAGGTCCAAGGTATATTTATTTGTTTAAGAATCAGATTTGTATAGGAAAGGTATTAGTTTATAATAGTATTTTGAGTCTCCTTTTGTTTAGATTCCAGAGCGACAATTCTAAATAAATTAAGATATGAGAATATAATGGTCTTACAAGAAAAATCAATTAAAATCAGTAATATTTTAAGTAGGTGGAGAGTAATTTGAATATTTTGGTACAAATGAATAATTAAGAGAACTAAAACAAAAATGTGCTCTTTATGTGTTTTAGGTGAAAATATAAGATGAATATTAAGCAGAGTCAATTTTAGGGAAAGGATCATATGCTACAGTCCTTGAATTATCAAATTTATAAACTTAAAAATAATATGCAGCTAAATGCATAGATTAATAAAGGATAAATGAAAAAAAAAATGGATATAAGTAATTATTATAAGAAATTGAGACGATGCGTATTCTTTCAGAAATAAAATATTAAAATATACTTTAATTACATGAACTCTATATAGGGAATTAAAATTATTATTTAGTGATGGAGTTAGCTAAAGGAGGATCACTTCTATCTTTAATGAAAAAGCGTTAAACACTATTTAGTAGATCAGATATAAGAATTATAATGAAATAATTATTAGAAGGTTTAACATTTATTCATAGTCATAATATAATGCATAGAGATTTAAAACCAGAGAATATTTTATTTATGAATAAGGATTTAGAGTCATTAGTAATAGCTGATTTTGGATTAGCATAATCAGTAGAATCTCATCCATATACATATCCAAAATGTGGTACCCCAGGATTTGTAGCTCCTGAAATTTTAGAATAAGATTCAGATTATGCTAAATATTCTGTACTTTGTGATATTTTTAGTGCTGGGGTTATACTTTATGTTTTGTAATTATTATTTGTATATATAATTATTATAGGTTAATTGGTGAACCATTATTTGAAAAAAAAGATAGAAAAGAATAATTAGAATTAAATAGAAAATGTGATATTAATCTTACTAAATTTAGTAATGATTAGTTAAATGATATTGAAAAAGATCTATTAATTAAAATGCTATCCAAAAATCCTGAATTTAGATGGTCAGCAAATAGTTTATTAAAACATAAATTCTTTGTTTCTGAAGATCAAATTGAAAGTGAAGTAGATTTCTATAAACTTAATAATATAGCCATGTATCATTAGTATAAAATATTAGTCTCAAGAAATCTATGATGCCAACATTTATCAAAAATCCATTCATGCAGAATTATAAAAATTAAAATACAACCAGAGATAAATCTATATCTTTAATCAATAGATAAAGAAATTGCACTCTAGTTATGTAAACTAATTTAAGATTTGATAAATCATCATAAGAATAATTGAATACTGAATAAGTCAATGGTATTGGCTCTTTTGGATTGTTTCAAGATGAAATTAACTAAATCAACTTTTGAATAATAATAAATTTATCAAATCTATTTTTTACTCACTTTCTAAAATGGATTTAATCTCTGATTTTATTATGAAGTACTTCTTTAACTTATGCTACTTTTATCTTATTATTTCTGAACTATTGTTGCTTTTTATTAACTTTTTGATTTCTAAAATTATTATACTTTATCATTTGGAGGAGGTTGAGTTTTTTAAGATTCTAAAGTACTTGATATCAAATCTAAATTTTTAATAGAGGTTTATTGAGATGTCTCTATTTTTTAAACTTCTTCATTTGCTCTTGACTTCTTCTTGTTCTTTTTAGATATTGTATTCTCATCAATATCCAAAATAAAGAATTTTGACTTCTTTGCTTTAATAGTTTATTTCGATTCTAGCTATTATATTTCTTATTATTATTGTTATTGAAGAATAGATTAATCAACCACTCTTTAATCTTCATTTTTTATGTTTTATTATACCTTTAAAATTTCTTGTAATCTCTTCTCTTATTAAATTTATAAATCTTGTTATGATACTTTTGTCTAATCCTCGTATTTTCGTATACGTATTGATACATGATTACCAAGTAAACATGATTTTCTAAATTCAGCCAATAATTTATTTTCTGATCGATGTAATTTCATTCTTTTCTTCATCTTTAATCCTCTCTAATGAATATAATCCAAATCTTAAATTTTTTTAAACCATCTTTTTCTAATATTTCTAAATTTATCTATTAAATCCATAAGTTCTACTAATTGATAAAGGATCTTTACTCCTGCTTTTTTAGATAACAATTAAAATTTATTATATTTTCTTTATTCAGAAATAATACTCCATTTCATAAATTATTAACAATCCAATATAAATGTTTCTACTAAATTAAATTATTTAATTAAATCTTCTGATTACTTTTAAATTGCTAAAATACAAATTATATATAAATGGCAACGAATTTAACAATATTCTTTATAAGGGAAAAACAAATATTTTTCATAAATACCAATAGCAAACTCAAACTGTATTTTAGCCTTATCAAATTGACCTTACTCTAAAAATATTTCACCGATTTTTTCTATATTATGACCATAACATTCATCTTTTTATATTTATTAATATTATTTATGAATCTCTTAATATCTTTACCATGCTAATTAATGATCATTATTCTTCATAAAACCATTTGAATGTAATAATTTAGTTCCAGTATTTTAATTTAATGAATTATCCATAAATATAATTGAAGCCACAAAGTAAACTTATTAAAAAAATGGTTTCATTTTATCATAGATACTTCTTACTCTAGTTTAATAATAAAATTCTTAAGATTACAATCTATCATTATGTAAATGATAATCTTTTATTTATGTCATAATCAATTTTCTTTACTATTAAACAAAATACATTCTATTAAATGTTTAAGTCTTAGAAATTGTGTATGCTTTACTAGCTCTTGAATAAAATCTTAAAGCACTAAAATAGGCATTACAACTTTAAAATATTCCAGCCAATAAAAATTCTAATTAAGCAAAGTTTTTATTATGTAGACATTATAATTTATTATCTCTATAAAGCTGATTAATTTTTCTTGCATAAAACCAACCTAATTTTAAAACCTAACAAGATTCTTCATTTTCAATATATATTTTAAAAATCATTAAAACTATTTCAATTACTTCATCAGAAAATTCATCATGCAACAACTTTCTATATTCAATTGCTTTTTAAAGTGCTCTTAATGCATTTTCTGGATCGTTTAATTAACAAAATACAACACCTAAATTATAAGCTAATTTTGATAGATTATAAGTAGCCATATTATGAAAATTTATCAGAATTTTCTTTGGTATTTCAGTTTCCTCTTTTCGTTTAATATCTTTAGTATTTTTTTTAACTACTGCTTCTTCTTCCAGATTTTCTTTAATATCTTTCCATTTTTCCATAGGAAAATAATTATCATAAATAGTTTTACTCATTTAAAATGTTATCATTGCTGATTAAATTTAAATTGTTTCTTGGCATATAATTCCATAAATATATAATGAATATCCAAAAAGTAATGTAGAAAGTAGATTTCTTTTCATTTGAATATCAATAATAGAGAAAATCATAGAATTAGCCTCATTTAATCTTGAATTAGCTAAACAATGTTCTACATTTGCTAATTGAATTATTACATGTTTTCTCATCTCAATTAATCCATTATGTTAATGTATGGCTTTTTTAATCTTTCGACGCATCAGAAATTTCTTTTATTATTATATTTAACTTATTTATAATAGTCTAAGTAATACTATTTATGGTTTTCTAGAACTATATTATACCAATTAAATTAAAACTAAAAAATTAGAAGTTAATGTTGATTTATCTTCATTCTTTTACACTAATTAAATTGGTAACTCTAAGTCATTTTAATATTATTATTTCCGAGCTTTTTCATCCAAAACTTCTTATGCCCTAGCCTAAGCTAGATATATAAGAGCTTAAACTTTATCTATTGAATATTTTTCTTCTTATTTTATAAAGTTTTAACAATTTTTCAAGAAATTTTTATTCATTAATAAAGATGAATAATTCATTTCATTTTTTAATTGTTCTCTAACTTTGTTATCATTATTTTCTTTATTTTCAAGTTATTTAATAGTTAAGTTTTCGATGTCTAATTCCAAATCAAAATTTTTTAATATGTTATCATTATCTTCTTCATCACTTTTTTAAGATTAATCAATCACATCCAAATATTCATTATTATTTTTTTAATGTTTATTAATATATTCTTCTTTTTTTCTCAACCTTTATAATTATTCAATACTTTATATAAGACATTCTATTTAAATAATATGGCTTTTCAATTCTTCTAAAGCTCTAATAAAAATATAATTATAAATTTTACTATTGGAAATTAAAATCAGATCCTTAAAATGTTCTATTTAATCCTAATTTAATGAAATCCAGTATAATTCTATCTTAAACTTCATCAAAAATAGAATCTGCATAGAGTAAATAATCCTTAAATTTAACATCTATCTCTGATTTAGGTTTCTTCTTTCTTAATTTACTAATAATTAGTTAATTATATCCTCTTGGATTCTTAAACAATATAATAATATCACAAATAGCTAAATAATCTTTCAAATAAGACTTTTTAAACGTTTACATTTTTGCTTCACTAATACAATTAATTGATGATTCTACATTTGCTTAAAATGGAATAAGTGAACGTATTCTTTAAAATGATTATAATTTAAATAATTTCAATCTTCTAAAATAGTATATATTACTTAATGTAAAATTTAATCTATATAAATATTTAGAATAACAAGCATATAATATGTTTAAAAGACAATGTGACAATTTTAAAAGACAAAGTTCAGATAATTAAAGTTGTTCAAAATCTAGATGTGTATGCAAATCTTTTAAAGAATAGTTCATTCCTTAGTAAAATAATAGAATTTTATAATATTATGGACAATCTAAATTTGGAAGATCATGAAATAGAAAATAAATTTCTTCAATAAATACTAAATACTCTCTTAAATGAGGAAAATATGTTTGAAGCATTAATTAAAATATGACATTTAAAAATCTAGGATTAGCTTCAATATCAAAAACCTGTATAACCTCCATTAATTCATTTACAACATCATAATTTACTTCTGGTTTAGATCTTATTTATAAATTTGGTTATTTAATTAAGATAGTTGCTAAATCTGCAATCATTGCCCATCTTCTATTAACTACTCTCTTTTCTTAAGATGATGTTGATTTTTAATGACTCTTTAGTACTTATCTTTATACTAATAATAATTATTAAAAAAAATGTTGTTTTTTGAAATCATTTTCTTCTATGTTAAAATATTTATCATTTGAAAAAAAGCAATTATATCTTGCATGTCTGGCTGCTTCTTTATATGTAAATGGATATATTTATAAGTGTTAATGATTATCATTTACTTAAATTCCTTTTAAATCTACCATAATTTCATAATCTAAATAAGAAGCTGATATTTATATTTTGTAAAATGATGATGTATCCACTTTTTTCAATTCTACTATAAATTATTTTATTTTAACATTATACTCTACTTTTAACATATAATCTCTTTCATCTTTCTTCTCAAAATCTCTTTTATGATGGCTTGATCTCTTTACATGATGTTCTATTGTTATATTTTATTATTTCTTTGAATCATCACTATTTATAAATTCTTAATCTGAATTTAAAGTTGTTCTAATTCTTTCTTATTATTGTCCTTCTTCTATTTGTATCTATTGCTATTCAAAAACTGTTTATTCTATAATATTTTATATAATAGCATCATGTTAATTATGATTACTTAGACAACAACCCATTATTTTAAAAGAAGTAAGATCAATTTAAAAACAGTCTTATTAATTAATATAATAAAAATTTATCTTCTGATTAATGAAGACTTTCAAAAATATATTGAATTTTATAGTTTAAAATGACACATTCATTAAACAATAATTAATTTACAATAAGTCAATCCTAAAATATTCTAAAATATATCTATTATTATTATATATTATTTGTTTAACGGTCACTTTGTATGTCGAGAAGACTAAGGCAAAAGCTTATTAATAATGAGAATGAAAACCCATCTGAAAATTATGAATGCAAATTTAATGAATCTCCATAAAGACTTTGTTAAGAAAGAAGAGCTTAATAATGTTTAGAATAAATAAGTTCTCAATTTCTTCTATCTAATACCTTTGATATATATGCAGGTTGGAATGAAAAAGAAGATTTACCTAATAAAAACTATCATAGACCAGCTTAATCATAAAAATCTACATTAGACTCATCTTTTAGAATTAGAAGTTAAATTAGAACTGCAACACCTAATCAACGTAGATCTAAACGAACTTAATCTCATATGAAAGAAACCAAAATTTTATTAGACATCTGTCCAAAGTAATGTTTCAATTATCCTATACCAGCCTTTAAAACTAAACAATTTTCTTAAAAAGAATAAATTAAATATTTTCAAGGGTTTTATGATAGAGGAGATGAAAAATCCTTTGATTGGATGAGCAATCTACTTCAAGTTAGGAAAATTAAAAGATGATTTATATACTAGATTATTTCATTATGATTATAATAACTGTTTTAGACCTAAATCAATCAAAAATTATAAATACCATACATAAATAAATCTTAAATTTAATATTGCATACCTAAGTCTATTTCCTTTTTTTAATTTTGGGTCAAAATCTACTAACCTTCTCCATATTAAAAGTCTTTTTATATATGTAAAATTCTTTTATCAATTTTTCAAATCTTCTATACATTCATTATAAGCATATTACTATTCATAAAAATTAAATAAAGAACAAAAATTTATACTGTTTAATGCTTTATTAATTGAAGATTTTACAAACCTTTTTCTTAAGTTATGTAACTAAAATAAAGTGGGTCATATTCATTTTTTTATTACAAATTTAACTAAATTTTAAAATAAAAGTAGACTATTAATTATCTAACAATAGAATAAGCCTTAAATAATTTATTTAAGTCTTAAATTGGAATACCAAAATACCTAGACCAGTGTCTTATACACAAAATTAATTGAATTTTATATATCTTATACTTAGATGTTCTAAATATTTTTGATAATTTTTTCACAGAAAGTAAATTTAAAAACTTTTGAGATAATATTAAAATTATTATAATCTGGTCCGATCTGTAAATATTATAATCTTTTCTCGAAGTTCAATCATGATAAATTTTAAATTTTAAAATTCTGTTTTATTTTTAAAGATCTTTATAATTTATTATATAAATATTAAATATATCCAAAAATGAACTTAATTTAATCTTAATACTTATGTCTTAATTTAAAAATGATCATTAATATTATTTGGTTTGTTAGCATGCATATCATATAAAATCAAAATGCTTGTTTATTTCAAATAATGAAAAATCCTATCAATACTTAGAATTTTAGATTTACTTATGGTAGTTTTTTTTAAATTCCTAATAAGATTAGTAAGAATTATTGGGATGCAAAAACTTGAATTCGTTAGAAATGCTAATAGAAGATCATCTTTATAATTATTTGATTCTTATATATGCTACTACTGCAATTCATATCAATTTCATTATCAAATATAAAATTAGTTACCATCATAAACCACCTTACACAATTATATAATAAAATTATACAAAATATATAATTTGTTAACTAATAATTATACAATAGATTTTTTATTTTGAGTGCAATGTTGTATGGTGTAAAATTTAGATAATTTAAAATTATAGGTTGCATTCATTTATCTATATATTTAAGTTTATAATTTATCCTTTTAAATTGACGCTTAATTTTATAAAATTTTTTATAAAATGATAATTGATGTTTGAATAATCTCATCAAATAATTTTGTATATGCTTCTAATTGCTTTCTGTATTGAGAATTAAGAGAGAATAAGATTTCTTGTTTTCTCATTTTGGCTAGGAAATAAAAGGTAATTTATTATTATAAAAAATTACCCAAATATTCCTATAAATGTAAGAAGGAATGATGATTAAGCCTACACCAAATAATCAGACTACACTAAAAAATATATCATTTCCTTATTATAAACCAGAAAATAAATGAAATACTTGCAAGAGTCGAATTACAATTTTGATTATAAATGATTTGATGATTAGAAAATCATTTTGTTATTTTTATGATCTAATTTAACAAGAACTAAGTAGAGAGTATATAATATATATATATTAGTTATTAGTATTGGCAAAAATATAGAAATCCTATACCATACTATAAACTGGTCATTTATCAATTTTATTTCAATTTTAATGAAATAAATAATTGTGTTAACTACTTAAAGAAGACTCTTTTTAATAAATTTGAAATTTCATTCAATAGATAAATAGATAGGAATTCTTTAAAAAAATTTTTAATCACTTTCATTTACCAAAATAGATAAAAATAAAAAGGATTAGCAAAATTAATTACTTGAATTATATACAATTAATGTTTTCCGAGTATTTAATTAAGTGCATAAAATCTAATAAATTCATAATAATTTTTTTCATTCTAGAAAATAATAATTAAGTTAGGTAATATATAAGATAAGACTAATTAATGCATAAAATTTGAAACAATAAAAAAATAATGTATGAATAGTACTTCAGAAACAGTATAAATTAAAATATTAAAAACTACTAAAATTAATATAAATGTATTATTAGTGAACTAACAGAAGTAATTAGATTTTATGTATTGTTATGAAAAACAAATTAGAAGAATTAAAAGTTATGATTTTTGATGATGTACGCTATGATGATTCAAATTAGAATGAAATCTACTAAGAGAACTAAAGCCATGAAATAATTTTATAACAATTGAAAAATTTAGCTACAGCTTAAGAAGCAAAAATTTATAGTACATTCAATTCAGATTGGAAAGGTATTAATTATTAGTGATTTTTATTAGCTCAATTAGATCCATAAGTAAGATAATGGATGACTCAAGTAAGATAACAATATTTTGAGACATAAAAAAAGTCTTAGAAAGTTGTTTAAAATGTTTAACTTGAATCTTTCTCATCAGATAATCAAACCGCTGATATTTAACTAGATGACTATTTCTAATTATGAAATAGAAAACAAACTGTATTCTTTTGTGATTCGATATAATTTCATGTAATTAAATTTCTTGAACTATAAAAAATTTATCATTTTTTTATAAAATAATAGATTTATAGAGTATTTTAGGATAATTATTGAATTATATAAAATGTATAGAAGTTTATGAAAATATGATATTAATAATATAAAAAATAACTGATGGATTGGAGAAACAAATTAGAGCTAATTTAAAACAAAATAAGAGGCTAATTACATGCTCGTAAAATAGATGACTTAGAAGGAGTTTACTAATTAATGTCAGAATTTGATAAAGACAATTCTGGTATAATAATGTGTAAAATTAGGTTATTTGGACAAAGATGAATTCTAAAAGTTTCTTTCCAAAATAGGTGTCTTTCTTACAACTCAAGAATTAAGAGCAGTTTATGATAAATATGATTCAAATAAAGATGGAAATATAGCTTATGCCGAATTTGTTAATTTAATAAGAGAAAATATGAGTGAAAGAAGAATTAGTGTTGTTAGAAGCACTTTTGCATTTCTTGATCAATAAAGATAAGGAAGACTTCTATTAGATAGCTTATATAGACTTTATTAAGCAAAAAATCATCCTAGAGTAAGAACTAGATAAAAGACTGCAGATCAAGTTACAAAAGAATTTGTTAATGCTATATCAAAAAGAAGTAAAGATGGACAAAGTATATGTGAAGAAGAATTCTTAAATTATTATGCTGATTGTAATGCAACTCTTCCTAGTGAAAAAGAAGAATATTTTACAGATGTATTTTTGCTTATATTTATATTTAGTTATTAACTTCTACTTGGGGAGTTACTTCAGGTGCAGATTATGTTTCTCCAGAAAGATTAGCCTAATTAGAAATTATTTTATTTGAAAAAATTAGATAAAAAACTGTTACAAAAGATGATGAAGGTAAAACAGCCAAAAAAGCCTTTATGTATTTTGATTTGGAAAATAAAGGAACTATTGATATTTATTAATTTGCATAAGCTCTTTAAAAATTTGGTTGCGTTTTTAGTGATAAAGAGATTCAAGCATTATTTAATAAATATGATTCTGATAAAAGTGGAAGATTATGTTATGATGAAATATGTGGATTAATTGCTTTAATGGGATCAGGAAATAATGCTAATGTCAATCCAGTGTTTTAAATTGCAAGAGCTCCTCCTTAAGATACATTAAATAGAATAAGACTAGATCTAATAAAGAAAGGATAACATTCAGTTATTAGAATGTCTACTATATTTGCTAATTCTGACAAAAATAAAAATGGAACATTAAATAGATAAGAATTCTAATGGGCTATGAAGGAATCCGGATTTTTATTAACCAAGACTGAATATGATAATCTTTTTAGATATTTTGATAAGAATTGCGATGATGAAGTTTCATTTGTTGAATTCATTAGTTTCTTAAGAAGTATAATCTTATATATATTTAAGAACCATTAAATTAGTCTAGAACTGATCTCGTCAATTAATTATGGAATAGAATATCAAATGGATAACCTTCATTAACAATTTAGTAACTTAAATGTATTTTAAATATTTATTAATTAGAATTTTATGATCCTTCTAAAAGTTAAGATGTGATTACAGGAATTAAAACTGTTGCTGATGCTACCAAAGACTTTAATGATCTATGGAAAGATGTATAGGCTATTACTTAATAATAATTTATTGATTATTTGACTGATATTAGTGCTCTTATAGAAAGTGAAGCAGCTTTTGAGAAATTCATCAGAAATTCATGGAGATGAATATAAAATAATAATATACATATATATATATCATTAATTAATTGTGCTAAAATAATAATGATACAGAAGTATTATTTATATTATTACTAATATTTGTTTTCTTTCTAAACTTCATTTTTCATTTATAAAATTGAATTAATCAATTTTTTAATGTAGGATATTAAAATCTGATAGATTGGCTTTTTTTAAATATATCTAAAAGATTATTAGGAACAAAATATCATATTTGTTTGTTTGTTTATAAAAGGTATTATTGAAATATCTATCAGAAGGAATATTTTTGATGAATTTTGAAAATGAAAGCAATAAATGTTATTAAAGAAATGACTTGAAGAATTGTAATTAGATTAAATGAATTTTGAAGGTATAGAAAGTGTTAATGATGATTTATATTGTTAATAATTATTTTGAGATATTAATTTAAATATATTTAATTCATAAATATAAATTAAAGAATGTTCTTTGTTTATTTTGCATCATTAGTATATCTATTAGTAGCATAAGAAGAGAATATTGATGATGATGATGAATTTTTATAGCCTCCTCCTGATGATGAAGGTTCATTTGCTCATCCTTTACATAGAACTTATTTATAAGATTCATATTGTATGGATGGTACTTAAGCAGCTGGATATGTTTACGAAGGTAGTACTGATGATTTAATTATGTATTTTTATTCTGGAGGAATATGTATTAATGATAATAGTAAATTTCTAAAATATGGAGATTATGTTTATATTGATAATTGTACATATAGAAATACTACATTTTATGGTACTACAAATGGATATCCAGAAGAATTCAATGCTAATTAAGGTTTAATGGGAAATAATAAATATTAAAACTTTCATCTTAGAAAAGCTCATAAAATGTTTCTTATGTATTGTGATGGTAATATGTGGTATTCATAAATGAATTCTAAAGTTTTTAAAGGAGCATTATCTTAAATGAAGGTGATACCTAAAAGAATTATTTTAGCAGGTTCAGGTGTTGGAGGATGGTATTTAGTAAATAAATATAATGAATTAAGAACTGTTATTAGAGAATTATATTAAGAAGATGTTGAATTAAGAATGCTTTTAGATGGTGTGATATTTGATATATCTAGAAATTAAGATATAATAGATGCTTATACTGAAGTTACAAATAGAGTTGGAATAACGATTAATGATATTTTTTCATTTGATGCATTAAAAAAAGTAGATATACCTACTTTTATAGTACATGCTCAATATGATTGGTGGTAATTAGAGATTGCTGATGGTTTTGAATGTATTGGTAAAATTCATTTGGATAAATGTACTCCTAAAGAAAAGAAATAAATAGAAAAAATTAGATTAAATATTTTATAATAATTAAAGGATTTAATGAAAATTAAACCAGATTGGGGATTATGGGCTATAAGTTGTGTATTTAATGAATTAATTATATGGACTGAAGCTTGGAATCATCCAAAATTTTAAGTTCCTATGTTAGAAGGAGGAAGATTATCAGATAAATTTTAAGAGTATTTTTATATATATATGAATTTAGTTGGTTAGAAAACAAAGGTGATAATCATGTAACTTATGATATTGTTTCATGGCCTGATAATAAACCATGTAGTAATATCTTTCATAGTGGTAAGACTGATCCATAATTGGATGATATGATAAGAAATTATGAAATTAATGAATCAAGGAGAAAACGAGAAGAAAAATATGATTTATGATAATATAATTAATTATTTAATGGAGGAAAGCATCTATAACATTATAATTGAAGATCCTATTCCATAAAAACGATAAAAAAAGTATAAATCATAATTCCCTGGTACTATTCAACCATCTTATAGTACATTTGGAAATTAATCAAATGTTATTTAGGTATGACGATCACTAAATGTAAGGTTAAAAATATAAGTGGAGATTATTAGTTATCATCTAATAGATATACATCTGAAAGTGGAACTATTGGAAAAGCAAAAACATGTTAATTTATCTTATTAATATTTAGAATAACTCTCACCCATTAAACCTAGAATTATGGGTACTAATAATTTAGATGAATGGATTGAAAAAGGATCACTTGTAAGAAGTTAAGAATTAGTTCATTCTCATAGAAATAAATTGAAACCTCTTGTTCCAAAATCTATAGAAAAACCAACTATGGGATTATAATCTAATAGAAATTTTATTGCTACAAACAAAATTGATATCATTCTTCAATGTTATTTTTATATTTATAATAGCTCCTAAATAAATATAAGAATAACCTAATTGGCTCAATAAAAAAGATTATGGATAAATTCCACTTTATTTAAGTCAAATCAAAGATTAACTCTAATAATCTTATTTATAAGAATAAGATTATGCTAAAAAATAATTAGAAGCATAAAATGATTAATTGTAATTTATAATTAATAATCTAGATAATTATTATCAGAAGAAGAATTATAATAAATTAGAGAAGGATTAAAATAAAGATATGATGAAGTTAATAAACAATATCAATAATATACACATTTAAAGAAATTTGACACTGTTGGATTAAAAAGAAGAAAAGAATAATTTGAAAAAGAATTAATTTAATTAGAAAAAGACATGGATAAAATGAAAAAATAATATGTATTTGTAGAAAAATGAAATTTAATATATATTATATATCTATACAATCCATTTTCTATTCTATTAATCTTTTTGTCTAATGAATATTTAAAACTATCTTTACGAGCTATTATCATAATCTTCAATATTAAGATGAGGATATTATAAAATATTTGAAGTTAATTTTTTTATAAGGTATATAGATTATATATAAAAATGAATAATATAATAAATTAAATTGAACTTAAGTAATATCAATTAATAATTGACAAGTAGCAACAGTTAATTAAAATAAGATAATTTAATTAAAATTAAGTGAATCAATTTATATATATGAGCAATAATAAATAATAAGATCAAATAATTAAGATGATTTTGAATAAATGTATATAAAAATATGTTGATATTATAGAAGAGAATAATAAAATTGTTAATGGATTATGAATATTAAATTTGAAAGAGAAATAGTAAAATAAATATTATCCTTTTAAATTTTATCTGAACCAAATAATAATTTATAATTACTATAATAAGAAGAGATAAGTAAAAGTGTGGTGGAATAGGAGAGTAGTTTGATTATGTATTAATATGAGTATAATGAATTTGTTTGGTTAATTAAATCCACCATTTTTATAATATAAATAAAATGATAAAACAAAAAAAGAAATAATATTAAAACAAGATGGAGTAGCTTATTCAAAATAAAAGACAGGAACATATGGAGCTACTTAATTAATTGGAGAAATTGGAAATATAATAATAAATAAAAGAGATGCAAATAATTTAGACGATTACATAATAATAAAAAAGAGAGCAAGAAATAGAGATAATAGCAGCACCTTAATTAGTATCTCCAAAATGGTTAATGAATTTGAAACCAACAATGACATATGAAAGTGATGTGGTAACTTAAGAGGAAAGTGAATTAGATTAGATTGTAAAACATCAATTAAAAGAAAAGATTCAGAAATAGAAAGTAAGAAATATATTTAATGGAATAGGAAATGCAATAATAAGCATATTTAGAATTAATAAATGAATTAGATTTGCAATAGAAACATCATACATATGATGAAAAGGTAAAAGAGGATTTCAAATGCACATATCAATATATGAGTTAAGGAAGATAAGTTAGTATTGATATAAAGTATTACGATTTCTCTAAGTTGAATCCATAGAATTATGTAAACGATACTATAATAAACTTCTTTTTGAGATTCATTGAGAATGACATCTTCAAAAATAAATCTCTTTTAATTTACAATACTTATTTCTGTACTAGATTATTATCATTTCATGTGGAATATAAACAAATTTATTAATAGTATTTGCAAAATAATTCAATGTTACAAAAATGGACTAAAGATAATATATTTAAAAAATAATATTTATTATTTCCTCTACATTTACGTGAACATTGGGCAGTAATATTTGTAGTAAATCCATTACAAGTTTGCGAATAATTGTGTAATAATAATAACTTTTAATTGAGTAATGATGTAAATAAAAATGGGTATTTAATCTATTTTGATTCACTCCTAATATAGGATTAAAGAATTGGAATTCAAATTAAATTTTATTTAATGCATGTCTATAATCATGAACATAAGAAATATAATGATGATCAAATCTATGAAATTGTAATGAGATCAAATGTACCTGTACATTAACCTATAGTTCCAAGATAGACAAATCTAGTAGACTGTGGATTGTATATGTTAGAATATGTGGAGAGGTTTTTAATGAATCCTTATTAAATTCTTAATTATTTGGAATAGGATCACTTGAAATGGTTTCCAAAAGTGATGATTTTTATTAAACGCATATTAATTAAAAAAATATTAAATGCCTTAAGTTCTGGATAAAAAGATTATGCACTAAGATACCAAGAAAACTGCAAGATGATTGATTAACAATTCAGTATTTATTTTATTTATTAATTATAGCTGATACAAATCAATATGATTACATTGATGAATAACTCCTCGAATAATTATAAGTTCCACGTTTACAATTTCATCTAAGCGAAGATTATAATTACTATTATGATGTATCGCCTAGTATTGGTTTATGATAAATATATATATATATTTATGATCATTTATTAAACTTCTTTTTATACTTTCTCTTATGCATTTTCCATCCTCTCTTTTAATATATCTACTTTCTATTAAACAAGCCTAAACAATATAGCCTAACAATTTTATCTGACAACATTATATTATATGCTCAAAAGTAAAATACTACTATAATACCCAAAAAAATAAAAATTCATACAAAAGATATTTATTCATGTAAAATACATTTTTAAGTAAAGCTACCTCTCTTCTATTTAATAATATAATTCAAGGTCTAGTTATTAAATACAAAATAATTAAATTAATTATTGAGTCATTATTTATTAACTGTAATATTAACTTTAGTTTAAGTAATAATCACCAATGTCTTAATAATTCTCAAATAATTAATTTATTTTGCCCATTTACAATAATCTTTCTCATATATTGAACTTTGAATTGAAAGTCAACTAAATGATCTTAAATACCAAAATTATTTCTGTANTTACAAGTTTGCGAATAATTGTGTAATAATAATAACTTTTAATTGAGTAATGATGTAAATAAAAATGGGTATTTAATCTATTTTGATTCACTCCTAATATAGGATTAAAGAATTGGAATTCAAATTAAATTTTATTTAATGCATGTCTATAATCATGAACATAAGAAATATAATGATGATCAAATCTATGAAATTGTAATGAGATCAAATGTACCTGTACATTAACCTATAGTTCCAAGATAGACAAATCTAGTAGACTGTGGATTGTATATGTTAGAATATGTGGAGAGGTTTTTAATGAATCCTTATTAAATTCTTAATTATTTGGAGTAGGATCATTTGAAATGGTTTCCAAAAGTGATGATTTTTATTAAACGCATATTAATTAAAAAAATATTAAATGCCTTAAGTTCTGGATAAAAAGATTATGCACTAAGATACCAAGAAAACTGCAAGATGATTGATTAACAATTCAGTATTTATTTTATTTATTAATTATAGCTGATACAAATCAATATGATTACATTGATGAATAACTCCTCGAATAATTATAAGTTCCACGTTTACAATTTCATCTAAGCGAAGATTATAATTACTATTATGATGTATCGCCTAGTATTGGTTTATGATAAATATATATATATATTTATGATCATTTATTAAACTTCTTTTTATACTTTCTCTTATGCATTTTCCATCCTCTCTTTTAATATATCTACTTTCTATTAAACAAGCCTAAACAATATAGCCTAACAATTTTATCTGACAACATTATATTATATGCTCAAAAGTAAAATACTACTATAATACCCAAAAAAATAAAAATTCATACAAAAGATATTTATTCATGTAAAATACATTTTTAAGTAAAGCTACCTCTCTTCTATTTAATAATATAATTCAAGGTCTAGTTATTAAATACAAAATAATTAAATTAATTATTGAGTCATTATTTATTAACTGTAATATTAACTTTAGTTTAAGTAATAATCACCAATGTCTTAATAATTCTCAAATAATTAATTTATTTTGCCCATTTACAATAATCTTTCTCATATATTGAACTTTGAATTGAAAGTCAACTAAATGATCTTAAATACCAAAATTATTTCTGTAAATTTTTGTAATTTGGTTTAACGGAGTAAATAATATGGAACCCTTTTTTCTGATATAATTGTTAGAATGATTGAAATGTTATAAGTATTAAACAATTGATTGATATTTTAAAGGTACTCAATTTTGGTTAAACTGATTGTTTGTTGATTATTTTTATTAATTTCTAGTTTTTTTAAAAGAATATATATCCTTTTTTTTTAATTAATATTGATTCCTTAGTTTTTTAATTTCTTTATTAGTAATCCAATAACAAGTAATAAATCAGCAAGAGCACAAATCTAATATATATTATATGAACTTGGCAATTTAATTCTATACTTTGAAATAGATAATCTTGAATCTCCTAATTTATCTCAATATTATGGATATCTTTAAATTTTCCCTATTCAAAATCTCTTATTTAAATTTTAAATCTAATAAAATTTTGCACTTTTCAACGATTCTTACAATTTAAGATTTGAGATAAATATATTGAAAATACTTCTATCTACTTTATTAACTTGGAATTGCTATTCAGATGACTTAAGCTGGTTATTTTTGAATCAAACTTATTTCAAAAATTGAATTTGTCAATCTAACATAATCGCAATTCATTAATATCATTCTCTTACTCTTGTATTTAATTTCCAAAAATCACTATTATTAGCGTCTTGTTAAGTAGATACATATAAAAATAAATAATCCTTTTATGTTATTTAGCTGAGAGAGGTCTACTTATATATTGATTTAACCTACTTTAAATTAAAGAATAAATACTTATATCTTTTAGATATTATTTAAATAATTATCAAAAATATTCCATCTAAGAGGATAATCATTAATAATTAAATGAAACAATATTTAGAAGAATTAAAGAAAAAAAGAAATCATTGTTAAATAATCAATTTACTCATTCAATAATTACAATAACATTATTTAACAATATATTACTTAATAGACTCAGAAATATTGACACTGATATACTTTTTTGTGAAATGACAGGAAAATGGTTAAGCCAGATTAGGATTTAATGAAAATGATAAAAAATTAAATGATCAATTTCATATACAATTATTGCAATTTGGATTATAAAAAAAAAAGGATCGAAAAAAAGGTTCTCGTAATGTAAAAAATGTTACTTATTTATATAAATACCCCCAGTACTAAATAAGATTCATTTAGTTTATATAATAAAAGATTAAAAAAAAAGATAAATACTTTAAATTGTAAAAAATCTTAGATGAAATATAAATCTAAATAATCTCTAGAAGAGAAAATGAAAATTGAAGAATACTTTTAAAATAAAAAAGTCTTAAGGAATCGAATATTATCGATCAATTCCCTCTTTATTAGACTGTTTCTGAAAATTTGATTTAGGAATCATTTCATCACTATTATACATTTTACAATTCATTAGTCTAAGAGTTTATGGATTTTATTGCAATTAAATAATGATCTTAAATTCTCAGTTTTTTAGTTTGTTCATATATTTATACATTTATCAATACTAAATTTCTATATAAATTTAACAATCATCTAAAATTTTTAAGACCATCCCCATTATGCTAAACAATCAAACTACTTAAGAATAAATCATTTGCATAGATAATCAAATAGAAAATACTCATTAATAAACTATTATATACAGATAATCAGATACAATCACTGAATGGGAAGAATAGAAAATAGAATCCATTCTAAAGAGCAATCATCCTTCTAATACAACAGACAATTAATCTTAAGATCGTAAGAGATTTTATTCCAACAATGACATTAGAAAAGTATCCTTTGATGAAAGTCTCAATACTGTACATACATATTGTAAAGATAATAAAAAAGAAATTAAAAACTTTGAAACTAGTTTTAAATAAAAGAAAAAGACAGAGAAACCTGATATTCCAAAATCTAAGAGATTTGGTAACCATAAAAAGAGAAAAAACTCTTTTTGATAAATAATTAGATATTATCACATTCGTTATACATTCAAAACACCTTTTTGGATAAGAATTTGTAATTTCTACATTAATTGTGGATCCTTATAAGCAAATTCTTAAAAATCAACTTTTCCTGTTCTTTATAAAAATTCAATAAATGCTTGAACTCTTGGATCCAGTAAAACAGCTTTTACTTCCTTATCATTTTCTATGATATCTTGAATTTTCTCTTCTTATGATTATGGTTGTTTCTTTTAAGGAGGTTAATTTACAGGAATAACTTTAGATTATTATTATTATTATTATTATGACTAATCTTTTTTTTAAGGATTTAATTATTAAAAGTGTTCACCCATTGTTTTCATATATTCTGACATCAATTCTACAAATTCAGGGTTATTTTTATATCTCTACATTATACCTGTTGGATTGCTTTACATTTATTAGACTGCAGATAAATATTCTGGATTAGTGAATAATTTTTATAATTTTGGATTGTTTGTAATCTATCATAATTTTAAATATCATTTACTTTTTATAATAAATCTTAATTTAGCCATTCTTCTTTATTTTATGTCAAGAATTATCCAAATTAAGATTGATTGTTTTATTTCATATTTGCTTAAACTTCATCAATTTCTAAAGGATTTTTTTTTTCTTTAGGTTTAATAATATCTTGATCATTATTTTGATCATTCAAAAACCCTTTCTTTAAACCTGTAAAAACATTATCTTATTATTTAGTCTGTTAAATTTAGACAGGTTTTTGTTCAATAGGTTTTGTATAATCTCCAATGTCAATTGAAGCTTCTTTTTTCTTCGATAGTTATTCACTAAAATCTTCCAAATCAGGAATATCATCATCCATTATAATATATAAAATATAATAAATAAGAATAATTATAACGATTTAAAATTCAAAAAAATGAGTAGAAATAATTAAGGATCATCAATATCAACTCTTGTTCCTATACTTTAAAGATAATGTCCAACAGGTAGAGTAACATTAAATGATATGTATATTGGGGATATGGGAGCAAAATTAGTAGCAGATACAATAAAAAATTATCCAAATATTGGAATTTTGGATCTGAAAGGAAATAATATTGGTCCAAATGGATTTACAGAAATATTCTAAGCATTGAAAACTAATATTGTAAATCATATATATTTAATAAGAGTCTTTAAGAACTCTAACTTTATAATGGAATTAACTTTGTGCAAACAATAATTTAAAGGCACTTGAATTACTATATTAAGTAATGTCAATAAATAAATCAATTACTCATATAGATATATAAAATAATAGATTAAATACAACATGTGCAGGATTGATAGCAAATATAATTAGAAATAATCCTTAATTAAGAACTTTAGATTTAAGATGGAATGAATTAGGTAATTAAGGTGTAAGACTTTTAATACCAGCAGCTGCTGCTAATGGTTATATTCTATCAATAGAAATATAAGGTAATGGTGCTACTGAAGATTCCATAAGAGAATTAAATTCAATACTAAAATAAAATAAGGATAATGTTAATCTAGCTGGTATGTAAGATCCAGGTAGAAATTAAGGAAGATATTAACCTGGATAAAGATAACCTCTTAAAGAAATGGCATAACATTTAGAAGAAGAAAGAAGAGCTGTTGCTAAACATTTAGAAAAATTAATTGAAAGAGAAAGAGCTTTAGGTTTATAATTAAAGGAAGAATATGAAGAAAAAACATTATAATGGAGATAAAAATTATTAGGAAATTAAGCAAAATAAGATTAGTTAGAAAGAAATGCAGGAGAACTTTAAAATCATAAAAATATATTGAAAAATGAAATATAAAAATGGGATAATAATATTAAATAATTATAATAGTAAAGATCATTTACTACTAAATCTTTAGAAGAAAGATATTAAGAAACTGAAAAAAATATTAGAGATCTTGAAAAAAAGTAATAAGATGAATTAGCTGAATAATAAAGAGGACATTTCTTTAATTTAAGGGAAATTGATAATGAATGGGGTAAAAAATGTGATTAAATGATGGATGAAAATAGATAATTAGATGATCATATTTAAATTTAATCATAATAATGTAATAAAATTAAAGATGATATTGCTAAATTCAATTCAACAACTTAAATTTAAACAATGGAAGTTATTGAAAAAGTAAAAAAATTAGTTTTAGAAGAATTCAAAGAAAAATTGAATTAAATGGAAAAACAAGTAGAAAAAATAGATTAAGATAGACTTAAAATAGTTAGAGATAGTTAATAATCTATATTAGAAGCATAAAAAGATCTTAAATAAATTACAGAATAATATTCTGATATGTTAAAAGATAAAGTGAGGTTGGAATTAGAGAATAGAAATCTATCTGTTGATAATTATTAATTAGAATAATTTTCATCCACTGTTACTTAAGATCTAACATATAGAAAAGATCTAGAAAAAAAAGTACTTGATTAATTAACAAAAATTAAAGAAAAAGAATTTAAAATAAATAATTATGAATTTGAATAAATGAATAAAATTAATAATAACTTTAAAAATGATACTATCTATCATACTAAATTTAAAGAAGTAAGCATTATAATATAATTTTAGGATAGTCGACATAGAGAAGAGGCTTTAGATAAAACATTAAGAGAAAGTGACATCGAAAATCATAAGTTAGCTAAAGACATTAATAAATTAACTGATTTACTATCAGCCAAAACAATTAAAGCAGTTTTATCAACATTCTAAGAACACAAAGTTTTTTGAAATTAATATTTACTATTCTAATTTATTTATTAATTATTTAAATATCATTTTTATAATTAAAAATCATATTTTAATATAAAATCATTCTTTCATCTATTATTGTGTTTATTCAATTTATTCTTATGTTCTTTAAAATTATGCTTCTTTTTCAAAAGCTTAATCTATTTTTTATTATTTTTCAAATCCTTCTATTGCATTCTAAAATAATATTAAATATGATACAATAAATCATATGTTATTTCTTTATTCAATTCAAAAAAGTCCAAAAACTTATACATAATATCTTTCAAATCTCCAATTTTAAAATTGAATAATAACATATTTTATGCCATCTGAGTTAAAATAGTTAAAATCATATTTTTTTCTACTGAAATTTATTCCAATTGACTTGATATCTGTTATTAATTCTTTGATTTTTTCATAGATCTATTGAATAATACTAGTTTCCCATAAATCTCGATTTTCCCAAACCTAATGTTTAGCAAATTCATTTGATATAAAATAACACAATATTTTATTTTTGTCATTTTTTTCTTAATAAAAAAGTTCCAGCATCAAATGATTCTAAACACTAAATAATTTAAAATCAGTACAATTTCTAATAATCAATTGAATAATTTAAGAACATTTTAAAAAGCAATTGGTTTAAATTTAAATTATGTATTAAATCTTTTGTTTTAAATAGCAACAATTATTAACATTCTTAATTAATAATTATCTTTTGTTTTTTTTTTAACTTCTTAAAACATCTATTATTATATATCTTCTTCTTTCCAACAATCATATACTAATTTAGCTGCATAATATGTTTCCTATTGTTTTTGATCTTCAGGCTTTAAATCAAACCCTGCTTCAACATTTGTAATTATATTCATCACTTTTTCATCATTATTCAAAGTTAATAATTCATCAAACTCTTTTTAAAAGAATTTTTGTAAACTATTGCTAATAAAAGAAGTAAGATGGATAACATCTGATTTTTCAAATAGATTAGGACCTTCTTATTTAATATTAGCAATAAATTTAGCAACTTCATCTTTTGTTATGATATCATTAATTACTTCTGTAATTTTCTCTAAATCATACTAAACATTTTTTGAATGCGATACTTCAAAAATCTACAATTAAATTATTAATTTACAATTTATTTTATTAGACTATCCTAAAACATTCCGATTCTTTTTTCTTCCTATTCTTGCATAGTATTTAATATTTCTTGCATTTTAGTTTTAGAAATTTCACAATTTTAATTATAATCATTTACAGATTATTAATATTTTTATTCAAGATCAAAGTATTCTTATTGTATTTAATTCACTTTATAATATTAATTGATTCTTTTTTTTTATGAATATTCAGATAATAAATTATAAACAACTAAAATTGTTGCATACTATTCATATTCTCTTTTTTTTTATTTATATTCTTAAAAATTCTATAAAAATAGATTAAATGAATACTTTCTTAAATTCTTGATTTAATACTAAATTCTCTTTTTCCATTTTCTTAGCTTCTTCAATTAATTTTTTTGAAGTTGTATTTTATTGTTAAATCACTTATTAAGTTAAATAATTAGATCCTCTCTTATTTGAGAGCATAAACTCTAAGCTTAATATTATCTACTAATTGTGAGACTTTTTAAACAAAATATAGGGACCTTATACATTCTATTAATCATTTAATAAAATTACTATGATTTTTCATCTAATTTAGCTATATTAGCCACTAATTTATCTAGAGATTTTGCATATTTTTCTTCTAAATTTGCTCTTTCTTCATACAAATCTACAACTTCTTCAATAATTTTTGGACCTGCTTATAATTAGTTTGCCACCTATGAAAAATATGAAAATAATGATTCTGCATAATTTTGTTGCATTTTATTAATTAATTATAAATTATAACAAGGTGTCATTCTTTAAGATAATGATATAATTTCCAAATTCATTTTATTAATTTTATTTAGTATAAATGACAACATTCATAAGAATAATGATGTTTGTTAAATTATATATTAATTATTTTTATTTTTTTTGGAATTAAATAAAAATGGAGGAAAAAATTTAGGAATTAAAGATATAAGTAGATTAATTAACTGAAGAAGCAGAACATGATTTTCAAAAAGGAGAACATTATAAACCTTAAGTTACATAAATAATAAAATAAATTGATTCTTTAATAGAAAATGAAGATTTAGAGAGTAATTTGAAATTGTAATATATTTAGTTTCAAAGAAGCATAAAATAGAGCTTTATTTTTTGAAAGGAAAGGCATCTGATATTTTACCAGAGTATTCTAAATTTGCAGAGGAAGCCTTAACAAAAGCAGTAAATATTGATTCAAAATAATTTATAGATGAAATTAAATCCTTTTCATATAGATAGTTTAAATACTTTAGGACATATATTGTGGAAAAAAAAAGATTATGTTGCTGCAAAATAATGTTTTGAAACTGCAATTGAAAAAGATGCAAATAATATAAAGTCATTACAATACTTATCAATAGTATTGAGATAAGTTGGAGATTAGAAAGATAAGAGTTCAAATGTGACGAAATCATTAGAAGTAGCAAAGAAAGCTTTAACTTTTGATTTAAAGAATGCTTAATCATGGTATTTAGTTGGAAATGCATATCTTTCTGATTATTTTATGAATCCAAAGAAAAATAATAATGAATTAAATTTAGCATTATCTGCATATAATTAATCAGAAAAGAATTAAAGTAGAGAGAATCCTGATTTATATTTTAATAGAGGAAATGTATAATTATAGTTTTATTAATTTTAATAGATTCATTGTTATTTTGAAGATTATTAATTAGCATTTAATGATTATTCGAAAGCTAATAAGATTGATTAATCGTTAACGAATGATACATTAAAATAAGTTTAATAAAAAGTACTGAGAGTATATGATTTGGTTACAAATAAATGTAGAATAACATAAAAAAAGTTATAAAATATTGTTAAATAAATACCTATAGGTTTAAGAGAATAACCAAAAGGATTTGATAAACCACTTTAAATGTGTACTATAGTAGATCTTAAAGAAGGAATAAATAAAGGATTAATATTAGTAAGCAAAAGTTTGGTAAGTTATACAGAGTAAAATACAGTACCTGCTGGTTTTGTGATAGTTGATAGTAAATTAAATTTTGTTAGTTTATCTATTTATAATACTTCATAAGAAATTTATGAGAAAATTAGAGAATTAACAGATGTATTTATTATTGAGCCAGAAGTTAAACAAATTATATGTGAAATAGATGGAAAAGTAATATAATATAAATATTATAATAGCAAATATCTTACATGTGTATATAGGTTAAGGATGCAAATAAGATTTATGTGGAGAATGAAAAAATAGTGAATTAATTGGCACATTCAATGGTGGTTAATTAAACATTTGAAAAATGAGATTTTGATCTATAATATTTTTGATTGAAGTATCATTATAGATATATTTATTTAAATAGCAATATCTATAAATTAATAATGAATTTAATTAATTAAATTACTATAATATTAAATGTAACAGGGTGAAGCGAATATAGCAGAGAAGAGATAAATGAGAAGAGCAAGAACTAATTTTGAAGATGAAACGTAATAATGAAGTTTATTAATATAAGAGAAGAAGCAATGAATGAAAAAATGACCTGTTATGAAAGTGTTTTAAATTGTTTTGGATCATTTTTTGGAACTTTAAGAGCATGGTTACCATGTTGTTGTTTTTGTTGTCCATATCCTTATTATGAAATAACATAAGGATAAAAAGGATTATTATAAAAATTTGGAAAATATTAAAGAACTTTAGAGCCTGGGCTTCATGAATTCAATCCGTAATTTAATTAATATTATAATATAATTAGTTTCACTGATAGAGTTATTCCTGTTAGTACAAAGACATTGTAAGATCATTCAAATTATTAGATAGTATTATTGATTTAGAGAGATAATTGATCTTGACTAAAGATAATATCACTGTTAATATTGATACTATTGTATATTATAGAGTAGTGGATGTATGCAGATCAGCTTATAGAGTTAAAAAAATAGTTGAAGCTGTTAAAGAAATAACATATGCTGTAATAATATAATTTATTAATTTTAAGACTCTTAGAACTGTTGCAGGTGAACATACATTATAAGATATCATTGAAAATAGATAGAAGATTGCAGATGAAATCGAAGGATTTGTATTTGATGTTGTCTCAGAATGGGGTATCATATTATTATTAAATATTTATAGGAATATTTTTAGAACATGTTTTCATTAAAGATATGTAAATGGGAGAAGATTTATAAGCATCACTTTCTAATGCTCCTAAAGCTTAAAGATTAGCTTAATCCAAAATTATATCAGCTAAAGTAATATTTATTTATACATTAGAGTGATGTAGAAGCTGCTAAACTTATGAGAGAAGCTGCTGATATGTTAGATTCTAAAGCAGCTATGTAAATTAGATATTTTGAAACTATTTAACTTATTGCAAAAAACAGAAATCCAAAAATTCTATTTCTATCTATGGATTAAAATTAAAAAAAATGATTATAGATTATTATTATGATTCATTAATCAAAAATTATCTATTATTTTATAATCAATCTATCTTTCAATATCATTCATTTCTAATATAAATATATCTAATAATTTTAAATAAGAACCGACTCTTATTTTTATTATTTAATAAATATCAAATTAAAAATGAATACCCCAGGAAATTTAGAAATTTTAAATCACTAATTGAATATCTAAAATAACAAATTATCTCTCTAAATTGAAGTCTTATCATAACAAGTCTAAATACTTCTAAATTAAATTGAATAATTATAAGAAAAGGCTATGCTTTACTAAAATTTAAAAGATGAAAATATCACTCTTAAAAAAGACATTATGAATTTATAAGAGCAAATTTAAGCATAAGAATCAGAATCATATTTTGTTCAAGAAAATAAATTCAATTAATAACTTGATGAAATGTAAAAAAGACACAAAAAACAAATATAAGACTTAAAAAGTTTATATGAGGATAAAATTATATTGTTATAGAATGAAAAGTCCTCTATCTAAGATTAGGCTATGTAAATGGGATTATCAAATTTAACTTCAAAATCATTGGAATAGTAAGCTGCCAAAATAATACAAATAAGTCATAAATTAGAGTAATTATTTTTTATTTAAATCAGAAAAACATTGTCAGATCTTCCATCTTAAAGTCCAAGTCATGGACATATAGGATTATCTAAAGAAATGTATGATTAAATGATTGAATAATTAAAAAGTAAATCAACAAAGAACATAATCTTAGACAAATTACCAGATTAATAAAATTTGTAAAATCCTATATAAATAATGTAGCTCTTAAAGATACAAGCAAGCATCCATAGCAAATATCAAAAAAGATCCCAATTTTAGTGTTAAAAGAATTTTACATTACAATAAACCTTAAGAATCACCTATAACTTAAAATTCTGGAAATGCTCTCACAATTAGCACATTAACCAAGAGGTCTTGATCATTATTTACTTTTAAAATTACATTTCATAATTTTTAAATATCAATCTTTTCAAATTATCATAATTAAGTATCTAAAATAATTATTAAATAAAAAGATTTAATTTATGCACAACGATCATTATTATTATATATTTTAACTAAATAATTATCAATAGTAATGATTAATTAAATCTATTTCTCTTAAAACTGATTATCGACCATATCTATTCCTTTTTGGAGTTCCAACAACATAAGTTGAAGATGATCGAATTTCTCTAACAGGAGTAGAACGCTTTATTTAAGTTTCAAGAAATGTGTTTTTTGATTTCTCATAACATTTTTCATCAATAAGTCTACTATTATCTTATTTTAATGATTAAACACGACTTTCTATAACATAATCAATATAAAGTTCATACCCATTTCAGTTATTAATTTAGTACTTTACTTCTCATATTTTTTTAGTTACTATTACCACTACTAGCATTAATCCTTGAGGCATTTATTTTCTTCTATTAATTATGCAATTTAAGAATGTAATTAAACAACAAATGAATTATATTAAACTTACTATGCTTCAGTTAAACCTTTTAATTCTAATCTAAATTTATTATTAATTTATTTTACTTATATACTTAATCTATATTTATCAAATGCTTTTATTAATCTACAATAAGATCTTAAACTTGTAATTTAAAATATTCCTATTATTGCATAATTTCTGTTTTTAACAATTAATTTTCTGTGTTTAAATTTTAAATAACATTTTCTAAACCTCTTTTTTCTAATGTAATCTACTATGAATAATTTTCCAGTTTTTCTCTCTCTTAAGCAATCTCTTTTTCAATTTTTACTTTCAAACTTGAATCTACAGCTTTTTTTAAGGCCTCAATCTCTTTTTGATGTTTTTCTTTTAATAAACCCATTTAATCTCTTAATTATATAGTTTCAACTAATTCTTAAGCTTATATTTCTATTTTATTTTCAGCAAATTTTAATTATTGATGAGTCTCTGATAGTAATTATTGTATTTAATTTAAATTTGAAAGAGTTTCTTAAAAATTGTTATTTATTTTGATATATTCTTCTTATGATTTGTGTAATTTAGTTTATAATTATTGTATTTCATCTTAAAATCTTTACAACTTTTCTAATTAATCTTTATTTTGCATTTCATAATTTTCTTCCATACGTATTGTTTTTAATTTCCAATTATCTATCTCATTACTTTATTCTACAGTAAGTTATTAAAGTCTATGTAATTCATTTCTTAAACTTTATATTTATGGTCTTGTTTCTTCTATTTCTTCTCCTTTTATATTACTTTAATAAGATAACTACTAAATGTAAGATGTCTATTCATCTATCTTCTGTAGTAAAACATTGATTTTTTCATTTAGATTATTAATTTCTTTATTCTTCTATTAAATAATTTATTCTGTTTACTAACTTTATAGAAATAATAATTACTAATTTATTTTATTGTTAATTTTATAACAATTTAATATCAAATTGATTTTATTATTATTTTAAGTATGATGTATTCTCTTAAAATAATTTATCAAATTTTAACTTTTATGCTTCTAACTCCTTATATTACATAAGTAATTATTATTCCTTAATTTATATTTCTTAGACATTATCTGCTAATTATTTCTCTAAATTATTAGTTTTACTTATTTCATTATTTAAATTTTATCTTGTTTAATTTAATAGTTTCTATAAATCCTCATTTTCCATTATAACTTATTATATTTATTTTTTAAGATGATTAATTTCTTTATTATAATTATGTTAATTTTCTTATTGTTGTAATTTATGATTTCTATTTAATTCATTTAAATTTGTTTTCATCTAATTAATATCAAGTTTATATTGTTAAAATTCTTAATCATTTTTTTCTAATTATAATCTCTCTTCTTTCTCTAATAATTTTAATTCCTCAAATTATATTATCAATTCTTCATACTTTATTCTTCTACTCTCTATATCTTTTTCTTAATTAATTAATTTTTATTTCTGTTATCTATTTTCATTAATTTATTATTCCAATTAAATTTATAACTATTAGATCTTTTCACCATTCTTTTTTATAAGAACATCCTATTATTCTATGATGTTACTGATTTATTAATTATTACTTAATAGTTCATTTCCTTTTTTATCTTTATAATCTAATTATTCTTTGGCCATTTATAATTCCTTAGAACAACTTTTTAATTTCTCTTCATAAGATTATATTAAATCTGAATTTTGTTTTAATTCATTTAAAAGCTTTTCGATATTTGCAGTAAGATTCTTATTTTGTTATTCATACAATTCTCCATAATGTGCTTTCCATTTTTATTCAATTATTTCTGTTTCGACTTAAAACTTTTTTTGCAATGATTCATATTGATATGAGAGTTCTTCCAATTATATTTATAAACTCTAATTCATTAAAACAACCTTTTCATTTTCATATATCATTTTTGTAGTTCTATTTTCAATTGCTCGATATCTATCATCTTTTTATGATTAATAAGCATTCTACAACATTCTTTATTCTTCTTGTAACAAATCTATTTCTCTATTTTTATCATTTAATTATGATAATAATCTCTCATTCTCTGTTGCTAACATTACAACTTTATTTTCTAATTCTTATACAGTTAATCTTTGTTAACTATGATTTAACTCTGCTAATAAATCTCTTTGATAAAAATGATAATCCTTTTTATCACTAAGATTGCTGATATTATGAAGAGAAGAATCTTTATCAAAATATGTTTATCTAGTGTCATACATATTATTTAAATTTAAAATACTTTAAACAGTTAATCGATTTTTTTTTATTAATAGATATTCATCATATAAAGTGGAATTCTAAATGAAACTTGAATAATCAACATAAATTCAAACTCAAAACTAAATTGCTTTACAAAATTGTAATATAAAATGTAATTCAAAGCCAATAATACTGATTGGAAATTCTGAATTAAATTTTTTTTTTTTCTATTCATATTTTTAAATAATAATAATTTAGAAATGAATCATGAACTTTTACAACATAAGTTTGATAGATAAAAATAGAGAACTTTAACATTAATATAGAAGTTAAATAAAGATCAAAAATAATTAGAAAAAATAAAATAAAGAAATATTTTGAGAGTAGAACGTTTGATGTCTTTGAATCAAAAAGACTTAGGAAATATTTGCAATTATAGTTTAACAACAGATCATAAACATGAAACAAAATTTAGTTTTCACAGTCGAAAAAATACACTTTAAATGAAATTAGAAAGCATAGATGATTCTTTTTCATAAAAAAAAAATGATCCTTGTAATTAGAACAAAAATTATTGGTATTTTGATAATTTTATATAAAATAGGGCAAGATTAGCTTACAGATAAACTTTATTAAATAGTGATAGATAATATAGAAATTTTTGATAGAGAATGTTATATTTATATATTTTGATGATTATATTTATTTATAATAAATAATCAAAAAATAGAATGAAAAAATGGGATGATGACGCAAGGTTAAAGAGTTATGTAAATAAAATTCTAAATGTGAAATCAACATTAACTAACAACTAAAAAACTACTTCAAAAAGTAAATGATACTATTTATTTTGAAATTAGAAAGAATTAATAGAGATACTGAGTATAGTAGCAATGCAACAAATCGTTCAAATTTAACAGACTTTAAAGACAGCATTCTTTATAAGTAATTTGAATGTATTATAAATAGATAATTAATGGAATATAGTTTATAATAATATACAAATAAATTATTGTTAAGAGGATATAAGAATGGTCTGTAATAATTAGCATAACAATCTTAAGAAATCTAGAATTTAGTATTATAAGAAATAAAGTTATTACCTGGTCATAGATAAAAATTTTTAGATTTATTCAAACATTTAAATGACAATTTAGGATCTAACAACGACAATAATAATTAGCAAATAAATCATAATAATTTTGCCTAAAATAGAAATACTTTACCTGGTTAATTAAATTCACATGGATAATTTGAATAAACTAAAGAAGTATACATGGAAATATTAAAACCAATAAATAGAAGAGCTTCAATGAAAAATTTTTCACCTTAACAAGAATATACCTAAATTAAACCTAGAGTATTACCTAAATTGGAATAAGTTTCAAGTAAGGGAAAAAAAGAAAGGAATACTTAAATTGAAGAAGTAACTTCTAAATAAGTTGATTAATAAATAATAAATCTTCAAAGTACATAAATGTCTAACACAAAAGAGATTGATATAAAACCACTAAACAAAACTACTAAAAATTCTCTATCAAAATCAAATTAAACAAAGAAAATATTGTAGGTTTAAAAATAACACTAAGATAATAAACCTATTAAATTTATTAATAAATTATTATTGATAAATGGAAAAAACAATAATGAAATTAATTTAGAAAGAGAATAAATAAATTTAATGTATTAATCTTTTGACAATGGAAGATTAGCATCAACATTAATTAACATTGATATTGAAGAAATAAGTTATTGTGTTGGGATTTCAATTAAAAATATGATGGTTATAGCTGACTTAGATATAATAAATAATTTTAATTCAAATGCATTATTATAGACAGATGATAAATAATCTTGTTAATCAGATAGTATTAAAAAAAATAATATTAGATTAAAATATTATAAATGATGAAAATGATCAATTCTTTGAAGATTAGACTTTTCCATTATAGTAAGATGATAATAATGAAAAATAATCATCTTAATAAGAAAATTTAGATTAATATCAAGATGAAGAGTTAAAAGAAAATTATATTGAAAATTTAGAAAATGATGATGAACAAAACAGCAATACTGAATTAAATTATTAGAATGAATAATTCTAACAAGAAGAAGAAAATAAGTTATTATTTTATTCTATATTTTAAGTTAATAATTACCTAAATCATAATTTTCAGTTGATACAACTTTAAATTTATAAGAATCAATATTGTTTTATAAAGTATTTAGTGATATGGAAATGTAAAATTATATACCAAATGTGGATATAATACAAAATTATTGTAAAAATATAATGATAACAACTAAAATGGAAAGGGAAGTAGCAATTATATCAATGATCTATATAAATAGATTATTAGATTATAATAAAGGTTTAGAAATAAATTGTTTAAATTGGCAGAAAATATTATTTACATCTTTAGTAATGGCTTCTAAAATATGGGATGATGAATCATTTGAAAATAATAATTTTGCAAAGGTTCTACCATAGTTTTCAACTGTTTAAATTAATGAGATGGAGAAAGTATTTTTAAAATTAATTGAATATCATTTATATGTAAATTCAGGAGATTATGCTAAATAATATTTTTTATTGAGGACTTATGCAGATAAAAAATAAAGAAGTTATGCTGTAAAATAATTAGATATTGCAACTGTTCTTAGATTATAAAGAGGTGGTTAATAATTGATAACCAAACAATAATTTATAAATACTTAAAATAAAAGTTTTTGAGATTACTCTATATTATAACTATAAAAATAATCTCTCTTTTATTTTATTTATTGAATCATATAATAATTTTCAGTAAAATATAATAATAACTTATTTTAAGAAATAAATTAAAAACATGAAACTCATTTCTTTTTTTATTTCGGATCTATTTTCTCTTTATAAATTTAATTATATAAATACCTTATGCTTTAGTGTCTTTCTTATCATTTTTTCCTTAATTTTATTCTTTTGTATTTTTTTCTTTTTAATCTTTATTTCCTTTTTAAGGTGATTTACTTTTATCATTTTTATCATTCTTTGGATCAGGTTTTCCATCATTTTTCGCAGCTTGAATTTAAGCTTTATATTTTTCATCTTTAATTTATATAATTTCATTCTACTTAATTAAAGTTCAGCCAAAGATTTAGCCATTGTCTGTTATCGAAACTGTTCTGCTTATTTCTTTTTCTCATATTTTAAAACAGCCTGAGCTGCAAATTCATAAACATTTCCATTAGGAAATCCATCCTTACAAAGTTTTCTCAAAAAATATTCATAAGCAGCTAATACACCACTGTTATTCAATATTTATTCTTATCAATATTTTAAATGCATTATACATTTTTATTCTAAAATATGTTTTTCTTCATTATTTAATTCTGAATCACCTTACTATTTCTCTTAAGTATCATCTGTTGTTCCTTTCATCAATATTTTACTAAATTATTTATAATATTAATTATTATGAATAATTATGAATAATAAATATATATTTAATCTAATGTAATCAATTATTCTTGATCAGGAATTTTGTGACTAAAATATCTTTACATACTATTAAAGATCAAAAAAGATTCAACCTAAAATTCTAATTAGTGACTTTAAAAAAAAAAATATAACAAGATAACTTGGTAATGACAATCAATAGAAATTTCAATTTAGTAATTATTATAATATCTAACCTTTACGAGCCCAAAATCTTTCAATCAGCAAGCTTACCCAAAAAAAATTTCACAAATAGAGATAACTCTTCAAGGTAGTATAAAAATCTAAAGAGTCTTTCAATAGAAACTCCATAAATTGAGCAAAAAAAACCAAAACTTAGATCCTTCATCGGAATTTTAATTAAGAATAAATTAATCCAAAACTCTAAATAGAAAGACTTGTCAATCTAATCTAGAGAAAAAAATATTAACTTAAAACAAGGTATGAGAAACACTAGTGTATAAAGTTATCAATATACATTACAATAAGTAAGAGCCCCAAACCGTTCGTTACAAAGACTTATAACTTAATTTTTATATGGAAGAATAAAAACTGCTCAAATAAGAAACTCTAAATTCTGTAATTTTACCTCATGTTAATTAATATCAAAATAAGAATGATAATAGTAATAAAACTATTAATTCGAGTAGATTATCAGTTTAACATTATTAACATTATTATTTACAAAATAATAAAAATTATTCAAGATCATTAAATAAATAAATTCAATAAAAAACTTTTAATTTAAGTGGATGGAGTGATAATTCATAACAATGATAAATGCTTTTCTATATATTTTTGTTTATTTTTTTTAAGATTAAAATTTTTATATATATTTAGAAAATAAATACAAGAATTTAAATAATTCAAAACATTAAAAATATTTTTATTTTTTTTTAATTATGAATCCCGCCTAAACAATTGCTTAACAATTCCTTTAACAATACTATTAGACATTAATGACAAATAAAATGGGATTAATCTAATTTTATACAGATGCTTCCCATATGACTTATGGTATTTATTATATTTTAATTATTTTTAGGTGGATAATAACATGATGGCTTAAAATAAATAAATGAAAAACTAGAATCATTAGCTTTCTAAAAAATAGTTTATAAAATTGATGATATGGATGTTTAGCCAGGAGCATTGGAGAATTCTTTATTCATTTTTGTTACTGGATAATTATAGATGGATGATGCTGAGACATACAAATTCTCATAAAGTTTTTAAATTCTTCCAAATGGCTAAGGAGGTTTATACGTGCATAATGATATCTTCAGATTAGTTTATTGATATATTAATAATAAAAATTATTAAAAATGGGATTTGAAGATTAGATTCCACCAGTTCCTAATAGAGATCAAGAAAAGAGATATATTGCTACAGTTGAAAAGTCCTTCTATGATCAACCACTCTATAAATTTTATATGAATGAAGCCTTGAGAGAAAGAAAAATGGATTATGCTGATAAATTAAATACATACAAATATGAATGGATTCTTAACTTTGCTGCTTCTGGACTTGTGTTCAGTTTGTTATATGTAATATTAAATAATATTTAATCAGTTTATCCCTGTGTCATATTTTTACAGATAAACAACAACTGGTGTTCCAACATACTATTAGTATTTATCTAAAATTAATTTTTAGACCAAAGAACAAAGCTGTATTCAAATAAGGATATTTGCAAAATTAAAATTGGAAAAGATTTAAATTATATTCTTTCCTTGTTGTTGGATCAGCATTTATATTTGCTCATACTTATACCGATAGATCATAAATTCATGACGAATATTACAATAATGTTGGTGTCATCAAACCAAAGTTTGAATGATATAAATCGATAAATATAAAAAATTATATTATAAAACCACAATTCACATTTCATCAAACTTATTTTAGCATTTTCATATTAAAAAATAATATAATACTAATATAATACTAATAAAGCTATAAATTATAATACTTACTATTTTAGAAAATATTTAATCTATTAATAATAATTAAAATATTTTATATTGTTAATTTTTAGAATAAAAAAAGAACCTATATTAATATTTTAATTATATATCATGCAATTTCATTGGTTTCAGGTACTTACATTTCCATAGAATTACTTTCAATTGGCATAGGATTCATACCATAAATATAGCTATTAAGTCTTCCTAATAATCTATTTTATGGTTAGAGATGAGGAGGCAATTCACTTCTTTCACAAATAGGAGGTGGATCAAATTTCATAATTCTTTTTAACATATCTTTCCATGATTCTCTTGGATCAACTACTGGATCATTATAAATTCGACCTTAAATTAATATATTAAAATGTATTACCTAATGGTTTAGTTGTAAAATCACCAACATTTTAAGGCATTATAGATTGTTTTAATGATTAAAGAAAAACTTCATAATTAACATATCTCCATTGTTTAATAGTTCTAATTAATTCATAGCTAGATGAATCTTAAATCAATTTATCAAATTCATAAATAATATATGCAGAATCATAATTTCCTAATAATATAGCATAATCTAATGCTGTAAATCCTTCTCTTGATCTTTTTGAGATGTCTGCATGAAATCTTAATAAAGTGCAACAAATATTTGCATGATCTCTTTTGGCAGCCCACATTAAAGGAGTTAAACCATCTTTATCAGATACATCTGTATTTGCTCCTCCTTCACATAATAACATAACCATATCTAAACATCCTCTCCAAGATGCTCTTGCTAATGGAGTTATGTTTCCTGCAGGATATATTATAGTATTTAATAATTCTGGAAATTATTTTAGAACTTAATGTGCATTTTCAACATTATCTGTTTCTATTGCTTTTTAAAGTAATTTTTATGCTTAAGAAGCACCCATTATTATTAAATCTCAACTATTTTAAATATTAAATATTATATATATAATATACAATATACAAAATACAAAATCATCAATTTTTCAATTCATTCTTTATTAACAACATTTAACTTCTTTAATACTATATATAAAATCACTTATTTTAAACTAATTTTATGTTTTCCAAATCTATATATATATTTTATTCTTTATTCAAATATCTCAAGTAGTTCTTTTAATTATCATCCAGTTTATTTTAACTGTAATAGATAATTTTTATAATCTGATATAATTAATTAAATTAAACTATTTTATCATTCTATTTAAGTTGTAATTATTTTGATTATAATTTATATACACACCCAAATATTTTTTTATATTTTCTAAAATTTATAAAAAAGAATCTTAAAAATATTTATTAANATATTAATATTTTAATTATATATCATGCAATTTCATTGGTTTCAGGTACTTACATTTCCATAGAATTACTTTCAATTGGCATAGGATTCATACCATAAATATAGCTATTAAGTCTTCCTAATAATCTATTTTATGGTTAGAGATGAGGAGGCAATTCACTTCTTTCACAAATAGGAGGTGGATCAAATTTCATAATTCTTTTTAACATATCTTTCCATGATTCTCTTGGATCAACTACTGGATCATTATAAATTCGACCTTAAATTAATATATTAAAATGTATTACCTAATGGTTTAGTTGTAAAATCACCAACATTTTAAGGCATTATAGATTGTTTTAATGATTAAAGAAAAACTTCATAATTAACATATCTCCATTGTTTAATAGTTCTAATTAATTCATAGCTAGATGAATCTTAAATCAATTTATCAAATTCATAAATAATATATGCAGAATCATAATTTCCTAATAATATAGCATAATCTAATGCTGTAAATCCTTCTCTTGATCTTTTTGAGATGTCTGCATGAAATCTTAATAAAGTGCAACAAATATTTGCATGATCTCTTTTGGCAGCCCACATTAAAGGAGTTAAACCATCTTTATCAGATACATCTGTATTTGCTCCTCCTTCACATAATAACATAACCATATCTAAACATCCTCTCCAAGATGCTCTTGCTAATGGAGTTATGTTTCCTGCAGGATATATTATAGTATTTAATAATTCTGGAAATTATTTTAGAACTTAATGTGCATTTTCAACATTATCTGTTTCTATTGCTTTTTAAAGTAATTTTTATGCTTAAGAAGCACCCATTATTATTAAATCTCAACTATTTTAAATATTAAATATTATATATATAATATACAATATACAAAATACAAAATCATCAATTTTTCAATTCATTCTTTATTAACAACATTTAACTTCTTTAATACTATATATAAAATCACTTATTTTAAACTAATTTTATGTTTTCCAAATCTATATATATATTTTATTCTTTATTCAAATATCTCAAGTAGTTCTTTTAATTATCATCCAGTTTATTTTAACTGTAATAGATAATTTTTATAATCTGATATAATTAATTAAATTAAACTATTTTATCATTCTATTTAAGTTGTAATTATTTTGATTATAATTTATATACACACCCAAATATTTTTTTATATTTTCTAAAATTTATAAAAAAGAATCTTAAAAATATTTATTAATCTTCTATTGAATTGTTATAGAACAAAGTATATATATAAATGATATTTGATTTAAAAAATTTTTTTTTAAAATAAAATGAATGAAATATATAGAAAACTAAATCAATTTTTAGGGTATCTTAATTCATTATCTGGAATGAAATGAACAAAAATTTTAGGTTAGAATTCATTGAAGTATTCAGGTCCTTTAGAAAAATCATTTCCTAAAGCATATGCCAACATGGAACCATCAGGACTCATTTTTGCACAAACAATAGGATTACAATTAAATTAGAATGTTCTAATTTTATTTCTTACATTAATATCCCAAAATATCATTTAACCTTCTCCTCCAGCAGTCATAAGAAAGAAGTTATTTTTAACATTCATTTATATACAATTAACAGGAAAGAAATAGTTTTAAATTTTTCCTTTTTGATTGTCTTCAACCTATAAAATATAAAATAAAATAATTACTTTATGAGCTTTAAATGTCATAATAGACTTTAATGAAAATTCAGTAGGCATACCTTATGTAGATTTAGTTGTAATATTAGTTTAATGTCCTCTTCCATCAATAGAACCTAATGTAAATCCATCTCTTGCTGGAAATATAGCAATAGAGGTTAATTATGAATAGGTACCAAGAGGTGAATCAATATATTAAAATCTTCCTGGTAATTATTAAATTTCATTTAAATTAATAATTGTTAATTTCTCAGTTGCAAATCCTATTACTAATAATGGAAAATTGCAATCAGAAATAAGTGGTTTATGTTAGAATTAACATTAAAATCTTGGTTATCCAGGAGCTCTTACATCCCACATTTTTAAAGATTAATCAGCAGAAATAGATAATATCATTTATGCTGATTCTATCCAATATACAGATATTATTAAAGCTTAATGTTAACCTATTGGAACTATTTAACCAGAATTTACATCAATTACTCTAACTGTATGATCAAATCCACATCCAATAAATATTTAAGATAAATCTCCTTTAGCATCCATACAAATTATTGGATTTTAAACTTATCCTATAGCTCCATCAACTTAAAAACATCTTCTCTCAAAAAGCTCTCTTTTATATGAATTTTGTTAAATCTCTAAAATTCGAACTTTTCCATCCCAAGAAGATATCGCTAAATAATTTGGGATTGTTGTTCCCCAACATATAGCTGATACTGAATCTTCTAATCTAATTCTCTATTCTAAAGTTGCATCATTTACTGAATCATCAACACCTCCAGGTAAAACTATTTGATTTCCTGTTTATGTTTATTATCCTAATCCTCCTCCAAATCCTAAACCAGTTTATACTTATTATTAAGGTTACTATTAACCAAAAAGAGTTGTTCCTCCAAATCCTGGAGTTGCTGTTTATTATTATCCAAATCCAAATCCAGTTTATTATGGTTATTATGGTGTTTATCCAAATAAACCCCCTGATTATTATCCAAATGGTTAAGCAGCAGCTGCCGTATTACTAAATAAACCTGTAGTTGCTTATTATGGTTATTATTATTAACCAAATAAAGTTGGTTGTTATTATTATTATCCAAAAAGTCCTCCAGTTTAAGTTGGTTATCCAAACAAACTTCCTGTTTATGGTTATTAACCCATTAATCCTGTTTATTATCCAAATCCACCTCCAATACCTCCAGTTAATCCTGTTCCTAATCCTCCACCTAAACCTCCAAAAGTTGGAGCCTATTATCCTAATACTGGAGGTTAACCTATTCCTCCTGTTGTTCCAAATGTACTTTGAGTTTATTATTATTAAAGTCCAAGTCCTCCTCCAAGTCCTCCACCAAGTCCACTTCCAAGACCTCCACCTAATCCTCCTTACATCATTTGACCACCTAACATACTTCCAAATCCTGGTTATCCTTATGTTCCTTAACCTTAACCAAATAAATTTTATTATGGAGCTGCATTCCCAAATAATCCTCCTTATGGTGCTCCAAATGAAGATTATTATGGTTAACCTTAAATATCTTATATTACAATACCTAATAGTCCTCCTATTCCTCCAGTTGATTAGCTTGTATTTTAGTTCCCAAATATACCACCTCCGAACATAATAAATTTAAATTATTTAAAATAATTAATAAAAAATGCATTATTAAATTTAATAATACTCAAAAAATAATAGATTTTATCAAAATTTATATTATTAAACAATCTAATCATTATAAAATATAATCCATTATATCTATCTTTTTTCTTTTCTTTTCTTAGAACTAATTCAAATTTACAATCAATTCTTTATGCTTATTAAATTTTACTTATTATTTATTTTAAATTAATTATTTTAAATGGCATAAACTTAACCTTTTATACCTCTTACTGTTGATGATAATAAACAATATGATATCAAAAATATACTCTAAAAATTAATCAAATAACTAACACCTGAGGAATATCATTTTTTTAGTTTCTTAATTGCTACCAATCATATAATGGAACAATTAACAAATTGTTAAAATAAGTTAAATAATGATTCAACTTTCTGTTTATGGAAATTATTTGAATTCTTTGATGTAAATGGAGATAGAAAATTATAATTAGAAGATTTTATTATCACTTTACAAAAATTAGATATCATTCTTAAAAGAGATGAAATAGAATCTCTATTCTCCACTTTAGGTGGCGAAGATGATAATATCATTTCATATGCAGAATTTGCTAGTTTATTCAAATTTACTACAACACCATAATGGAGATAATCTAAAATATAATCAGAAGGAGTATTGAATTAAGATCAATAAAAATTAATTCATTAAATTTTTAGTTTTTACGCAAAAATTGAAAGGAGTATATTATACTTAAGAACACAAATAGGAAATGATATTCAATATCTTTAAGATTTTTTCAAAAAATTGGATTAGAAATAAAAAGGCTATTTAATATTCAATGACTTTGTAACTTATATCAAATCTAAAGGAGTTCAAGTTAAAGGTAATGATTATTATAGAGTATTTTTTATGCTTTAGTAATATAAATCAAGTAGAATTAGTTTCAATGAATTTTTAAAAAAGTTTTCAACAAAAGAAGCATATCAAAACTATATGTAATAATTAGATTTACTGATTCATCCACCATAGTAAGCTGCAAGAGAATCAATTGAAGAACAGCCTATTCTTCAAAACAAAATTGACAGTATGAATAATTTAGATAACAAATAAATTTAATAGAATGAAATATCATCGAAAATATCATAATAATCCAGATTTTCTTAAGATCCTGATGATTCAATCAGATTACCCGGTTATACTAGATATATTTTTGGCAATAATTGAATAATGGTCTGTATTTTTTTTTAAATTTATAAATTACATATTTTTGAGAGTTAAAAAAAGTTATTTTATATAAAGATTAAATATAAGATAATAAAATTATAATTATTATTTTAGTACACTTACCAATAAATAGTAGTTAATTCTTATTGAGTCTTACTAATAAAATTAAAATTTAATAATATAAATATAGGTATTTTTAGCTTTGTTTATGAGAGAGTTAATGAAAGATTGCATTTGAATGAAGTAAGAATCTAATATTTTAATTATTAAGAATGGAATTTTAATTGTAGAATAAATGTATGTGTTATTTAAGCAGAAATGAAATCTCTATAAATATTATATAAATTATAAATATAAAGATTTATATAATTATTTAGTAAACTTTAAAAATGATTTAGGATATATTCTAAAGATATTGAAAAATTCTCTTGTCAATGAATTAAATTTGAAAATAATTTTAGTTAACTTAAAAATTTTAATTTATTTATTAATGAACTCAGTATCCACTAACACTTCATTTACAGATGTTAGAATAGTGAAAATATACTTAAAGATTCATTACATAACAAAATTTGGATAAGCAATTTATTTATGCGGTGATGATGAATCTTTAGGAATGTGGGATCCTAGTAAAGCACTTCGTTTGTAATGGAATTAGGTATATAAATATGAAAAGAAAAGAATAACGAATGGACAATTTGTATAAAGCTAGCTCGAGTTGGTCGAAAATTTGAGTACAAATTCTTAGTGAATGATTATAATGAGCCTTCGATTCAGAAAGCTTTTTGGGAACCTGGTGAAAATCGTATTATAACAAAGCATTTGCTTCTTAATGGCAAGAAGAGCGAGTATTTCAATCGTAATACAGTTCTAATGTTATTCTAGAGGAATTTTGGGGATATAGAACTATAAAATTAAAACTTAATCACACTTTACAACCTAAAGAACGAATGATGATAATAGGATCTATTCCTGAGATTGGTTCTTGGAAATCACCTGTACTTATGAATTAGCAATTGAAAATTGATATTTGTAATAAATCAATATAATGTTTCTAGTAACACAAGAACCAATACAATAATGGTCTATATCATTTATTGTAAATCCTTTAAACTTTTTCTTTCGTTATTATTATGTAATTAGAAATGATGAAACTGGAAATATGATATGGGAACGTGGTAATGGACGTTATTTGAAAACTGCAGATTTATCTTCTATTAGATAAGTGTTAGATTAATATGATTTACATCCTATTAAAGTTAAGACATAAATATACACAGCTTTTTAAGCAAGATAAATTCATAAAAATGGATCTTTCTCTTCTTCCAAAATACCTAAATCTAAAATCTAATAAAATAATTAAGGATATTCATTTGCTGATAAAGAACCTTCTTTTTTTTATTATGAAGAATTTGGAAGATTAAATAAATTAGATTGGAATTTTGTTGTATAATTCTAAACCTATGAAATAAACGAAAATATTATAATTGGACCTTATCCATAAAATGAATAGGATATTCTTTATTTAAAATAAAAATAAGTCAGAGCTGTTCTTAATCTCTAAACTCGTCTTGATATGTTTCATAGAGGAGTTAATTGGGAATAAATTGTATAAGCATATAAAAGACATAATATTGTAATGAAAAATTATTAAATTTTTGATATGGATGCAGAAGATTTTGAAAAAAAATCTAGTAAGGCAGTTTAAATACTTAAAAAATTAATTAATGAATATGAATATGTCTATGTACATTGTACAGCAGGAATAGGAAGAGCACCATCTATTGTCGTTTTATATTTAGCTTCAATCCTTTAATATGATTTAAAAGAAGCTATAGAATTTGTTAAATAAAAAAGACAACAATTTTATATTAATTATTGTAATATCTTTCATAACATTATTATTTAGCTATGCTAAAAAGATCATTCCAAAAAACCCTTGTATTTAATCATGGATTAGGTTATTAAGATTTAACTTAAACACTTTGAGATTGAATAGAGCCTTTGTTGTTGTATAAGTTATTAATTTCATTAATAAATAATTAATGCACTTTTGTATAATATCTAAAACAACATTAATTAAATATATAAATATCATAATTTTGTATTATCTGACAATTCCTCATATCCAACATTGTTGTTATCTTCCAATATTTCTTATTTTTCAAAATTATTTCTTAAAATGTAATTTAATGCCTCTTATGCTGCTGTTTACTTTCTATTCCTAATTTTGTCTTCCTAAAATTACATTAATAAAATAAATACAATTTCAATTAATTATTTTTCTTTTTATTCTTTTTATAAATATCTCATCATGGCATGTTTTTTAACTAAATTGATCACAATTACTTTTTAACCTACCTACTTGAATAATAGTTTTGCTCTCATTCTTTCACTTAAAAAGAGTTTCCTTAATATTTTTATATTGGCTACTTTCTAAAAAAAAGAATATTTTATAAAATAAATACTTTTTAAAATTGTTCAATATTTACAAATAAAACTGGAACAAGAACAATAAATAATTTCCAACTCATCCACAAAGCATATATAGCATTAATAATTGCCAATATAACTTCAAAAAAGATGATAATTGGTGCATTTTGATCAGAAAATTAATTTTTAAGTGATGCTATAACAAGTGCAATATAAATGGTTCCAAAAGCAGTAAAACTAGAAATAACATTTACAAAATTTTATCTTTTATATCCATATGGTTGTGCAACAAATGATGCAATTCCATAAATAAGAACAATAATCAAACATGATTCAGCCATATATATATTATCATAGAAAAATATTTCAATAGCTGTTTAAATAAGAATTTTTTCAAGTAATCTAACAAATTCCCAATAATAGTATTTTTCTTTGAATTCACCATTTATATAATAATATTTATATTTTCTGAGTGGTCTTTTATCTTTCTTCCTCATATCATTTCTAATATGATATAAGAGCATAACTGGAATGTAAATTAGAAAAAAAAGGAGACAAGGAATTGATATAAAAAGGGTATAAAAAAAATGTTAAGTTCCATAACAATCTTAATTTAAATCAGGTTTAAGATATCTAGAATCACCAATATCTTTGCAGTTCATTAATTAGAGAGTTTTTTCATAAAAGCTAGGTAAATAGAATAGCCAAATAACAAGCCATGTGGCAGTATAATAAATTCCAATTTTAATTTTCTATTTTCTAAATAAGATAGTCCATATGATCATGAAAAATATCATTGATGATATTGGTTTAAGTACTTCAATGATGTAATTAACATATACCATGGGAATGTAATTATTAAGATTAATGATTGGACATTCTAAAGAGAAATCAAATATAGATGGATCTTATGAATCTTAAAATTATGAAGGAATATCAACAACAATTTTAGTAACTAAAGATATTTTTTGATAGTAAGCTAAGAATATTTTCATAAGAGAATTTAAATCTTTAACCTATCCTAGATTGGATCCTATTTTTTTGAGTGGTGGTAATAATTAATTTAAACATGGCAATAAACACAAAATGATAACATCTTTAGCTAAAAAGAAGATAGACATGGTAAAATATATTAATACTCCTATACTAGTAAGTAAAATGATAGTTAATGGCCATTCAACTTGATTACATATAACACACTAAGATCTAGTATCTCTAGCATAATTATCATTATAATCACAAGATTAACACATTCTACCCATATATCCTAATCCACATTAATCTTAAGATACACCACCTTGACAACTGCTAAATTAAGAATCACATTTATATATTTATAATGTAGTGATATTTTCTCTCCAATACTGAGAATCTAAATTTGTTTAAGCTCCCCCATAACACTAAATATGATATTAATCTCTAAGTGGACATACAGAACATTATCCAGGATCTTCAATTGTTGGAATCTTAAATGAATAGAATCTTTAAGGACATTTATAACAAACAGTTTGTCTTTCAAAATTATAAAGGATTTCTCCATATAAACACTTTCTAAATATAACTTTAAGAGTATAATTATAATTGCTAGTAAAGTAATAATTAAATTCTTGAGTAGTTTTAATTTCATTTGAGGTTAAATAATATGAAAATTCAGTAGTAGGAATTCCAATTAAAGTAACTTCATCTAAAAAGAATCCAGTGTTATTAAATTGTACATAATCTTCACCATTAGAAATTTAAATTGAATAATTTTAATTTCCTGTTCCATAAATTTTTAACTATGATTAAACATTGTACATAGTTTAATTATTTGATGATTTCATTATGAATTATAAAGGCTATTAAATTGTATTACCACTACCAAAATTGCTTATAATATATTAACCATTATTTGAATCTTAAATAAAGAAATACCCATTTGCTTCGTTAAGATTTTCATCATATACTTATTAGATAACTCCTTAATTCTCAAGAGGACCACTCAAAAATAATGATGATGGATAGGAACTTAAATCTTCCCCTTCTACTAAAGCACTATTATTATAAAAGTAATTGTTTATTAATTTAGGCCAAAAAACTAAAGTCTTTATTCCACCTCCATATCTATAAGCTATATTATTTATAAAAAAACTTTAACTTATACTTATCACTGGTATATCTAATATCTCTGATAATTTGAATTCCTAATTAAAAGAATTTATATATAAACCTCCCCCTGAACCTAATACTACATTAGAAGAGAAGGTACAATTCACAACTGTTATATTAGATACATTCTACAAATCTGCTAAAATTGATCCTCCATCATATTATGCATAATTATTCATCAACATTATATTCTCAAAATAACCAAATTATTCCTTTTATGATAAATAAAAACAACTCCCAAAATTACCTTTATTTCCTTAACAATATCCACCACTTATATAAGAATAAGTATTTTTTAAAAAAAACCCACTTGATAGACAATTCAATAAATCACATGATAATTACATTATTTAAGGTGCCAACATATATAAAACCGAATCCTATAATTAAATCAAACTTTAATTTAATTTATAAGATATTTAACTTATATTCTAAACTGTTAAAACATTCACACTCAAATAACAAGTAATCAAATTTAATAATTGTGAATTCTTTGTAACAATATTCCAAAATTTGCTATCTTTTATTGAAATCCAACTTTCATTTGCATAAATTATCTATCCTTCTTAAGCTTAAGTAGAAAATGATGATATATTTTAAATTTATAACTAAAGAGCATTCAAAACACAATATTCAAGATAAAACAATGAACCTTAATTTAACTGTTAAGGATTAAATATATCAGGAGTTGAACTTAAGTTATTATATTGTAAACTATTATTCTTAAGATTGATATTGAAAAAACCAATTTTTAATATTGATCCATTTTAAGAATATATGTTTGAAAAAGAATTATCTTAAAGTGTCAATTATTTACTAAATTTATAAGATTAGATATTAGAAATATTACTTATATCAACATTTGTCAAATTTAAATAAGGATAATTAGCAATCTCTTCTTATTAAAAATATAAAAAACCACCATCCTTTAAAGAAAATACTTAAGAGATCTAATTACTCTAAAAAGTAATAATTGTTTATTCTAAAGCATTCTCTATATAAATAGCACCATTACCAAACGAATAAATATTTGTAATAATATTATTCGAAAACGTTAATCTTGAATTATATTATTAAGAATGATAGATCTATATTAAAAATATTGAACCACTTTATGAATAAATCTATTAAAAATTACTATTTTAAACATAAAGTATAATACAAGAAATTTATGCTACACCACCTTTTACATTTTAAACACCATGATATGTTGAATCTGTTGCATTCAAATAATTAACAAAGATTTAATCTAATGTTATTATCTAAGCATTTAAAACTAGTAAACTTGCACCAATACTACAATTAATATTATTGAAATTAGATGATTAAATTTCCAGTTAAGATTGAAATCCATTAAAATATAAACCTGCTGAAGAGACTATATAATTTTAATCTGCTGATTTTAAATTAAAGTTTCCTATTTAAATTTTTGTCAAAACTACATTAAATTAGTTCTTGATATCAAGTGAAATTGCATAACAAATATTTAACAAGGAATTCGAAATTATATTTAACTTCGATATTATCACATAACTCATCTAAATTATACATTAATTCATCTATGTACAATCATAATCATTTTAGTTAGATATTGTAATTAATGCATTTTAATATATTGTTCCTTGATCAAAATTAATTTAATTTATTTAAATATTTGGAATCTCAAGGAGTAAAAGACTTAATGAAGAGGAAACAGTAAAAGTAATAAAATTAAATGAAATAGAGTTGAAAGATTATACAAGTAATGAGCTATTATCAAAAGTTAATTAAGATGCATCAACACTTTATCCAAAGGAAAACTTAAAGGCTAATTTATTTGATTGTTAATATTGATTATTTATAAGTTAAATTTAATTTAAAGTAATAATTGATTCATAAAATAAATTACTAAGTTATTGATTAATAATTGCTGCATTTTGATAAGTTATAAAAGTATTATCTTAAATTATTACATCTACTAGTTTTATTTCAATAGGTTGATATGATTCTATTATGATATTATTAAAAATTGAACTACAAAGTTGATTTCCAGTTATAGTCACATCTTGAGCTTCAATTCCATAATATTGAATTAACTAATTCATTGAAGTTTAACATTGTGAATTAGTGATTGTAATTGTTTTTAAAAATATTTAAGTTTTATCAGTGATTGAAACTAGTTAATTTAATTTTGACCCTGATATTTAAATGTCACTTAATTAAATGTCATATCCATTAGTTGATTGTATAAATGGTTAGGACATGACGAAATTATTGATTTAAAAATTTTAAAGCATAAATTAATAAACATTATTTAAATTAAAGTAAGGGCATTAGTAAGCTTTTGCATTAGTGATTTAACAGTTAATAATATCACTTAATAAAATATTGTTTAATTATAATTTACAAGATGGGACAATTAAAGTTAAATCTTGAAAATTTACAGAATTAAAGTTTTCAATGCTTTTCCCAATAATAACACTCGATTGAGAAGTGGAAATACCTATTATAAATAATTTGACTTAAAAGTTATTCCCTTCATTTATAATTATTCTATTCCAATCGATATTTAATTTGTTGATATAGATTTAACCGCTAATCATTGTGAGATTTTAGAAGGTCTAATATAAAATTTAAAAGTTGGTTAATGAAATTTAAGTATTAACAAATGAGAATAGATTACTACTGTAAGTTTGAGTGAAAGTACATTCAAAACCACTCTAGCCTTACTAAAAATATTCATTCAATTATAAGGTCATTACATAATTTTAAAATTGCACTATTAAATAGTTATTATTCAAATTAAATTGTTCACTAAAATATGTAGTCTTTATCATATAATCTGTAAACTGATTCTATTAGATAAGATTGGCTAATAAGTAAAATAATAATGTGTAAGATTATTATTCTAACACCAATAGATAATCTTTATATATTTGAATTTATTTGTAAGCTTTTCCTGGCTCTTTTATTATTAATAAAATATTTACATTAAAATTGAGCATTAGTAGATGGATCATTTAGTAAACTTATATAGATTTAATTTCCATTAGTAATCACCTAATAGGTTTGATCCTAAGCAATTTAAATTACTTTGGACAATTACAAATTGGTTGTAATAGCATTTTCCTATTGAATAGCAATACTAAGAGGGTAAGTGATAAAATTGTTATTTGATAATAATATTTAAAGTGAGTTTGCTGTGACTAATATTTACAAAATATAATCGTCCTGTAAAACTGAATTTGTGGGAGCATTACTGAAAACGTTATTTATAAAACTATAAAAGCTTAGTGTTTTATCTAAAGCATATACTATATAGATAACATTATTATATTAGAACTATTAGATCATTTGTTGAGTATAAGTTGCAACATTTGATATTTATAAAGAATTTAATACACTATAGATATAACATTAATATTAAGAGAATTAGCAAGTGGATTAAGTTTATGTTAATATTACAACTAAACCATTAGTATAAAGTATAAGAATTAAATCAGATTAAATAATTTATAATGCAGGATTATTATTATTATTGATTTGTATTATATCTTATAATTAAAACCATTGATTAAATACTGAAATATCACTACTTGTTTAACCTACTTCTAATATATATTATGATTATAAAATAATAGATGTGCTAATTGTTTGAGTATAGTAATAAAATGATCTAATTTTTGTGCCACTAAGATTTTAATCTACTTAATATAATAGGATCATTTCTGATCCATCAGTAGGATTATTAATTAAAATAATTATGATTAAATCATCATAATTAAAAAGGAGTTGTTTAATATTATTTGGACATTATGGAGCTTGGATCCATGATTTAGATGTTCCCAACGTATTTTATTTAGTATTATATCTTTGAAATTAACAATCAGCTGAAAAAAAAAGAATTTCATCTTATATCAAATAGATACTAATAGGACTTATTCCCAAATTAACAGTTTAGCTTGTTAATGTGATTTTTTGATCATTAATATTATTATTGATTTTATATATAGTCATTGCTGATTAAGAAACAGTATATAAAATAGTAATAGGATTATTTGAATCTTATAAGTTAGAGGTAATTTAAATTAGATTAAATTGAGTGATAATGAAACTTTATAATAATTGTTGCATATAGGAAGTGTAATACTCTATTTGATAAGTGCCTTTATTAGTGATACCTATTAAAATATTAGCTACATATTGATTAATTTAAAGCTGATAATTAATTAATATGTTCAATAACGATTATGCTAAATGTCTAATATATAGAATCTCTTACATTTTATTCTTCCTAAAACACTATTTTGTTGAATATCCAAAATGAGTGCCTCGTTCTAATCAGTGGCAATACTAATAATGTCATTTTCTAATTGTAAATAGTTCACATTTCCTGCAAATGACAGAGAACCTTTAATTGGAATATCTTCATCTAAGCTATAAATTTGTAATTGATTAGTTTTTCCTACAAATAAATATGCCTATTCTGTCTACATAAAGGTTACACCCTATCCGTTAACTGGTTACTTATATTTACTTACTTGGTTTTAATTATCTCAATGTTCCTGATTCGGCTTAAATAAATACTATCCCATTTTAAACAGATGCCATTATATAATTATAATCACTCTAATATGTGATTAAATTTGCTTATTCCTAAAAATTGCTCAAATAAAACACTCTTGGACAATCCAAACATACTCCTAATGCTATTATAACAATTATCCACATAAAAATTTATATATATATTAAATAACTCTATAGTATCATTAATCCTTTTTTTTTTTGTTTTTTATAGTGTTTAAAAATGGATTCATTTTATATTCTATTTTCTTTTTTTTCTTTTCATTATTTATTGTAATTTCTGTTTCATTTCTTTTATGAGATTTCTTAGTTTTCTCAGGTTCAATTATTTCTTTCTCTTCTATCTTTTATAATGTTTCTTATGTTTAACCTTTTCTATGATGACCAACTTACTTTCTATCTATCATTAATTCTTCTATACTTCTTAAATCAAATACCAACTTTTAATTATTTCTCTCTTCAACTTCTGTAGATTATTCAACTACTTACAACTTTTTTTAATTTTCTCTTTAAATATTTTATTCTTATTGTTAATGTTCCTACTAATCTACATTATTTACTATTTTCACTTAAGAATAACTTCCTAATAAACATTCCTATTTAATCTATAATAATTTTTTAAATGCTTAATTATTAATTATCTTCTTCTAAAATAGATTTGCTAGATCTACTAACTTTTCATTATTTTATAGATTTTCAAATATCTTTTTCTTGAATTTATTATTAAGCTCAATCAATTCTGTTATATTTGCAATCTGATAGACCATAGCAATCTTTCCTCTTTTCACTATTGTTTCAAATTTGTTTGCTACATATAACTCATTATTTTCGCTTTCTTAAGATAATTATTTCCATTATAGAATAGTCTAGAACTCATCTATTGTCTATTCAATGCTTTTGAATAACTAATGCATTTAAGTATTATTCTTTGATTTCAACAATATACACAGTAAAATCATTTAACATTTAAGAACATGATGTTACTTTAATGGAAATTATAAATATCTGTCTTGAATTTCAATTACACTATGAATTCGTCCTTCGATTTCTTTTAAATTCATTTTATCCAAACATAATATTAGATACTTATCTTACATTAAACCATATATTTCATCTTTTTTACTCCTATTTAATACTTTAATCATCTCTCCCAATAATTTCATAGCTTTACTTTATTGATCCATTCTCATCAAACCCTAAACATGCATTAACTACTTTCCAAATTTTTCCAACAAAACTGGAGTTCTCATTGCTATTGGTTATTTAAAATAAAGTATTTGAAATGTTTATCCTAATGATTCATTTAACGTCTATAATAAACTCAAATCTAATTCACATCTCACTTACTATTTACTTTTTATTCTCAAAAAAGCTTATTTCAATTTTGAAATTATTTGAATCTTCTTAGCCTAATAATGCATTTAAATAACAAAATTATTACATTTTGCCTTTGAAAGTGTTCTATTTGAACGTTCAATAAATCGAATTGCACTTAAATACTATCCACTAAATTCAAAAATACACCCTATTATAAACTATAATTTTGAAATTAACTTCCTTTTAAATTCTTTACCATTTCTGTATTTTTCATTCATATCATTAGCATAAAATAATGCGATATTCATAACATGCCCTATATCATCCTATAACACGTGAATCCATAATTATTACAAAACTAAAAATACTACTTCATCAGCATAAATATGAAATGATCGTAGCATTAATTCTTAAGCTCTTCTAAGACATGCTAGTGAATTTTCTTAATCGTGTATATCAAAGTAACTCATACCAAGAAGAAACTCCAATTTTGCTTTGTTGCTTGTAGCTAAATTTTTCACTCTTACATCTTTATATTTTATTTAATTTGGATTATAATCTAATTTCTCTTAAATATCTTATTAATCTTCAACTTACTTATATTCTGGAAAAAATTGATTATATATTACTAAACTCATTTCTAAATTAAGCATAGCCGAAATTGAAGCTAAACTTATTCTTGCTATCTCTCCACTCACTAATAAAGAATAACCATATGCTAATGATGCTTAATGCTAATTTTTTAATTAAAATCCTATAGCCTTTTAAATCTTGCTAATCGCTTAAAAATAATTGTCAGCATTAAGATATGATTATGCAGACCAAATTTATAACATAACATGTTTCTTTTGTTCAAGCAATCCTTTTGCTTGATTTTAACTCCTTAATCTATGATCCATTGNTTATAAATATCTGTCTTGAATTTCAATTACACTATGAATTCGTCCTTCGATTTCTTTTAAATTCATTTTATCCAAACATAATATTAGATACTTATCTTACATTAAACCATATATTTCATCTTTTTTACTCCTATTTAATACTTTAATCATCTCTCCCAATAATTTCATAGCTTTACTTTATTGATCCATTCTCATCAAACCCTAAACATGCATTAACTACTTTCCAAATTTTTCCAACAAAACTGGAGTTCTCATTGCTATTGGTTATTTAAAATAAAGTATTTGAAATGTTTATCCTAATGATTCATTTAACGTCTATAATAAACTCAAATCTAATTCACATCTCACTTACTATTTACTTTTTATTCTCAAAAAAGCTTATTTCAATTTTGAAATTATTTGAATCTTCTTAGCCTAATAATGCATTTAAATAACAAAATTATTACATTTTGCCTTTGAAAGTGTTCTATTTGAACGTTCAATAAATCGAATTGCACTTAAATACTATCCACTAAATTCAAAAATACACCCTATTATAAACTATAATTTTGAAATTAACTTCCTTTTAAATTCTTTACCATTTCTGTATTTTTCATTCATATCATTAGCATAAAATAATGCGATATTCATAACATGCCCTATATCATCCTATAACACGTGAATCCATAATTATTACAAAACTAAAAATACTACTTCATCAGCATAAATATGAAATGATCGTAGCATTAATTCTTAAGCTCTTCTAAGACATGCTAGTGAATTTTCTTAATCGTGTATATCAAAGTAACTCATACCAAGAAGAAACTCCAATTTTGCTTTGTTGCTTGTAGCTAAATTTTTCACTCTTACATCTTTATATTTTATTTAATTTGGATTATAATCTAATTTCTCTTAAATATCTTATTAATCTTCAACTTACTTATATTCTGGAAAAAATTGATTATATATTACTAAACTCATTTCTAAATTAAGCATAGCCGAAATTGAAGCTAAACTTATTCTTGCTATCTCTCCACTCACTAATAAAGAATAACCATATGCTAATGATGCTTAATGCTAATTTTTTAATTAAAATCCTATAGCCTTTTAAATCTTGCTAATCGCTTAAAAATAATTGTCAGCATTAAGATATGATTATGCAGACCAAATTTATAACATAACATGTTTCTTTTGTTCAAGCAATCCTTTTGCTTGATTTTAACTCCTTAATCTATGATCCATTGACAATTTTTGTTATAATTGATTAGCTATACATTTAGATAATTAATTTAATATAACCAATGGTTTATTTTGAGATAATGTCATAATCTAAAATAATAAAGTAATGTGAAAATTATCTACACTATCATCCTTTACTTTTTAAATAATTTAAATAACTTTATCAATTTTTTTAGAGATAATTTTTAATTTCTCTTACCATGAATCATCTGGTTATTATCGAATAAAATAGAAAATATTGAGAATCTCAACATAAGAAGTTTAAAAAACAGATTTTTATAAGTTTTGAAACTTTTCGTAATAAACTTCAAATCTTTTTGAATAGAGTAATGATTAATAAATAATCTCTTTATAAGTTTGCTCTTCTTCTGTAATGTCATCTTTATTCAAAGCAACAGATTTATAATCTTCACAAATATTCACAGGAAATATTTCCATTTGCTTTATTGCATCCAAATCATCTAAATCCACCGAATTATCTTTTGATAATTTCCTCTTTTCGAGATTTTAATCTTATTGATCAAATTGTTTTGAATCTTAATAATCTGTTTCGTTTAATTCTTTTTAAAGACTACTAGTAATTTATCTGATATCTTAAATTAATTTATCGATATCATTGACTTCATACGAATAAATTGCCAGCTTAAGAAACTCAAGGAGATAACGATCTTCATTCTGACTAAATAGTTTTTCAGCTAATATACAATAATTTTTTTCATCTTCCAAATTTTCTAATTGCTCTTTTTTCAAATTTGTAAAATACTTCTTTCTAGTTGTTGTTATGGATCTTAAATTTTAATCCTGTACGTTTTTAAAGTAAATTATCAAATCTGTTATAGCAAACATATCTTTCTTAAAACATTTTGCATATTACTTAAATTTTTTCTCTTCCACTTCTTTCAATGCTACATCTGGATTCTAACCGAATTATATGAGTGTTTTCATTCTTACAAAGGATTCTAATTTAAAAGATTTAAATTTAGGAACATAAAATATTGTCGAGAGTGTGAAATTAAGTCTGTATATGTATTTCTCATAACAATTTATAAGAATAAGAATTAAATTAAGAGATAATTTTTTATGTAAATTAACACTTAACTCACTTTTTTCATTTATTAAAATTTATTACAAGTCTTTCAATGAATATGAGAGTTTATCATAAAACAATGCCAATCTATACATATTAGGTTAATCAAATTAAGGAGGTATATCAAATAGAAAAGTAGTATTTTATATAAATACTAAATACTAATCAAGATTTTAATGATAATGTTAAAGTATTAAATGAAATAACACATTTAAAAATCTTGATTGTTACTCAATATCTACAACAGTAATAATTTCAAGCATTTCTTAGCTTGAAGCCATTATAAAATCACTTTCTTTTGATTAATTAGAATTATCATATAAAGTGCTTTACTTTTTCTTTAGCTTCATTTAGGTTTGTTTTATTGCAATCTTTCTTTCCACATTTAATAATTTTTCAAACGAAATAAAACTATTTGGACTTTCTTTGTCAATATTAAAATAATTATCAGTAGAAAAAAAAGTAGGTACTCGAGAATATTTGTTTGCCTCTTTGAAAGTATCTGGTTACATTTGAAGAAGTTCAAAATCTGCTTAAGTAGTTAAGATTCCATTTACATGAGTATAATGTACACAATCTTTAATTTTTGTTCCAATAGTTATATTATAATATTTTTTGTGCTCATCTTAAATTAATTCCACTATCAAAGAGAAAACTTTTAGTAAGTGATCCGATTTTCTCTAGTAATTTGCATCATCTTTAGTAGATTTAACCTTCTTTTTAATAGCCTTTGGCTGTTCAGGCTCACTATTTTTATTTTCTTGTTCTTCTAGTTCTGGCTAAGGCTATGTAATTGCAATTCCATTTGTATTTAAAGTAGTAAACTAATTACATAATGAACGCCTTGTTGAGTTTTATACTTAGAGCTCTTCCTCTATCTTAAGTTATTTCTACTCAGCAACTGTTTTCTCTATTTGTAATTATATTCCTGTTTCCTTATCTAATTTTCTAGAGCTACAAATTCCCATTAATTTAATGATTATTTAATGATTCATCTGAAACTTTGACTTAAATACATAGAATCAATATTTTGTCACAATGTTATTTTTTATAAAATTGTCGTAAGTAACTGGACTTATTAAATTTAAATCTGGACTCAGTAACAAAATATTTTATAACCATATATGACCTAAAACTAAATTTTAGTTAGCATTTAAGATGTTTAAATTAAAAACGATAATAAATAAATAATTAAATATTGATGATTTTAACGATTGATCTGCCATACATAGTTTTTTTTAGTTTACTTCAAATAGAGAGTTATATATACAACAATTGAAAACTCTATTATACAAAATTCTATAAAATGTGCTTATAATTCTCATCAAATTACTTTTTCTTATACAAAAATCTTATTATTTTAAAATTAATATGTTAAATACAATATATTTTGTTTAATTTCATACCCAAAGCATATTAAATGGTCTAAGATTATCGAAACGGATGTATAAAAGATATTTATTGATTTATCCAATTAAATTATTTCTTTTGAAAGCAGAACAAATTTTAATCTAAGAATAAATTTAATTTCTTTTTAGTTTCCGAAAATGATTAAAATTAAATACCGTCTGTATAAATAGCCCTCTAATAAAATATAGATTAGATTTAGACTATATTTTGTTGTTTAGTTGTAACTTTTTATTTCAATAATTTCAAATATTCTTAATTAAAATTTGAAAAACAAAATTACTTTTTGTTCAAACACATTTTCATTTTTGGTTATAAATCAAAATCATGAAAAAAAGATCTAAATGTGTCTTTGACCAAATTTTATTAATAAAATAAATTTAATTTAATTAATAAAAAGAAATAAAACTTAAGAAGTTTTAATAATATTTTAATAATAAATTACATATTTTCAATATTGATATCTTATTTTTGTCTTTAAATTAATTATGAATTTTTGCTTAATTTCAATACATCTAAATCAAACACAAATTAACATAAGACCATTATTACATTGTAAAATACATGGGAAAAAAAAAATTATAATAATTAAAAATTAAAATTTTTATGAATATGCTCTCAATAGAAATAGAAGTTTCTAGTTCATTAGATCCTTAAATTAACGAAATTTTTAAAAATTTTTATTCAGACTTTTTATCTAAACTTATTAATCGTATTTATTAAAGATCTATAATACACTACCTTTTTCGAAGTAACTTAAGAATATAAAAAAATCATAGAATTATTAAAAGTGATTGCAGAGATACAAGTGGATGATAATTTATTGATTAAATATATTCTTTAATTGTAGATCTTTATTTTTTGTAAAATTTTAGCAGAATTTGAATATTTAGAAGCAATAAGAATAAATCGAGATCCAATTTAAATAATATAGTTGTATATAGGTATCCTACAATTAGCTATTGGATTCACAAAATAGGAAAGAATAAAAGATAGATTTATTTTAGAGGGTGAAATGATAGATTTATTTTAGAGGGTGAAATAGTTAGCTTGTGATAATAATTCAAATTTATTAGAAGTTATTTTTAGGTTGGAAGAAGAATATGTTTTATTGATTATAGGGTTGTTAATATAATTATAGAAAAGGAAGAAATTATGAGAGAGAAAAATTAAGAACTAGCTAGAAATATAAAGAAATAAGGAACTTGGGGATATTTTAAAGTTATAAGAGAAGCAATGATTAAGAAGAATAAATAAATTGATTATTATTTTTAATAATTATAAATGACTCACAGGTACTCGTATGGTTATAAGAAGTCTTACAGTAATTTATATGAGATGAATTGTTAGTTGAGACACCAAAACGCTATTAATATTAATCAATGGATCGATTACCTAAATTACCATCAATTACTTCAGATGCTAAGTAAGAGTTTAATAATATTCAGACAGTCTTGGAAAGTAGGTAGAAAAGAATAATCAACAAATTTAGGAGTAATGAGTTTACCCGGATAATTAATGAGTGGAAAACAAAAAATTAATTAAGATGCCTTCATAATAGAAAAGAGACTCAATTTATTTGGAGTAGCAGATGGTCATGGTGTAAATGGAGAACGTGTTTCTGGTTTCATAAGGATCACTCTTCCTAAATATATTGAGTAAAGTCTTTTAGATCCCAAAGAAACTTTGATAAAAGGAATCTTATAAACAAACAATGAATTGGTGAATAATACGAAAATTGAAACTGTCATAGCAGGTTCTACACTATGTTGTGGTTTAATAAAATTAAATAAATTATATGTAGCAAATGTTGGTGATAGTAGATGTGTTATAGCAAAATAAATGGGTAATTCTTGGTAAACCATTGAATTAACAAATGATTAAAAACCCTCTAGAGAAGATGAAGCTATTAGAATATTAAAATCAGGTGGACGTATAGCTGCTCAATAAGATATTTATGGTAATTAAGTTGGCCCACTTAGAGTCTGGTTAAAAACATTAAATGCACCAGGATTAGCTATGACTAGAGCAATGGGTGATAGATTGGGTGCATAAGCAGGAGTAATAGCAACACCTGAAATTACAGAATATGAATTAACAAATGAGGATAAAATTTTAGTATTTGCTTCAGATGGAATATGGGAATATTTAACTTCATAAGAAGTTGTTTCAATCTTGACCTCATGTTACGATAAAAATATAAGTGCTGAATTAGCAGCATAAAAATTACTAAATTTAGCAGTAGATGCATGGAAAAGAAATAGTTTAGCTAGAGATGATATTACTTGCGTTGTCCTATATTTATGAATTAATTTTAATTGAATTTCATAATCGTTACTATATTTTATTGAAATATTATCTAAATTTCTAAATAAATATTTTTATTCTTTTAATTATAAATAAATAAAGCTTAAAATTAATTCATTCATTTTGATTAAAAAATTTATTAGGAACGATATCATCCTTGTCTTTTTCATATACTATTTTCAACACACCATTTTCAATACCAAAATGCTTCCATTTTCGTTCGAAGTTTTCTGGTATTCTAAAACTTAATGTAAATTCTCCATATTTTCTCTCTTATTTTTTTATGTGATCACTTTACTCTTCTTAATAGGGTTTCTTTCTATTTCCTTTTACAATTGTAACAACATTTTATCTATACATTTCAATATCTTCTTCATTAATGCCTGGCACATCCATATATATAATATATTTATCATTAGCAATAATATCAGTTGCTGGAGCAAATGAATCTGGTCTTGCTAAAATTAAACCTGATTAATCAATATTAGTTTAAGGTATTTTTAATTCTCCATTTTATAAATCAGCCTCTTTTTAGACAATCTTCTTAACAAATTAATTATCAGTATCTATCAATTTTACATTTATTTCCCTTTTAAAATACTAAGTCAGTTTACTGGTTGCATATTACAAAATATTTTCACAAACAGAAAATTATCTGTTAACAGGTACAAAAACTGCTTTTAGCCAATATTTTAATAAGGAAAATACCCATGGATTTACATCCAATCCTAATTAACTATCATCACTCACTAAACAAACATGTCTTGTATATTGAGTTTTGAACCATAACACATGTTTTTCTTATAGTTCATTTTTTCTTGGATTAGAGGCAGCTACTTTAGTTCTTTAAATAGATCCTCCAGTTGAATAGATTTAAGTCACTTATGTTGTCCAAACATGTTATAAAATTTCAGGAGTTTCAATTTCCTTCAAATTATGAACAACGATAATTTCCCGAAAAGTCTTTGAACTGTTCTGTATCTATCTAGATAATCTATCTAAATATCTTTGATCTAAAGATGTAAAGTCATTTACAACACAAATAAAATAGTCACTCAATTCAAATACAAGATCTATTATAAAATGTTCTGTTGCTTCTTTTTCTACTATACTTAAAGCAGATTAAATTTTCACAGGAGAGTAACTTCCTGCAGTATCAACTAATATTAGTTAAGTTCCAGAATCGACATCAACATGCTTGAAAGAGATACCTTTAGTAGTCACTTTTTTTCCAGATGGTAAATTAGATTAAGTTAAATTGTTTAAAACAAATGTCTTTCCTTTATCATATAACCCAACAACAGCTACTGTTGCACCTTCCCATTTTATTGAAGCTTTTGATTCATTGTTACTATTTGCCAATCCAATTAATTCTTTATTTGCTTAAAATTATTTGCTTATATAAACAGGCCAACCTTATTAAACATTATTAATCAAATCAATATCTAAAATCCAATCATATACTTATGTCTCATCAATACCTTCTTAATTGTTATATTTAATTGGATCATTAAATATATTTTCCTAAATTTTATCATTCAATCTTGATTACTCCTCGAAATCATAACTAGTAATAATATTAGATTAAATATTTTAATCCTCAATATTAAGGTTGTGATTATTATCTTTAAATTATAGATATCTTCCAGTTTATCGTAATGATCTAGTCTACTAAAATTTTTATGATGTTTCTAATTCTCTTAATGCTTCTTTCAATTATTTTTCTAGACTTGCTTATTTTGATAACCTGTTATTAAATTCAAAAAATTACAGCTATTCTTCTTGACGATTTATTTCATCCATTATCTCCAATTTATCGTAATTTCTAATGCACATTTCATAATTAATCATTTCCATTATATCATAAAATTCCTCTATTGACTTTGCATCCTTTGTCATTTTATTGAACTATTTTAATACCTCTTCTTCTTCTTATTATATATCTTTTAACATAGTAACTAGCCTTTGAATTTTCTATTTTAATAACACTCTTACTTAAATTTTTTCAGCAATCACTTATTTTAAAGGTACTTCTTTAAATAAACTAGACATTTTTTGTATTAAATAATTTAAAATGCCTTAATAAATGCTCTTGTATAAACTAATCAATACTTCTGAAATCCTTGAAGGTATATTATTACTCTAAAGAATGAGACATTAGAGTTAATAATATTTTAACTTATTTATTTGCAATCAATCATAATTAGAATTTCAAAAAAGTCTTTTGTAAAATGAAATAATTCCATTCTTAAGATATTCTATCAATAATTGCTTATCTACTTATCTCAATATTCCTAATTTTATAAAATTATTAAGCATCCAAAAAATTACTAAAAAAATAAACTAAATCCAACTTTTAATTATCTATAACTAAAACTAATTTTTTGAAATATCTAATAAGTTTAAAAAAAGAAGTTACGAAAAATTAAACATCTTATACAAAAAAAGAAATACAATTAAAAAATTTTTTGTATTTTTTGAATGAACAAAATTATTATTTATGCGTTAATATCATTTGGATGCAATAATTTATTTCTTTAAATTTCAAGAATTAGAATTTCGGTTAATTAACAATAACAAATAGTTTTAGAATTTTAGTTGACTTTTTAATATCACATTTTTCTTGCAAATTTATAATAACCTCTCTTTTGATTAATATTCTAAGTCAAATTTCCTGTAGAAGATTAAAATCATTTTATAAAGGAACTCTTTCTTTAATGCTTCTTGAAACAAATTATTTAGTTTTTTAATTTATATTAATGTGTAATTGGTATAAATGCAAATATATATTCTCTTTAATTTTTATCAAATTTATGATATCTATTAACCATAATTAATATTTTAATATTATGTTTGTTCGATTGATCTAGAGAATGACGATGCCTATTTTAAGATGTTAGAGAATTTAATTCAGTCCAGCTTTGACAATCTTGAACAAAAGATTAATTATACATAATTTAACATAAATCAGAATCCCTGTAATGAATGAACTAACAGAATCAGAATAAGACGAAGAATTACAGTATATCTAAATTAATCAACTTAGGGATAGCATCAGTTTAACATCTGCATGATTGTTATGAAAATATACAAATCATTATTATAATATTTTTAGCTGTTATTAACCTCAATACTATATTTCGAAGTAAATTATTAGAAATGTCCTCTATAAATATTCTAAATTTGTATAATACAATACTCCGATTTATATTATTAAATAATTTTAAAAATTTCGAAACCTACAGAGAAAATAAACTAAAATAAATTAACTTAATATCTAATCAATTGGAAATATGAAAAAATAAAGATATGTAAAATTCATAACAATGCTTATTAATTTATTTCGCTTTAAAACAGAACACTTTAAAGAATTTCATACTTTCAATAAATTTCTTAATTGATTCTGAAAATTCGATTCTCATCTCAATATTATTTATATTATTTAATATAAAGTTAAATCCCTTTTAGTTTGATTCAATTTATTATTTTAACTTATTTTTTTTCTTAGAAATTTGGGTAACTCATTTTTCAAAAATAGACTTTGATAGCAATCCATAAAAAACATTAATAATTGTAATTTTTTGTTAAAATATTAGATACGTTAATATTTGATCAGATTATAAGAGGTACAAATCAAAATTTAATTAGTATTCATTTTCTCAACAAATGATTGGTCTTTAATATTCTCTATTAAAAACTGAATTTTATAAATAATATATTATCTAAAAAATAATTTAATTAAAAGTAATCATTAAATTGTAGATGTTAAAGAATTAATATAAGATTAATATAAATGGACTAGTGAAGCATTTAGTTATGATGAAATTTAATATCTGAAAACCTTTTTAATTTAGATATTTTTCTTCTAAATTAGAAAGTTAGATATTGGATAGATGCTTTCTAGTTGAAATACATAAGAATAAAGTTCTTAACTTCGATAATGAAAGTTCACAAGAAAAAAAAATTTATTTTTTGACAAGATGAATAAAAAATTCATTCTGTACATAAAATTGTCATACTTCATTCTAATTCTATAATTTTCCAGCCACTAAAGAGACAACTACAATATTTCTTTTTTTATTTTCTAATGGAAGAATTAAACAAGGTTTATTTGATGAAAAGATAAGTTTTTTCCTCACTACTTTCTTTCTATAAAGAAGTATAATGGTTTTAGCGGTAGCATATTTTAGTTTTAATTACTATGCTGCCTAAAACTTTAATATCACAAATACTTGCTTAATTTTAAATCCATTTTGAAAGACTTTTTGAATCAAAGCTTTTTTTATAGAAGGTGAGATTTTAGAGTAGGTTCTCTTCTGCTGAATCTATTCAATCATAATTAAGAAAATATACAAATTAGATTTAATTTTTGCTGCTTAAACATAGATTAATTGATATCTATAATTGATAAATTAGATATGTTAAAACTTGTATAATATAATGAAAAAACAATATATATGGGTTTTCATTATAAAATTTATTGAAACGTTTTTGTAAAAATTAAATTATTAATGATAATTATACAGAGTTTATTCGTGATTTTACTTGACTACATTATATTAAATAGAAACTCATTTAAAATAAAGAAATCAATAATCTTATTAAAAATTTTACTTTAAAATTTACTTATAAAAAATGAGTGATATTTAAGAATTAATAGATGATTTTAAAAAAGTGCAAATCAAAGATGATAATCGAGAAGATGAGTAAAAAGAATAAAAAATTGAAAAACAAGAGAAATAAGATGAATCAAATGATAAAATATTGCAGAAAGAATAAAGTGAAAAATAATAAGAATAAGAATTAATCGAAGAAAATAAAAACAATACAGAAGCTTAAATAGATGAATAAAAATAAGAAGAATTTAAAATGAAATAATAAGAAAAAGAATTAGAAGAAGCTTTAAAAAATCAATTAGTTATTTAGGATTAAAAAGAAGAAAAAAAAAAGGAAAATCCTAAGTCTGGTGAAGAAGAACAAACCATAATAAAAGGTACAATGAGAAGTGATGGCACAATGAGAAAAGACATAAAAGTAAGAGCTGGATACAAGAATGCTGATATGATTTAAAGATATGTGATACCCTAAAAAAGAAAATGATATTTGATTATAAATTTCTAATTGATATAATACTATTAATAAAAGGCAGAACCTATGTATCAAATTTGTAAAATTAATCTTGAGTCGACGCCACATTGTTAAAGCAATTCAATAATATCATCTTCAAATTATTGGAATCCACATACATAAACTTTAGCTGCTTGATATTTTAATTTATCTTATATATCTTTTTTAGAATAATGTAATTTGGTAATATGCAATTCGAATAAATTGAGGTTGTGTTATTTGTTTAAATACTCTAAATCTTGTAATATAGGGTATCCCAAAATAGGAGTTTTCGAAGATACATTAAGAACCAATTTAAATTTATCTAAATGAGTATATTATTATGAATTTGGTAACCCATCTTGATACATGATAGAAAATAAGCTTTTTCTCAAAAGATAATCACATAGATCAAGGAAGGGTAAAACGCCTGTACCTTAACAAAAAACATAATGCACTCCAGCACTATTATCATCTAATTCCAATCCGAAACCATAAGGCCCTGTAATTTCAAATCTCTTATGAGAAGCAGAATGAATAAATTTACTTAGATTTTTTTACCCATTATATTTTTTAATTACAAACTGGAGTGTATTTGATAATTGAGGTTATTAAGGTAGAGGTTTAGTCCAATCTTTTTATTTGAAATACTCAATCAATTCATATCTATATTTAATATTTAATTCATTTAAACATGAAACAACTGTATATGGTCTTTCTTAGAATTCTAAGCCTATTCCATAGGGTTTAATATAAAAATATCTACCAAACCATGATACTCCTTAAATTGTTTAATTAACTTTAAAATCTTAATTAATGAATTTAAAAAGTGAAACATTCGTTCCCATAGACTTAACCTCTTGTAAAGTCCAAATGTGTTAAGGTTTCTTTGTTTCTGTTACTGTATAAAGTAAAGGACATGATTCATTCTTAAAATCTCCTAAATAACGTGTTTCGATATAATTAATTGCAAATAGAGAATGCTTATGTAATTATGTATCCTTAATTGGATAAGACCCATAAAAATATCGTCCAATTTCTCTACCCTTAATTTTTCTAAATATGTATTATCCTCCTGGATGATTAAAATCACTTACATCATATACTGCCTCTCGTAGAATAATGTAAGTAATTTTAGGATAATCTTCAATCATTTCTTAATATGAAGTTCCTGTATTAAGTTTTTCAATTATACTCTCATAAAGAGTTTATTGATCCTATTCAATTTAACTGTATTTTATTCTTTTTCTTGTTATTGCAGACACTTAATAATAATAGAGCATTTCTATTGTGAATTTTAGTAGGAACAATAGAATATAATATATAATAAATATTCCTATATAAGATGAATCAAATATGGATATTCCAATAATAACTTATATTTTTGTTATTATATAAAGCAAATAACCGAGATATTTATGTATATATTTAACTTTGTATATTAGATAAGTTCCATTATTTGACTCTAAATTATTTCTGGCTAGCAGTCCTAAAAATATTTGTATAGTTAGTATTAATAAAATAAGTACTCCAAGAATAAAATGAAGTATTATTTTAGTTTCTTAATATCCTAATTGTTGGATTTTTTTTTATTGTTAGGATATCATTCCAAATACAAAAAAGTATGTTGCTATTGATAAAAATAAGAATATCATGCCATGAACCCTAACATATTTTGGATAGCTTTTTAATTATCTTCCATAAAAGATGCCAACATCAGAAATAAAAGACCAAAATAATAACATAAGAATGATGTGGCCATTATAAATTAACTAATCCCAATAGTCTTTTTAAAAAGATTGATTATTCTTCGATAACTCAAATTGAAATGCTCCTCTGTTAGCAGCATGATATTATTATCCATCTCGACCAAAAGCATAAATAGACAATATGTCTTTTTTTAATGAAAAGTCATAATCATATTTATCAGAAGTCTTCAATTTTCGATGAACTCTTATAATAAATAAATCAGTAGAATTATTATAAATAAAGCTATCTAAAACCCAATCTTGTGTTCCATATAATTGAGTATCTGAATAAGGCACCATATTCTAGTTTCCAAACATATCATCAATCTAAATATAATATCCATTATCATTATTGATGGTGGCTGTTTCAATTTTAATTAGAAGCATATCAGTATTCAACATTCTATATTATAATGTATAATTTACTTATCACTATTGAATCCTAACCCAAACCAATCACATTTCAATATTTATATTTGCAATATGATGTTTTCATTTTTATCATATTCCCACTCTAAGATAAATTCATCTTTTATTAAGATTTATTCATTGAACAATTGAGTTACATTATTATAATAATTTATGTTGCAACGACCATTCAAAACTTAGATGTTAGTATCGGTACATTTAGTGCATTAATAAGCGAATGGTCCATCACATGTTGCACAAGTATAATGACATTAGTAACTCTAAAGTTAGAACCTCCCATATTGAGTATAGGAATTAAAATTAATATCCAACTCATTAATTGCATAGAACATTTCAATTTTAGAATATGAGTCTATTAATTCATCTGTAGGATCATCAGAGTTAGTTGATTTCAAAAATGTAGAATATAAATAAGTATCATTCATTGAGGCCTCTAAAATATATATATCTTGCTGAGTATCGATAGTGGGAGATGTGAATTTAGTTTAAGTCTACTCAAGAGCATCTTCAATGTTTAATATTCCATTAACATTAGACATCCTTATTATATCAGCATTTGAATATGTAATACCAAATCCTATTAAACACCAGTATTAAGTTTTACACATTAATGTAAACTAAATATTGTTATAGTCAACAAATTGATATTCCAATACTATCAGTCCATCTAATAATTATATCATTAGACATGGCTATAAAATCAATAATATAAATATATTCATAAATATAATAACATGGATTAAAAGAAAAAAAGTCAACTTATTAAAGGATATTGCAACGGATTAATATTTTCAATATTCTTGGGGATCTATGATTATCCTCTAAACTCTGCAAATCCCTCCTGGACTAAATCATAAGTTAGATTAGACTATGCTAAATTCATAGGAAAACAAACATTGTGGTTTCCTCCTATGCTTGCTTTATTTTAAATTACATGTGCTCAGATGGAACATTGGGGATACAATTATCCAACATAAGTTTTGACAGCTTTTGGTGTAGGGATATGTTATTTAGGTATTGTTAAGTATAAATGATAATTATGAGTTGATTTATTCATTTCATTTTTAATAAATTTCTTATGGTTTCAGAACTTATTGAATTATTTTAACTGCTTTTATTTGCGCTATTACTATGTTTTGTTTGACTTCGACTAGGTTTGCTAGGTTGAATGTTGCAAATTTCTGCCAGGGTTTGTCTTCCTTTCATCATGTATTAACTAATTTAAATATTATTGGATCGTTGGCTTATTTATGCTTATTATTATTAAAGTAGTTTATTATATCTCTTAAATAATTCATCACAGGAACTTCGATGAGATGAATACCCATGTTAAGACAAAGAGGAATATTTTTATGGAGAACTAATTCTCTATGTTAAGGAACCATCCTAACTCTTATCCTTCTTCTTTTTCGATTCTGATAACCACTATTATACTTTATTAGTACTATATTGAGATATCACTTGTTATAATCTCTTTATTTCTTGAGATGCTTCGTCTAATTTGGATTGCAATTAATCTTAATACAATTTCATCTATTGCTCCAACTAGTCATCGAATAAGAAATTCTTATTACGCTTATATGATTCCGAATATCGGCTTCCTATTATTGCAAAACAGATTCCAATTTTTTGTATTCCTGATTACTGTTCTTAATATCTCGAAATGCCTTAGCGATTCTCTATATTAATTCATTACAATTGTAGTACTCAATCCTTGAACATTTTTCATTTTTATAATTAAGCATCTATATTATTTCAAATATTGGTACTTCTTCTAAAATAGCTCTTAATCCACTCTCTATTTCTATTTTTTCTTATCTATTCATTTAACGAAATAAATTAAAAGTAATATAATTAATTATTTAAATGGAGGAAGAGGATTGTACTATCTTTATTGAAGAACTAAAAAGTGATGATCCCAATCTGAAAATAAATGCAGTGACAAAAATAGTATCAATAGCTCAAATTCTGGGTCCTACTAGAACATGCTCTGAACTTATACCATATTTAATAGACATTATTGAAGAATAGGATAATGAAGATGAATTTCTTATAAAATTAGCTTAAGAACTTGTAAATTTGAAGCCTCATACAGGGTCTAATACTCATTTGTTAAATGCTCCTTTAGAAATTCTCAGTTCTATGGAAGAGCCATTAGTGAGAGAAAAAGCAGTAGAATCTCTGTTATTGTTAGCAGATGATATGCCAGATAGTAAGAATTCAATAAAATACTTTAGGCTTTTTCGAAAATCATTTTTTTTAAATAGTGCAACAATTAGGTTAATGGGATAATTTTCCTTCCCGCATTTCAGCAGCTAGTTTATTTCCATTAACTTATAATCATGTTTCATTTGAAAAGAAAGCAATTCTTTGGGAATTATACAAATAATTATGTGGTGATGATACACCTATGGTAAGAAGAGTATGTGCAGGAGTATTATCTGATTTAGCTAAAATGAGATGTCAACCATAACAGTTACTTGCTCTTTGGGAAACTTTACTTAAAGATCCTGCTGATAGTGTTAAAATAAAAGCTATTGAAGGTTCAAAATAAATGCTTAAACTTATTGATGATAATAGTGAATTAGAATCTCATCTTCATGCCTTTTTTGCATTAGCAGATCCTAAAGAAAAAACATGGAGAGTTAGATATACAGTTCCAGAATGTTTAGAAAGTATTATAGATATCATTGTCAAAATAAGTAATCATTTTAAAATCTAATCTTTAGATAAAGACAAAAGTATTCTAAAAGTTAAAGCTGTACCCGTTTTTCAACTATTACTTAAAGATTCAGAACCAGAAGTTAGATCAATTACTGTGATGTCTATTTATCATCTTCTTAAGGAATTGCCAGTTAATTTAAAAGAATCGTTTTTACCATTTTTCTAAGCTCTTTCAACAGATACCTCTTAACATGTAAGAATGTCATTAGCTGAATAAATTTGCAAAATATCTAAATAATATTCAGTTTAAGTTGTAATACAAACTTTCATTCCTTTAATATCTACTCTCATTAAAGATGATGTTGCAGAAATCAAAATTAAATTGGCTCATAATCTAGATCAATTATCTTAAACTATTGGAGCGGAAAATTCTAAAAAACATTTGATTCCTCTTATTTCCACATTTGCATCTGAAAAATAATGGAGATTCAGACTAGAAATGATGTCAATAATCCCAAATCTCTTAAAAGTTGCTGGCTATGACAGTTTTCTAGAATTATAAGATATTTATCTTGATAAAGGAGTTTTAAATCATTATTAGGCCATTAGAGATTAAGCCATCGATAATCTAGTGCCAATTAATGAACATTTTGGTTATGAAAAAATTCGAGATTTCATTCTCAAATGTATTACCAAACAATTCGAATAACCAAATTATATATTTAGAGTCTCTGCTATGCATAGTATTACGAAACTTAGAGATGTTCTCTCAATAAATGATTTACTTAATTTATTCAAGGTAATTCTTATTTCTATTAAATTTTCTAGGATATAGCTTCCAAATCAATCTATGACAGAGTACCTAACGTTAAGTTAAATATTTTTAAATTATTTACTGCTATCCAAGATAAATTAGATATTTAAATCTAAAATGAATTCAAACATAAAACTAGGTTTCTGTAAGATGATGATGATAAAGATGTACAATTTTTTGCATCAACAATTTGATATAAAATTTTTATCCATCAATTTATTATTTTACTTCTATATTTTTAAACTGTCAACATATTAGCCATTATTTCTAATGAACCTAAAACATGTTTTCTACTGAGAAAATTAATTTTACTTACAACTTTGTTAACACAGAAAAATTTTTGTCATAACTCTTTAATATTTTTAACTATAATTGAAATACACTACTTTTTAGTTGAGAACATTATATATAAAATATTCTAAAATTATAGATCACTCAAATATTTATATATAAAGATTAGATAAATATTTCTAAAATTTATTATTATATATACAATAATCGAATTAAGTAATTTCAAGTAGATAATTAAGGTTAATAATTTTAAAAGAATGTTTTTTAATCATCAGTCATAACTATAACTATCTATTTGGCATCGTTTATTATTTTGGAAACATCAAATTATAATTGATCTTTAATGACGCCTGTCAAAAATTCTGAGATTTAACCAAAATCTTTTTCGATTAGATCATATCCAAATTCTTTAAGAAAAGCAATACTAATTTTAATGATTGAAAAGATATTAGTCGCCAAAATAAAATCCCAAAAAAAAATCACACTATCAATAGGGAATGTATATAAAAACTGAGTTAAAATCCATTACCAAATGTATTATTAATCATTAATTCCTTCCTCTTAGAAATGCTAAAAAAGTCCTGGAAGATTTTCATTAAAATTTTATAAGAACACTTAACATAGTGCTTTAGTGTATTTAAAATGAACTCGAAAGATCTCCCACCATAAAAAGAGATGATTAGTATTAATGAAATGAATGAGCCAAAAGACTTCTTCTTCTTTACCTCCGCTAACAATTAAAGAGAATCCAACTATATAGTTCATTCCTTATACATACCCAATATCCTCATTTTGTATGGAAAGGGCTTTGAGAATAGAAAATAACTATTATTAACCTAAATTACTATCTTTAAAGTGATCATGAGAGGAAAAGGTTCTATTAATATCTTTAGTAATATCATTTTAAACTTTTTGAGAAATAGTTTGATTTTTTAACTTTTAATAAAGATGAGGATCATAATCTCTGTTTCTGTAGACTTATGCCATCCAAAAGTTCCATCTGTATTTGGATATAGCTCCATCCATAAGAATATTTTAGAAATCTTCTTTATTGGTTTCTTTTAGAAGATAGGTATATATAATATCTTTGTTTGTCAATTTTAACGGGCCACCTAGTTCTTAAACTAGAGACTCTAAGTTTTTTTAAGAGAAATGTTTTCTGGAATTGATTTTGAGCTCTTTATATTAATCATCTTCATTAATCTGTTATTATAAAGCCAAATAAGTCTCATTTATATGTTCATTTTCCTTTTAATAATATTAATTCCATTTTGATTGTTTCTAAGAATAAGCTAGATCATTTTTTTCGATTTCTTATTGAAACTCTTCACCTACATATTTATATGTATTGATAATTTTAGGAGGGGCATGAGGAGTAGTTTCATTAATATGTTTTGGATTTTATATGATGACAATCTTGTTAGTTTTATCCTTTGCACAAATAAGTCCCATTTAACTTAAAAATATATATATATATGAATATCAGTTTTTGTAAATCCTAATGACATCTTAGATTTTAGTTCTGCAAATTGGACAGTCCTTTAAATTTTTGCTGCATTTTAAACAAGCTGTATTATGTTTACAAGGCATATAAAGAGCATCCCGATCATTTTCAATACAAATTATACAACTATTTTCACTACTCTTATCAGTGATTAACTAAGATGTCCTTTTACATAAATATGTAGAAGTAGTTCCTATTTTGAAAACCGTTTAATTCTATAAAGGATATAACTAAGAGAATAATCCTTCTTTAGACAACCTCAACCAAGAACTATCATCAATTTTTATTTAATTACCCATTTGTTGATCCCATATCTTCCAAATAAACTCGTCCATCTATAAGACAAATCTTTGCATGTATGTTTGAGAGATGATGATCATCACCAAATGTCAGATCAGCTGTTTGCTTACGCCCTACTGTAGTAACGCATTTTTGTAGACTTAAAGCAATTATGTGTTTCTCAGATGAATTGATACCTTCAATTATCAGCATGACAACCTATATTTCCATATACATTTTTTTACTTCAGCCATTTAGTTATTTACACTCAATTACTAAATCTCAAACTGATTGCTTCCCAATTCTATAATCATTCCTATTTAAAGTTCTAATTTACTCTCAACTTTTATAAAAGTTCCAGTTGTTGATCCGATATCTTTTATAAAGAACTATCCATATAACTATTATTCTTACTTCTTCATTTTAAAATACTATTTCTGCATGAAATCGACTGATACTTTCTTCTAATATTAAAATCTAATTGCTAGAATGCCTTCCTATTTTTCCTCCTGATTCTTTTATACAATAAAAATTAGTTTGAGGCCCTTCAGTTGGTTAGATTATAAGCTCATTTTACACTTTTTATACTAAATTTTCATTTTCTTATTCTAACTAAATGCCGGTTTATTATTTCTTTAAAAATTAAGGCTTGTTTTCACTAGATAATAATGTGTTTTGATTACATTTCACATAATGGCTGTTAAAACTATTATGAATAGATTTCATTATTCTTAATGTAATTAGTCATCATATCATGCGATATATTAATTTATCCATATTAAGGTTATGCTTATTCTGTATTTTCAAGTGAAGTGTTTTCTTATTCGATTTTGTCACATCTTTTATCATCAAGTATAACTGATTTGATATGTAAAGTAAACTCCTTTAATCCAATTTTAAGCCCTTTCTTTAGAAATAGTTTGTACAATGCATTAATTTTTTTCTGACTATCTTACTATTGATTCCAAGATCATCAATAAGGTCATTTTCTTCGATTAATTCTAAACAGGATCCATCAATTGAGTTATTTGCTAAATGTATAAATAAATACATACTAAATATTGTTTATAGTGATTGTAATCCAATGAAATTGAGCCATAAAGAAACATCCTCCCTTGACCATTTTTTTGGTTCTTTTGGAAGAATGCCAAAGAGAGTATCATAATCCATATTTTATATTTAAATTTTAAAAGCACTAACTGAAAATAATTATTCACAAATATAATTGTTTAATCTTACTATATGACAGGAACACTAATTCCGGAATAGCTAAGGTATAATTGTTAGCACCAATAATAATATTTTTTCCATTTAATTCTGACTCTATATTTAGCATATCTTCATAATGTCCAGGAGAGAATCTAGTAAATGCTTTAGACCAACTTTTAGTTATTATTTCTTTAGGTTCAGGAATCTAAACTCCCAAATGTTTGCTTAATTCATTTAAGATTACATGATCATTAACATCATAAATTGACATAATAGATAAATTAGTTGCATTCTCTGGATATTAAGAAGGAAATGATAAAGAATCTGCTACCATTCCTAAAATCACTTACTCTTACTTTGGATTTATTAAATATCCAAAACCTTTAAACTTAAAAACTAAAAACTATTCTATACTTTTTAAGGTAATATCTTTTAATCCCAACATATATTCCTAGTTACTAATGAATTACATTTGATTCCTCTAAATACATCCCCAATCTTATTCAAATTAGAATTTGTCATTATTTAAGACAATTAATGTGTTGGAGCATTCAATATTAAATAATCATAATTTAATCTCTACTCTTCCTACTAATCTCTATTCTCCACTATCAATTCCTTCGTTTTCATTTCAATTCTCTTTGCTTTTGAATTCAATCTCACTTCGTATTCTCCACTATATGTCTCTTACAAATAAGTATGTAATCTCTTTGGTAGAGATTCTACACCATCTTTGAATCTGTAACTATTTGCTATTCATTTATTATTAATTCTACCTCCTTTTAATTTCTCATCTCTTATCTATTCAAAATCTTTATCTAAACTCAATTCTTTCTATATCTCCTGTTCTTTATATCCTCTCATATGACTCTTACTGTAACATAAACCCTTCGATAAATTATATACTGATTCTCCATAAATTCCATAAAATACAGACTCTGCATATTTCTCAGTAAGCTCCTTTCCTAAAACTTAATCCAAATATTCTCCCAGATTATCTGTATTTGGTTTCAACAACATCATATTTGCACCAGCTTTTATTAATTTCAACATATCTCCACTACCATTATCCTTTATGAATTGTGAAAGAGTTCCTAAATTCATTTACAAAGGAACTGAATTTAGTTTTCCATTCCAATAGATGTAACTATATGGTTATTGAATACTGGGTACAACTAATTAAATTTGAGCTTCACTTACATTCTTTATAAAGTTTGGTCTTATTTAGAATATGATAGAGTGGTCTGTTGTATTTCCCCATTCTAATTGATCTTGGTCCTTCTTCACAAATAAATCCATTTCTATTATTTGAAACTATCATTCCACCTACACGATTTGATTACTCTATCAAAGTTATTTAAGCTTTTGGAAAAAAATGCTTAATAAAATAGGCATTACTCAATCCAGAGAGACCTGCTCCAACAATTACAAATTTATGAGACATAAAAAATAAATTATTGAAATTATTATTACGAATATACATTTTTGAGCCGAGTTTGTATGAAATCTATAATCAAAATAAATTCTTTTCTATAAATTCTCTGCTATGATATTCCTTCAACTACACATCTCTTTTGAATAACTAAATATTTGAAAAATATATGATTCAAGTTTTTTTGAAAATATTATTTTCTAAGCGGTTAATTTCTCGCCTCATTCAGGATCTATATTTCAAATAGAGTGATTATATTAGATTTGATTGAAACAAAACAAATTATAATTTATAAAATATTATAAACTTTATTGCAAGATGAAATATAAATTTTGGCTTTTAATAAATATGTAAATCCTAGACCATTAGTTTATTTAATCTTGGCAAAGGAAAAAATAACATTTTTATATTTTGGCTGACTTTATATTTTTTTAAAATCATGTTAAAAATTTATACCAGTTAATTTTAGTCTTAGAAAATGCTTAAACAGTATAAAGATATCTACAAAAAATTTTAAAAATCATTTGTTANTACAAATAAGTATGTAATCTCTTTGGTAGAGATTCTACACCATCTTTGAATCTGTAACTATTTGCTATTCATTTATTATTAATTCTACCTCCTTTTAATTTCTCATCTCTTATCTATTCAAAATCTTTATCTAAACTCAATTCTTTCTATATCTCCTGTTCTTTATATCCTCTCATATGACTCTTACTGTAACATAAACCCTTCGATAAATTATATACTGATTCTCCATAAATTCCATAAAATACAGACTCTGCATATTTCTCAGTAAGCTCCTTTCCTAAAACTTAATCCAAATATTCTCCCAGATTATCTGTATTTGGTTTCAACAACATCATATTTGCACCAGCTTTTATTAATTTCAACATATCTCCACTACCATTATCCTTTATGAATTGTGAAAGAGTTCCTAAATTCATTTACAAAGGAACTGAATTTAGTTTTCCATTCCAATAGATGTAACTATATGGTTATTGAATACTGGGTACAACTAATTAAATTTGAGCTTCACTTACATTCTTTATAAAGTTTGGTCTTATTTAGAATATGATAGAGTGGTCTGTTGTATTTCCCCATTCTAATTGATCTTGGTCCTTCTTCACAAATAAATCCATTTCTATTATTTGAAACTATCATTCCACCTACACGATTTGATTACTCTATCAAAGTTATTTAAGCTTTTGGAAAAAAATGCTTAATAAAATAGGCATTACTCAATCCAGAGAGACCTGCTCCAACAATTACAAATTTATGAGACATAAAAAATAAATTATTGAAATTATTATTACGAATATACATTTTTGAGCCGAGTTTGTATGAAATCTATAATCAAAATAAATTCTTTTCTATAAATTCTCTGCTATGATATTCCTTCAACTACACATCTCTTTTGAATAACTAAATATTTGAAAAATATATGATTCAAGTTTTTTTGAAAATATTATTTTCTAAGCGGTTAATTTCTCGCCTCATTCAGGATCTATATTTCAAATAGAGTGATTATATTAGATTTGATTGAAACAAAACAAATTATAATTTATAAAATATTATAAACTTTATTGCAAGATGAAATATAAATTTTGGCTTTTAATAAATATGTAAATCCTAGACCATTAGTTTATTTAAGTATAATTTATATTAAAAAATACTTATTTTGGAATAAGGCCAAAAATTCAAAAAAATAATGGTATTTTTAATTTTATCTATTGCATTAAATTTTTCTCAAAGTTTACTAAATCTTTATTTAGTGTTTAGAAATGTTATGAATACAAGCCTAATAATAATTACATCATATCTATATTAAACCTTTATGAAAATTATACTTTGACAGCATATTATTTTTATATAAGTTGTATAGTCAATGTTTTAGCAACCCTTTCATGATTAAAAAATAAATTAATAATCCCTACAATAGCTCTTTATTAATTTTATTCCTCAGAATTATACTAATATTTGATTAGTTCTACTTGATAGTCATAAAGTAATTAGATTCCTAAATCGAGATACAGTTTTCATAGCAGAGAATATATTAATGAACCAAACTATAAATTTTTGAAGATCCTTCTTTTATTTTGGATGAAGAAAGAATTTCCATCTATTAACAAATGCTTTTAATAAAATAGCCTATTTTAACATATTTATTATAAATTATTAATTTATTAAAATATCAGAAATTTCTATCAGCATAATATGAATATCTTTAATTCTATTAAGCATTATCATCTTTATTCTCTTCTTTAATTTAATCAGTATAATTAATTTAAATTAATTATTATTTTTAGAGAGATCTGTAATTATCAATGATATTCTTTAATTTTGGCTCTTCCATTACTTCTATGTAATCTATAGGTTAAGGTATAATGGTGTTAAGAGATATTGTTTAGTCTTTAATATAATAAATAAAGCAGAGACGAGCTTTGAATTTCTCAAGTGTGTGATAATTTTATAAATTACTCATAATCTGTTAATTTCTAAAATTATTATTATAAACTTACTCAAATTAATCCCTTAAAAGTATCCATTTTGTATTAGGTTTTAATTTCTTTAAAAAATCATAATAAATCAAGGTTAATCCAATATTTCCTTATCTGATACCAATACATTATCTGGAATATTTCAATTTATCAGCCAAATTAAAAAGATCTCCTGCAACAGCTATGTTTTTAGAATAGACCCATCCAATTATCATTTTGTATTAAGATTTTTTTTTTGTCAAATATTCAACAACTGCTTTGACAGAGGAATATGTTTTACAAGTAATCGTAATTAATTCTGGTTTTGGAAAGTACTAAGTTTAATTATGATCATAAGTTAATAATGATGGTCGTATTAACCATGAATCTCGATTCTCATTCGATTTCTTTTTTAACATTAGATTCAATTCTCCTATATTCATTAACACTTGTTTCTCTTTCATTTTAGGTCCTTCTTCAATCTAACTATCTGAATTGAATAATAACAATTATTTTTCTATTTTATTTTGTATTTCTCCTTAAGGCTAATTTTCAAATTCTTTTTACTAAATCAATTTTTAACAAATTATTTATGGTATTAGAATAGGTTAATGTGCTATCTTAACTATTTTATTTTTTTATTATTATTATTCTTATATTTTAGTAAATTACTATATAAATAAATTCTAATTAATACGTTAATCTTTTATTTTTCTTATTTCTTCATATAATAAACTAATTATAAATAATATTAATACTCTTTTTATATATTTAGTTTTATTATCTATTTTACTTAATCAATCTCTTTTAAATATCTCTCTCTATCTAAATTGATTTCCATAAATATTGATGCTTCTAAATTACTGATAGATTATTCATTAACTTTTCTCCAATTTTTATATTTATATAATATTGTTGTAAATATCTCCCTTGAAGTTTTTCTCAAATCTTCCCAAATTTCATCTGCTTTTGTTTATTCCAACCTCTTTTTCTGAATCTTCTCCTATTTTAATATCTTTTTGTTCTCTTTACTAATACTTTAATCTTTATTTTAAACACTCTCTTTCAACCAACCTATCCATTCAAAATCATCTCTCAAACTCTTTAATATTAATTTATATATCTTACATAATCTATAAATTTTAAATCTTCACTGTTACTGTTCTTCTATCTCTATTTATTAGCACCAAGCAATTTTTATTACCATTCCTCTCCTCCTAAAATAATTAATTCATCAATTTCATTCAATCTTTCTTATATTAAATTATTCTAACTTCTTAACTTCAAATGTTTTAATGATTGTTATTTTATCATATTATATATCAATTGTAAACTGAATCCTTGAACTTTTAAAAAGCATCGATCATAAAATATTCTTATTTTTTATAATTATTCAATATACACATAATTCTCAGGCTATTTCTCTACTAATTCATTGTATTATTATAGTACTATCTTAACTTCTTATAAATCATCTTCTAATTCTTTTGGTTTAAATATTTAATGCTATTAAGCCCTCAACAAAATCTCATTCATTTATTCAGCATCAAGTTTACTCTCCAAAAATTTAAAATATTGCTTATATGTTTATAAAATATTTATTTATTCTCTATTTCTTAACCACAAATTTCTTTATTCTGAATATTCATTCATTTTTTGACTTAGATCTTCAATATTATTTAGATTCTCTTTCAATTTATTTAATAATTAATTATTTGGTTTTATATTTGCAATATTAGAACAGTTTATTAAAGTTTTTAAACTTAATTAATTAGCTTTTTATTCTAAAAACTCCTCAGCTTTTTTCATCCATAGCACTTAAATATAAAATGACCATAATAAACTTGATAAACATGGATTATTGTAGTAATTGCTATTTATTAATTGAATTAGTTAGTATTATTCTGGAACCTCTGAATTTTCTAATTGTAATTCAAACTCTTTTAAAGTTTGCAACCATTTATCATACTAACTTTTAATCTTTTACATCTATATAGAATAATAGTGATCTTGTATTTAATCATCACAATTAAGCAACTTTATCACTTAAATTATGTTATATCTCTTTTTACCATATTCCAATTCAATTTTATTTGATTCATTTAATACTCTCTAACATTCAAATCTCCAATATATTTATCTAAAATTCTATACAACTTATTTTATCTCATCAAAAATAACATCTGGAATTATAACCTAAGAAATTAGTTCATTATTAAAATCCAAATCTTGAATCTACTTCACTTTTTATAACATCACTTATAAATTATCCTAATAATTGTAAGCAATATAAAAGAATTGTCGAACAAATTCTATTTAAGATTGAATTTACATTATATATTATTCAAGTTCAGCTGATTTCAGATATCTATATTGATCTAAACAATCTAATATACTATTTTTATTTTTTATTATACTATTAGCTTATATTAGATCTTTCCGTCGAATTTATGTATCTAATTCAAATCCTTATAAATTACACTCATTTTCTATTTCCTCTAGTTCCTTCATACTTAATATTTCCTATAATTTCTAATCAAACTCTTTAAATTTTTAAAGTTTTCTTTTTTATTTTTCTATATATTCAGTTGTTAATAAACAATTTTCAATCAGATCTATCATATCTATATAAAATTTGTTTGTAATCTTTTCTTACTTTTAAAATTTCTCATGAATTTCTATTAATTAATTAACAACTCTACTAATTATTGGTGATATTTAAGCAGCTTTTTAAATATTATCAAAACTATAAAGTCCTTAATATTCTCTTTTAGTCAAACGACTATTTTTCTATATTTTTTATTCTAAATCTACTTTAAATTCCTAGATTAATTATGCTTCAAAATAAGTCTAAATTTGATTTAACAATTTATCACTATTAAAAGGAAATTCTATTATTTATTTCAAATTTGTTTAAATATTACCATCTTCCAAAATTACGCTTTCTTCTAATAAATTTTCTATCAATTTGACACAACCCATTGTAATATTATTTTTATAAGCCATTTTTTTTAATTCTTTTAATTTCTCTAAAAGTGGTTTGCTTTTTTAATTTTTCATTAATATGTATTATTTAAAAACAGTTAATTCAAGTTAGTTTTCCATAAATGGAATATCCCACTAAAATTTATTATCATTTAATAGTTATTTGAACTTAATCTTTATATTTTAAGTGACTATATATCGATTAACTAAATTAAATAATTATTAGTTTGGGCATATAAACAATTTTTGTATATCAATCAAGTTTTCTTCTAAAAGATTAAATGTCGTTTCTACTAAATAACCATCATTTATTCCTTTTTATATTTAAAATTTAATTTATTTTCTTGATAACAAAAATGATTTAAAAACTTTTCTTTTTTATTTTTTAAACAAATACCCTTTATTTCTTAATTATTTCGCTAACTCTTCATAAAAAGATTTATTTTTTTATAATTAGTCTGGTATAATAAATAATAATTGTTATTTTAATTATTCTAATAATATTTACTTCAACAATATTTTATCCAGCTAAATTTCTGCAGATGATTTGATAGGCATTGAAGCTAAAAATGATTTAATATGTTTTAATTGTTTAAAGTCATTTTTACTTAAAAGAAGTCTTGGCAATCTTCTCATAATTGCTTCCAAATATAATAAAATGGGTATAAAATCTAATAAGTGAACTTTATATATATCTTATGGTATTAATAAATCTTCTAAACTTAATAAATGAGGATCATCTATATCAATTTTGCATCTTTAAATAGTCCATCGTTTACATGCTTCACAAACATATGATTCTTCTTTTATCTAACGCTTTTTAATACATCCAAAATGAAACCATTCATAACAATGATCACATTAAACCATTTAAGAATTATTTAATGATTTTCTGCAAGTACAAAAAATCATATGATTTTCCATATGAGATTAACAATAACTTTCTATCTTATTTTCTGAAGACCAAATATTATTATTATTAATTTTAGGTAATTAATAATTTTCAAATATAGTTTCTAAGTTGTGTTATACTTCATCTTTTAATTGAACTATTAAATTTTCATTCTGTTAAGGAATTTCATACAAAATATCTATTGATAATTAAAAAGCTTCCTAAACATCATATAATTCATTTTAAATTTCTTATTAATCTATATCTAAATTGTTTTAATCCTATTAAGTATCATAAAATCTAAGATTTAAAATCCATTATTCATTTTCAATATATTACAACTCTTTTTCAACTTTTTCTTTTAAAATACAATGTGGATGTGCGAATTCTGTACAATCTAAGCATTTTATCAAAGCTCCTAAGTTTTAACAATATTGACATTTTTCCTTTGTTTTTTTATCTAATTAATTTAATAAACTAAATGACATTGTATGATAGTCTCTCACCAATATGTAAGGATCAAAAATTGCACATATAACATGCACATACATTTGATTATATCCAGATACTCTTTTAAGCAAACCATTTTATCCACAAATATAGCATTCAGGTTTTTATATATTATCTTAACATGGATCACAATATTCATCTTAATTATTATACCCATAACAATATCTATGATATATTAATTTACATTTTTGGCATTCCATTTATTGACAACCTTTATCTTTTCTAATGAAGTTCAATCCACAAACTGAGCAATTCATTTATTTTTATTATATCTGCCCTTTAAATAGATTTTATAAATGTATGCTCAAATATTACCTGCCATTGTATCAAATCATTATACTTAATCAAATTAATCGATTTAAGATAACTTATTCTCACAAACCCCTTCCATTTAGACATATGTAATCACTTGTTTAAAACTATTACTAGATATATATATGTTCTGACTAACCATATATTTACTTTTATTTTCTAAATTAAATGCAGAATTCTTTTATTCCTTCTTCAAATAGTCATTTAGAAATATATACATGAACATTCTCATATAATATATTACAATAAATTATAAAAATATAAAAATATCATAATTCCCAATACCTTTCATTTAAATTCATTAAAAAACTTTCATTTTTATTTAAAATTCAACTCTATTTTACAGAGAGCTATTTTATCATTGAAATTTATTTAAATAATTGCTGAATTCAAATCATTATTAGAACTCTTAAATAATATTAAATTTTATCTATTTACACTTAATTTAAATTTTGTAAATTTTAAATATCTCAACATAATTTTTATCAAGTTCTGATTTTTTGCTTGATTTTAATAAATATTATTTCTGTAATTATTTATTTATAATTTAATTTAAAGTCAACTTTTTCAGTTATTTATAATTTAAAAATTTCCATATACATACATACAAAAGACCTTCATACAAATTTGTCTAATTTATTGAATGATTGATTAGGTTATTTTATTTGTTTTTTGAAAAAGTTTAGATATTTATTTTTAGATACATACTATATTCTTATAGTTTTTTCAATTCAAAATAACTTATTAATATTTATATTTAATGGAGAAATATGAGTAATTAGATTCTTTATATGCAAAAGTCTTTTTCATTTTGCAACAATTATTAAAAGCAGAAATAATTACTCAATATGAGAAAGATCAGTTTAAGGGTATTTTATATTAATACTATAAAGACTTTATAATTTAAAACGACTAATCTATTAAAAATTTAATTGTAGTGGATAGTTATCAAGAACTGTTTGAAAATATTTAAGAATTTATTTATAAAAAAAGGGGTAATTTAGAAGGTTTGTCTGATTTTGAAGACGATGATTCAACTAGCAAAAGTTTGAAGCATTATTTAAGAAACAAATTAAAACTGGAATTAAAATAGAGTAATTTTAATTTAGCACTAAAGAAAATTTGATAATATAATTAAATGTCTTATGTTTATGCGATTACATATATAAATTGTTTACATTCCTGTAAGTAATCTCATGGTTACAAGCCATTCTACAATAATTAATTATTGTAAAATGCAGAGAGTTAGTTCCAATTTTACAATTAATTAATCTAATCTTAATAATTAGATTAACATGGTAACTGATATATAAATTATTATTATGGAGAGACAAATCCTACATATGGATTCATCATTTGATATATTGGATATTGATTGATTACATATGGTTATTATGATATGTTGAATTACGATTATTTATTTTGTTATAAATTTTGAATTTGATTTTAATTTTAAATAACATTTGGACTTGATTAAGTTGAGAGTAAAATATTTTAGTATTATTGCAATACATTAGAATTATTGATCATTTAGACATCTTAATTTACTAAATATTTGAATTAAGGTTATTAAGGAATAGATGAATTAAAATCATTCTGATCAAATTTTAATAAATTTTCTTCTTTAATATTAGTAACTTGATTATTCAAAAGTGAGTTAGCATTTTATAATACTTATTATAATAATAAATATTATACCAGAATTATTCTCATTATTGTGATCCTAATTAGAACAATCTAATTTTAAACTATTTTCATCATTTTTTTTATTTAGTTTTGATCTGGTAATTATTTAAAAATTCTATGAATTCACTTCCTAAACCTAAATTTTTTTTTGTTTTTGATCATCCTTTGTTTATCTAGGTAATTTTCTTCTTTTTTAAAGTTTAATTTTTTCATCATCAGAGGAGATATCAGAATTCTCTTCATATTCATCATCATCAGAATCAACAATATCACATTGATATCGTCTCTTTAGGTTGGCATAAAACCTATTTTTCACCATATTTTCCTAAGTCTATAATAATATGATAATTACAGGTCTTCCATTTAAAAAACTTGATATATAACTCCATTTAGTTCCAAATTTCCTATATAATTTTAGTATCATTTTATCCTCCTCTTCTGTCCACTTATCTTAATTTATTGTCCCTTATAATTAATTCAAATAACGTTCTCTAACTTATTTTCCTGTTCTCCAATTCATTACTGTACAGATCTTACTCCATTTTTTTCCAAATTTTTTAACTAATTCTTTCAACTATTCATCTTCTTAAGGTGACCATAATTATCTACTAGGATTCTATGTTTTAATAATGTACATACTTAATCTGGATGGAGCTATTGCCATTTATACATACATTCTAATGGTGTAGGACCATTTAATTAAGCACTTATTGATTTCCAATTCCCTTATTGCAAGACATAAAGCTCCTTAAGTTTATCTTCAATTTTTGGAATCCATACAAATTTTGTCTAATGCAACATCAATGTTATGTAATTACATCATTTTAGACTTCTTAAGGCCCATTTTCTTATATTTAGTCGGATGCAACATTCATTTTATAGGCAGAAATTATTTTAAATATATTATCAAAAATATTATCCATCTTCTTAACCTTTTATACATTAAATATGATGAAATAATATAATTTGTATCTTAATTAAACTTTTGTTAAAAAAAATTCACTAAAACACTGCAATCTATCAATATGCAACCTTAAATCCAGATTCCATTAAGATCAACGTTATAGATTCATCTGAGTAGTAAATACTACAGAATCTCTAAAGTTAATTCTACTTTTTTACTAGAATAATCCACTTAAGAATTATTAAATATAATCATTTATGATAATGTGTAAGTAGTGTAAAAGCACTTGCCGTTAAATAATAGAACATAGTCATTATATTTTTATTTCACAAAATGGAGTAAATTCAAAAATTTAACCAATTTTTATTTAAAGTTTACAAGAAATTTTCATTTCAATTTTCGATACCTACTTTCTTTGTTTATATTTAATTTATTTTATTATATAATTATAATATAAATTATTCAGGCTATTAAAGTTTAAAACTATATTATTAAATTTAAGCTTTGCTATTATTTATTTATCCAACCATAAATATGTCATATTATATAGTACTTTTACACCAAACAAATATTTGTTGATTTTGCAATCATATGATAATAAGTCATTTTTTAATTATATATTGTTTGTTGTTTTACTTAGGTTCTCCTTATATATTTAATTTAATTTAATTTTTTTTTAGCGAGGTTTCAAATTATTTGGAATTCAAACCAATAAAATTAAAAATTTTTCTCAAATTATGGTTTTTGAAATTGATATTAAATTTCATTTTTCATTCTATTAACTTTTTAAGCTTAAAGAGTCTATTTATAATTATTTATTTCAAAAACTTATAAATTCTTTCATGAACTTATTTAGCCTTTTCAATATAGTAATAATAGTTAATGATAAATTTAAATGTAAGGTGTAATATTTTCCTCCTTATCAAATATAGCTTACATCATATTTCAATTCTGATAGCTTATATTTCTTGATGATTGGTGAATAAACAAAAGAGGATTAATTTATGTTATGAAAAAAATTAATCATAGAAATTAATTTCATAATCATTTATTTACACTTATTCTAAAAATAAATATACTAGTATCAACTATAACCTTATTTAGTTAGAAGTAAATTTTAAATCTATAATTAACTTAATAATATATATAAAGGTATACAAATATATATATATAATTGGTATAGAAATTTTGTGAATAATATTAAATAAAATAAAATTTTTAATAAAATTGAGTTATATATCAGTCCTCTAAGTACTTATCTGAGATTAAGAACATTAAATTTAAAATTTAATTTGCCTATGAAGAGTTTATTTACATTTTCTAATTTAAGTACAAAAAATACCTAATAAATTTCTAATGATTTTTGGTAATCAATATAAGCTTATTTATATCTACCTAACTCTTTATGGCAATCAGCACAATTTTTTAGGGTAATAGCTAAATTACCATGCATTTTGCCACATAACTAAGTATATATTTTAATTGATTCTTCAAAGCAATTTACAGCTTCTTCATATTACTTTCTTTCATAATAAGATCTTCCAAAATTATTAAGAATAATTGCAATACTTGCATGACTCTAACCATACAATGCTTTTAGTATTTCTTGAGATTTTTAAAAATATTATTCAAATTCATTAGAATTTTTATTATAAGCCTTAATTTTTCCCAATGAATGATAACAATCAGCAATATCCTAAGAATATTCTCCCATAATTTTTAGATTTATTTCCAAACTTTCAGCAATAAGTTTTTCAGCAGATTACAAATCTAGAATTAATAAAATAATAATACTTTCCTGAGTATTTTTCATTCTTAAATATAGATTTCCTTTTAAATAAATTGATTTAGCAGTTTTTATATGTTAATATCCTAATACTTCAGTCCATATTGTAATAGCTTCTGAAATAGATTTCATAGCTTCATCAATTTTTCCTTCATCAGAAAATAATTATGATAATCCATGTAAAGAATCAGCTACTTCCTAAAAATGATTATAATATTTACAATTGATTATCTTGTAAATAATTCTTCTCTAATTTTAATACTTTCAAATAGCATTTATTCAGCCAAATCATCTTAAAACATAAATCTATAATAATTTCCCAATTATGTTAATGTCATAGCATATACTCCTGTTTATGTTAGATTATGCTTGATCAATAATTTTTAAGCATAATCAAGATATTTAAAGGTCTACTCATAGTAACAACAATAAAAACAACATCTTCCTTTAAATATCATCAATTTTTACCAATTTTAGCATAAGAATTGCATAATCTTAAGACACTCTCTTTATCACATTAAGTTTTGAAAAGTTCTTTTTCTATTTTGATCATATTTATTAAATATTGCATAGCTCGATATACTTAGTTTATATCTATGAAGATTTGAGCAAATCTCTCATAAATATTGCTTTAAAGAATCTTATATAAATGATAAATTATACTAATTCATTTTCTGAGCATTCTTCAGGGTTATTTAATTTAGCATTTAATTCATTTTATAATTTTTCTAACTTGCTTAAACTCTTTTAAAATTGCTATTTCCTTATTAGTATGTCAATTTTCTTAAAATAATCGGTCATCTTGGATAAATAAATTTTATTCAACTTAATCAAATTATTGCTTAATTACAAGCACACATAAATTAAATCAATTAAGATAAATTAAGTTATACAAAATATAAAATCTCAAAATTTTTCAATATCTTATTCTTGAAGAATAAGTTCATCAAGATCCTAAACTAAATTTTATTTTCCTTAACATTATATATTACTAAAATTTAAAAGTTTCATAATAAATTTAGAGACATTTTAATTATGAATTTCATTCAAAAGTTGATGAAATTGTCTATTTTCATCTAAATTTACTAAATCTTAATTTGCCACTATTTTTCGAGTGATTCTAAATTTTTAATTTAGATAAAAATACAATTCGTAAAAAATAATTCCGCAATCCACATAATCCTTTTCCATTGAGAATTCTCTACTAGTAAATGAATTTAAATCAATGTAATCTTTAGTAGATAAAGAATTCATTGATTAAATTTATCTTAAACTATTAATACTATTAGTTTTTTATTATCCGAAATCAATTAAAGTGATTTGATCTAACATTGAACAATAATAAATATTCTCTAATTTGATATTTTAATGGCTAAATTCCTCTTTGTGTAAGTATTCAACTACTGATAGCAAATCCTTTTATAATAGTTAGATTAATACCTTCATAATCTTAAAAATTTGAGCTTTATTAAGTATATTTTTTTTGATATAATTATCCAATGAAGCCCCTTCTATAAATTCATAAATTATATAATTATGGTGAGTCTCTATATAATATTCTCTTAATTTTGGGATATTTTTATGCTTTAAGAATTGAAGGGCCATTACTTCATTTCTGAATACCTTTAATGTGATGATAAAATATACTTGCTCAATTTCTGCTCTTCCTTATTTTATAATTTTGCAAGTGACTAATTCCTCATTATATATGTTTCTCATGCGAACTATCTATAATTATAGATATCACATATATACAGAACCATAATTTCTTTTCTAAATAAATTAGGCAATCTTATAATGATTATTTATTCCTTTAAAACATACTTTTCCATTCATAAATTCCTTCAAAAGCTTTCCTATATGAGGAACAAATTTATATATCGACTTTTTTTTATTCATTGACAATTCAAATGAGATGATATCTGAATTATCATTTTTTATCCACATTATTTTTGGTTCAAATGAGTTAAGTTGAATTACTAAAGAATGTTAATCCTATATAATAATGCTTTTAAATATACGTTAGAAAATTGAATCTCATCCTTTAACATAAAAATGTGGTATTTTTGTATCGAAAAGAATTTTTTTTTGTAGCAGATCATTTATAAATATTTTTTATAAGATATTTTATAAAATAAATCTCATTTGGAACTACTTTCTATTAATTATCGTTTTTCTAATATTGTATAATAAATAATCGGTTTTTTTGTATTTTAAGTCTTTTAACCTGGTGTTTTACAATCAAAATATATTTCTCATATCAATTAATTTTGTATCTAAATAACTCAAAAATTAAGTTTTAAAAACATTGAGACTAAAATTTTATCTGAAATGCTTAAAATATTATAGAATATTTAATCAATAATTTTAAATAATATTGAGTTAATTTATATTTTTGAATCATTTGAATTATATATATTATAAATTCAAGCCTAGAATTCAAAGAATGAGAATTAATTTACATATTAGAGTATATTTATTTATTTTAGTTAATTTATTATCATATTCTTTTAAATAATTCTGATATCATTTTTAAAAAAGACTCTATCAATTGTATTTATTGAATTTAATTATGTTTTTATATTTATTCTTTTTTTGGATATTATAATTTGAGATCTTATTCTTAAGAGTGGCTTTATGATTAAAGATATCATTTAATTAAGAATTGAAAAATTATTACTCAATCATTTAAACCATTAATAACTTTGCTTAAAACCATTGATGTCTATCTGGCTTGTTTGGATATAAATTGCATGGGACCAAGTTTCTATTCAAATTATTCAATTTCATCATGCATATTAAATCTTTTCATTGGTAAAGTTTACACAGATAATTTTTACTCTTCGTCAGCCATGCCTAAATGTAATTATATCTTTTAGATTTATTCTGCTTCTTTAATTATCTGATATTTTATTAAAGATTACGTTTTCATTTATGCGATTGATTGATTAAATCTTATTTTATAACAATAGATTTCCTATTGTGTCTGTTAAATACACTAAATCATCAAATAATGTTAAATCAAATTTATCAATTACTTTTTATTCACCAAAAACATATTGAATTTCTCTAACACAACATAGTTTAGTTATTTCTTGAAAATCAACTAATTCGTCTCCATTTTATTTTAATAATACTTTACGAAGGTTCTTTTTTAATCCAATAAGTTACTTAACAACTTAAAGTAATTTTCTATCATTGTTAATATATTCCTATTATAAAATATGCAATTACTTTTAATTTGTGAAGATTTTCAGTCAGTTAATAAATTTGTTAACTGAATCTGATATATGATTTCAATTAAGGGTTTTAAATATTAATGAACGCACCAATTGATTTTTTTGATGCATTATCTTTTACTCTTTTAAATTTCATGTCTCCATATTAAACAATTTCTGTTTCTGTTCTAACTTTTTTGAATTTCGTTTATTTTTATGTATTTTTTTGAGATCGTAATGTATTAAGATGATCTAAATAATTTTTAATTGTTTTTTCATCTGATGCTGCTGTTCTAACAATTAATTATGGAAGTTTTTGTTTATCATTTGGACTAATTTTTCTCTAAGTAGGTTAATTATAATCAGCGTTTTCAACTTATGATTCTTCATGTGGAGCATTTTTTTCTTAGTTTACTCTTTAATTTGAATGGTTCTTTTGAGATGATCTATAAGTAGTCATATTTTTAGATTAAGGGTTTTAAAAAGGAATTGTTTCATTTAGTTTGAATTCAGGTAAAATTAGATGGTGTTTATATATTAGACTCATAATATAAATAATTGATTTATGTATTTCTTTATTATCTATGTAAATAAATATAAGATTTTTAACCTATTTGAAATAAAATTCTGGTTATTGTAACGATATATTATGATTAATATGTTAAATTAGAATAATTCTTAAAGTTTTCTAGCTCTTAATAGAAGTTTAACAAACAAAAACGTACAAAAATTTATTCATCAAGACTTAAAAAAACTTCGATGAAATAAATAGAATTTGAATGAACTATTAGAAGAGATAAAAGAATTTGCTTAAATCTCTTTATTAAAGAATTATTCTTTTGAAAAAATTAATGAAGTCGATTAAAATTCAATGGAAATGATTAATGAAACTTATTAATTAAAAAAGTTAGAAAGAGAATAAAATTAATCATAAAATAGCAGTAGAATTTTACCAAATGTTCTTAGTAAACAAAAATCTGAGGAATCTTTGGGGGAATTAAAAGATGTAAACATATTAACAAGTATTACTAAAATAAATTTAACTTTAAATGATAACAAAATTATTAGTGATCAAATTATAAAAATAAGAGAAACTTCTTAAACTCAACGAAATCTAAATTCGATAAGAATTATTTAATAACATTCTAAAACATAACCAAGATTTAAGTGTCTAACTAAAAAATTGAAGTTAAAAAAGATAAAATCAATATTGAATTAAATAAGTTACCTTTAATTTGACAAAAATATTATAACATTTAACAAGAAAAGGCATAAGAAAAATATATGTATAGAGAATCTAATTGATAATATGAAAAATGAAAATACAATCTTAAACAAAGATAAATACTTAATTAATTGTAAATTATGATCAAATTTTAGATTATAAATGAATATTTGAATCATGAAACATTATGAAAATAATTTTTGCATTTTTTACATTATTTGTTAGTTTGAGATTTCTCGCATTAAACTAGTTAATAAAAGAATAGTACCAGTCAAACAACTTGAACAAGCATAGGCAATAGGATTAGTAACTTTATTGCAACAAGAACAAAAAGATTTATATTGTAATTCGCTTAATTTTGCTTAAAAGAATCCTTAACAATCCCCTGGATTGAATGATGATAACTATATTTCAAATTAGTATATATACTAAGAGTTCTGCTAAAATTTTATTGAAATTTCTATCCTATTCTACTCTATGAACAATTCCTGAAGTTAATTGTACTCCTAATTTTAATCCTTCATTTCCTAAAACATCTGGTTTAAGTTCACTTTAAGCCTAGATATCAATTTATAATAAATCTAAACGAATTTTTTCTTTGCTTGCATGTGTACATAACTTTAAATATTTATTATAAGATTCTTAACTCAATTAGAAATATTATGAAGTAATAAAAGTTATTTTGGAATCTTTAAATTTTTCTTTGATTTTAGGATCTAAACATTTTTCTTTGTCTTTATTAATTCGACACATAATTTAACATAAGCATTTAATAATTTTGGATTCCCAAATATCATCTACACCTTTTTTTGAAATAATAGAATATAAAGTCTGTAAGACTTATTAAAATTCTTCATTGTATTCAAAACCAGAATTTTGTCCATTTCTATACAATTAATAGATATCATATGTATCAATTGCATAAATGGTAAAATAATTATGAAAATCAGTGCATAATTATAATCCTAAACTAGTCTTTATACATTAGAGTATAGCAACAAAATTCTCTTTCAAAGGTTTAATGAATTTAGAGTTGATGTCCAATATTAAATAGAGTTGATGATTTTACATAAATTAATTTAAGATTATTCGAATGCAACAAGTTCAAGCATTGCCTCCTTAGTTTTTCTAGACTTTAAAAATTTAAACTATCTTGGGATAAGGACATGATTCAAAAGTTCTTCTTGCAATTGAGAACAAGGAAAATGAAAACAAACAATATGCCTTGAAGTGCCAAGCCCAAAAAATATAAGACACCGCTATTAATTTATTCGTATTACTTCCAATAACTTGAAGTTACTAAGAATGAAATACAAATTCTCATCCACATCAAGCATCCCCATATAATTGAACTTTTAGGCTACAGCCAAGATTTCACTTGTCTTGTCCTTCAATATTGTCCAAATGGTACCTTAGTTTAATTGATTAAATCTTCTCCACTTCCAGTTAATATAGCAGCTTCCCTTTTGTATTAGGTGACATAGGCTCTTAATTATATGCATGAATAAGGATTTACACATGGAGATCTCAAATTATCCAATATTCTTATAGATAGTTAATACAACATTAAATTATGTGATTTTGGTTTTGCAAGATGGAATGGCAAAATGCCTATTGAAAAATAAACTGTTGCTGGTAGCGAAGGGTATACTGCACCTGAAATATGGACTCTTAATCCTAATTATATCAAAAGTGATATGTTTTCTGTTGCTGTTATATTCTTCATCTTAATTACAGGTCATCCTCCATTTGAATCTAATAATCCAGATAATTAAGATCCATGGTGGAATTTAATTAAAAATAATCAATGGGAAACCTATTGGAAAGACATTAGATCTAATATTGATTAAGAATGCAAAAATTTATTTGTTTAAATGTTTAGTATCCAACCTGATTAAAGATTGAGTGCCAATCAATTAAACTAATGGTTTAAATTAAAATAAACTACTCAAGAGAATTTAATACAAGTAATCAAAAAAAGATTAGCTGATATGTGATATAAAATCAATAATCTATAATTTATTTTATTTATTCACATCTCTCATTTAATTAATCAAAAAAAACATTAAATTTTCATCATACTCAATTTTTAATAATAACTTTTTTTATTAAACTATATGTAGACTCTAAAATTTATTCTTCCTTAGTATTTGACTATTTAGTTCCTTAAATTATTATCTATTTTATAAAAATAAAAAAAAAAATCAAATAAATTATTCTTACATTATTAATAGAAAAATGAATTATAATTATATTAAATTAAGAGTATAATAATAATTTTCAACTTAATTTTTTTTCCAAATCCTTATAATCTTTAAACTTCACAGTAGACTAAGTTAATCTTTCAGTTTATTGAATATGTGTTCTATTTCCTTTCACATAAATACTCTGCTTAAAAAGTGTGTGTTTTTATTACTATTAAGATGGTATGGGGCTCTGTAAAGAAATTTGATAATCTAATGATTTTGGTTCTGTTGTTTATTTCCTTCTAGTGGTTGCTCTTGATGTAGGTAAATATTCATTATTGATTTTATGAAAAAGTCTAAAGATTTTATTTGACCATTAGATTTTCAATTGTTATTCAGATGGTTTTTTAAGTATTTCTTATTTTACATAATTTTCAAAGAGCTATAATTAAGATGCGATTCTATTATATTTAATGTTTTCACTAAAAAATTCTTCTTCAAAAAGAGCTTTTATCTAAGAAATAATTTATGAAATAAAGAAAGAAAATTCTTCAATTGAGTCCATTGATCTATTAATTTATTTTTTGAGTATATGCTAATCAAATAGCCATTCAATTGATTATTAAATTTCATTTAAATCAAATAACATTACTTTTTATTAAGAATATGATTATATTTACTATTTTAATTACTTTCCTTAAATTATTTAAGAAATTTACAACATGATTTATTTACTTTAAGTATTAAGTTATTCAGTATATTATTATCTTCTATCAATCATATGCTTCGAAATAATTGAAATATATGTTTCAAATAATAGATTACTTACTATTTCATTTTAAGCTTAATGCATAACTTAGTTTATTGTTTTATTGATTGCTGATGCCAATTATTGAAATGGATAAAGGAGTACATTTTGTTCTGAAAAACTAGTTTTTGATAAAAAATTTGATAAAGATTATAATAAAATGATACTATTGTTTTAAATATATTTTAACATTAATAAAGTTTAACCATAAATTTTAGAACTAATATCTTCTGTTAATTAAAAAACATCTGTCTTTATTTATATTGCATCAAAATTAATTGCTTTTTTATTATCATCTAATATTTAATGGATTATATTATCTAATTAATTTAAATACGTGCTCATCATTTAATTTAAATGATATGTATCTTAATGTAGTTTTATAAGTTATTCTTATGTAAAAATATCAGAAAGTATTTTAAGATCTTATTTACATTTAGCCTTAAGATCTTTACTACATATTTCATCATTAAGTTAAAAGGATTTATTGTTTATGATTTGTTCAAATATATTCAGACATGTTTGAGTTTTTAGTAATTTCATAATTTATTGTAACGGCTAAAAATTAATTTGATCATTATGATTTTCAAATACTTCTTCTAAGTTATTTATAATAAAATTTGTTTAAATAGATAAATAAATGTTTTCGATCAACTTCATAGTGAAGGAATCATAAAATGTTGTGGAAAATTTCGTTTTATATTTTTACAATAATTATAATTATTTTTATGACATTGTGTCATTTACTCTTTTATCAATTGAAGAAAAATGCTAAGTAATTCTGCTTTTGATTGTAGCTTCCTCAATTAATCTATTTTCATTTGAAATAGATTAAGTATGCTTTCCAGGTTTTAATTAAGTAAGTGTAGATTAACGATGACTTTGGAGCTTTTTAATAATTGTTAATGTTGGTTAAATTTCAGTCTTTTATTTTTAAGTTTATAATTATTACTCTTTTTACAAGAATAATTAACAAAATTAACGTTTAATTTCTTATTTATATACATCTTTTATTGGATAATTTAAAAATTATGCAATTTCATTTTTCTCTGCTAATCTTTATTTTATTATATCATGATACTTTTATATTTGAGAAAGTTCTTATTGAATTTTTTCAAATAAATTATAACACTGTAACCTACTTAATTCAGCATCTAAAGAATTAGCATAAATCTGAACTTTAAATTTGTTAATCAATAATTAGATAGATTTATTAGTTACAACTAATTTATTACATTAAAAAATTAGCATTCTTAATTTTCTTGGATCAATTTGAGCTTTAATTGTATCTAAATCTTTTTCATAATTTTAATAATGCTATAATTATTAATGATGAAGTCTAGAGCTATCCTAATTTTAAATAAAATCTTTAAGAGGTTAAATAGATATTTTTAAGCAAAATAATTCCAATTCACATTTGTCTACTACTATAAATGAACCCATCTCTATTAGTTATTCAGATAAAATATGAATTAAAACCTTTTCTAATAATTAAGAGAGATTTGACTAAATAAGTTGAGATTAAGAAAAATTTGTGTAACTTCTTCTATTAGATGTGATAAGATGGTTAGTAAATAAATTTTATGGTTTAATACTTTCATCATCTAGAAATTATTGTTATTATTAATCTTAATTATTGATCTCATTATCCATCAAATATATTATTAAAATTTATAATTATCATTAACTCATGAAATAGGCAACAATTATGCATAAAATTACTGCTACGCCAAAAAAAATCAGATCAGATTTATAACTTGCTCTCAAGTACAAGGGTTTACCATAATCCTATAATTTTGGTTCTGATTTTACGGTATTAATCCAGAGCATTTACATCTCTATAAATAATTTTCCTTTTCTCTTTCTAAGATAAATATAAATTTTACAATAGACTTGCGACTATTTATTCTTTTGATATAAATATATCATGATTCCATTTTTCTTATGGAAGGCTATTTAAGAGTTGTTAAACATTTGTTGACTCTTTTTAGGATACATTAAATTATTTTTTATCTTCAAAGACAATTTATTGATCCATTATTTTATTTGTAAAGAATGAGAGATATTCATCAATAATTGTATTGAATTTGATTTAAATTTTAATTTCTGAACATAATTCTTTAACATGTTGTTTAATCAATTTGATTTTATTAGTTAAATTTGAATATTTAGTATTGATTGTTTAATAACTTGATTTGGATTGATTAAGAGATTGGATCACCTAATTTAAAAATACTAATATTTTAGGATTTTCAGGATCATCTTCAAAATAATTCATGGCAACTTAGGCATCAGTTAGTGATGTAATCACTTTTTAAAAGTCATCTATAATAATATCTTCTAAAATTTGTGCTTCTTGAAGTTAATTATCTTATTGCATTAGAAATAAAATATATTTATTTCATTTTATGAACCCTCTGTATATTACTTAAGATGAGCTTCATTAAATGTTTTAATCCCCAAATCAAACAAAAAGAAGTGCAGATTCTATAGTTACACTCGAACCTTAAACAGTAAAATTTTAATAAACATTTTCTAACATTCAAACAAATATAGAAACAATTGAGCAACTGAAAAAAGAGTTGGCAGCCAAGGATAAGTTGATACAAGAAATAAATTCAAAAACTTCTTAATAAATTGAATCCCTTCTCTATTAATAAGAAAAATTAATTCAAGAAAATCTCAATCTCAAAAAAGAAGTCAATACATCAAAAGCTCAACAAAAACACTAATAACAAAAATTAGAACTTTATATTACAGAGACAAAGACGCTCCAATAACTTCGACTGTAAGAGCGAACAAGATACTAAAGAGATATTAGAAATATCGAAAAATTCAATTAATCACTTACTAAGTGAATATTAACATATAATATTTATATTAAAATCAAATTATGAATTAAATTGAAGAATTTCTTAAAAGAATATGCATCAATCCAAATTGATTTATGATTTTATGTTTTTGAAAAAGTGAATAAATAAAAAAGTCAATTTATTTTTTAAAGTGGATTACATTTATCTCTATTTCTAAATTGAAAACTAATGTGTTTGATTGGACTTTTCAGTAAAGGAGCTTTAAATTATTTTTTAAGAGTTTATTAAGATGAAGTTTCTTCTTTAAATTCTTCTTATTTAAGTCCAGGCATATATATTATACAAGGATATGTTCTTAACATTAATCCTTCACTATTTCTTTTTGATGAAAAATTATTATTCCTATTATTTCTAATATTCGGCATGCTTGATCTAGATGATTATTTTGAGCTAAGTTATCTACTTAAATCCACAGAACTTCTATTTAAATATTAATTACTTAAGAGTGGATCGTTATTAATTGAATAAAAATGGTTAATTTTATTATTCCAATTGTTATAATTCTGTTTAGAATCTTGCACTTAGTGTAATAGATTATAAGTTTTTGCATAATCTATTGTTTAAATTAGAACTTTCATTAGTACTTGGTCTAACAGACTGTTTTGCACTACTGATCAACATTATATAATTATTTATATAAACAAATTAATCAAATATTAAATGAAACATATTACTATCTCTAATATATGTATAATCATTAATTTTTACGTTAAATATAAAGAAAAGTAAAGATATTTACATTGTTAATATATGAAACAAAATAGTTAATGTAAAATGAATGTAACATCTTTATTTTGAATAAATATTTTTAGAAGTAATATTGTAAGCAAATATGAAAAGGATTATAAACATTAAAAATAGAATAAGGAATTTATGAATTATATCGTTGAAAATGATTTGATTTTAATTAAATAAATAAAATGAATAGCACATTGAGTTCAGAAGATTTAGATAATGATATAAGAATATAATAAGTATAATAAAGTGCTCCTGATGCAGTGTAATTTTACATAAAAGAAGAGTATAAGGTTGCTATTATTATTATTAGGAATTTCAATAATGATCCATATGAAATGATATAACAATAAGTGATGACATTTCAACCAATTAAAAATAAAGATGATACAAGATGTGAACAAGCATCAAAAGATGGAGGAAAGAAATTCGAAGATAAGAAATAAATTAAGTGTATGAGGTCTGTAGGCACATATGTAATTTAGTAAATTGGACGTAAAATATTATCAGGAGACATGAACCTAACAAAGATTAGTTTTCCAATAAAAGCAATGATTGCAAAATCAGCATTGGAAAAAAATTTGTAATCTACAATATTTTTTCCTTTGTATATAAATAGAGCTGTTCAAACAGTTGATTATATGGAGTAATTGAAATTAGTAATAACTGCTACAATAGCTACATTCCACATAAATTTAAGTTTCCATAAACCTTTGAATCCTATTTTAGGAGAAACAGTTGAAGGTTTCTTATCAGATGGAACTTAATTATATGCAGAATAAATAAGTCATCATCCTCCAATAAGTTAATTTTATGGAGTTGGTAGAGACAATTCTTATAAATATTTTGGGTATGACTTTTAATTATCTAAAGCAATTATTGGTATGAAGCATCTGCTGGAATTAACTCAATTACTTTAAAAAATAAAGGAAAAAGAACTATAGTTTTTAATGGAGGTTAAAGAATTGATTATAATTTTGCTTATGAATTATATAGTGGAACTATTATGGGTTCTATGAAAGTGGAAGTAAATTTATTAATAAATTATTTAGACTCTTGGAGTTTCTACTTATTAGACTAATAAAGGTTTGACAGCTACTTTGAAATTCGGAAAAGTTAAAAGAAAAGCTACTGATTATTTTGAAGGGTCAATAAATATGGGACCATAAGAATTATGTAAAATATTTGGTACTTATATGGGATATATTGAATTTGATGGAATTAGATATTGGGATCATAGATATATGGTAAATATAAATATATTTTATCTAGTATCCACATTAAGTTACAATTAAACCTCCATTTCTTTTATCTGATGCATAATTAAGAGGAGATTATACTAATTTAGCTGCTCTAGATATTGATAAAGCATAAATTGAAAAAGAAAATTTAGAAAACTTATAAAGACATGATGCTAAATTAAGAACTAAATTCAAAGAGATTAGAAGAAAAAAAGAAGAGAAAAAAAAAACCACATGATCATGATTCATAAATTACTATTCATAAATCAAAAATAAATTTTTCTAATCAATTTGTTATTCGCAAATTTGAATGTAACATCCTTTCCTCATCATCATCATTTTCATAATTTTGTAATATATTTTCATTCTTTAATTAACAAGATGAATTTTATAAACTCTATTATTAAGAGTTCTCTTATATAATAGGCAGCATGTTCTACTTTTTAAAATTCATAGTTTGTAGTCTTAATTCATCCTATAATTTTATTTGAGATTCATAAAAATTTTAATTAGCTTACTATTATATTTTTAAAAATTAATCTTCATAATTTGTTTTTTCAGATAATGTAAATTATTCTATTTAAAATTATTAAGATTCATTATATAATTAATTTTTTTCATGTTATGCATTCTTCAAATAAAAACAAAAGAATTTTGATATCAAATTAAAAATAATAGTCAATAAAGAGCATGCTGCAAAATAACATAAAAAAAATAGTAATACATATCCACAAAAATCATAATATGCTTCAATCATAAAACAAATAAATATAAAAGCGATATTATATGATATCCAACTAGCAAATGATTGAACTTTTATATAATAAAATTCCATAATTTTCTCACTTTCATTATTTTTATCAGTATTTATTTTTTCATAAAATCTCATTCCAAAATTTAAAACCAAAAAGTAAAATAAATTACTCAAATATCCTTTTATAAAAATTGACATGCGTGATGAATTTAGGAGCATTAATGTTGCTTTCTCTAAAATTATTATTAAAATACTAGCACAAACTAATAATCTATATGTTTCTTTAACTTTAAAATAGTAATTGAAAACTAAATTTAAAACAAATAATGCCAAAAAGATAAAATTGAAAATTCCCAACCAATAAAATAATATAGTATATTATTAAGAAGCATCTTCCTTCTAATTTTAATAAATAAAACAAAGGTTTTTAATATTTATTTTAGCAAAATACTCAGCAAAATCATTTTTTTAAAAAGATTTACCCCTTTATTAAGCTTCTTTTAATATTTATTCTAGAATATTATTTGTTTCATATGAATAAGCACAATAAATAGATTTTTCATATTCAAGAAACAAATTCAAAACATTTCGATTTGGAGAGGATCCAATAAATTTGAATTTTCCTTAAGCATAGTCATCTACATTCAAAAAAGCTGTTTGTTATAAATTTTCAATTGTATAGGAACAATAGTTAAAAGAACGACTATGAATTATATGTAAAACTAAATTTCCAGTAATATAAATTGGTTCTTTAATTCCTTTTGATCTCGCTATTTTCTATTAACTTGTAAATAAAATAGCAAAAATTAAAAATATAACTACAGTGAAAATAAATAAGGCAGGTATTGACAATTTCAAAATATATAAATAATAATGATCAAATGCATTCCCAAAAAAATCATATGAACTTTAAGCAAAGATGAATATTATTGCACTTATACTAAAGCAATTATTAATGTTAGAATATAAACACATCAAATTTAAGACAATTTATTAAATTATTTTAGTAAAACTATTGATCTACCAATTTGAACTTTATGAGGAATAAGTTTCTTAAAACTAAGAATAAGCATAAATTTTAGAATTTTTTCTTTTTCTTAACGCATTCATATTTTTTGATAATGAAGCACTATAATCTGCTTATGCAACTATATTATCTGATTTTCCAAAAAATAATCCTTTTTCAGCAGCTAAACTTGGTAATATGTAATTTACACCTTATAAAATTATATTCTAAACATAATCACATTCTGATTTAATAATTTTTTATAAGTATGGATCAATAAATTGTTTAACTTTTTGCCAATTATAAAAACAGAAAAAAGGATTATGATCCATTGCAATAGAAAATAATTTATTTGTTGATATATTTTCAAGTTCATCTATTGTCTGATCTAATAAAAATGTATTATCGATATTTAATGGATTCCAAGAAGAAATTTAATTATATAAGATAGTACCTGTAGTTGCACATAAATTTCTATTGATTATAGAATTGATTTATGTTGAAATCGAATCCTTTTATTAGATTAGAGAACATTGAGTAACAAAAAAATAATCAGGATCAAAATATTTACCAATTCCATTATATATCCATCTTTATAAATCATAATTTGATGATTTAAAGTATTTAATAATAAATATTACTCTAGGAAGATTATCTTAATTTTAGTTATATTATAATATTAGAGCATTATCTACTGAATATTAATTCCTTTATATTTCCATTGTTATTAATGTAGATTTCATATGATTCAAAAATAAGCATTCTTTAAGCTTTATTTCTAGTGAATCAATTCCATTACAAAGTATGACTAAATCAACGTTCTGGTCTTCAAATGATTTAATAAAATCAATAATCTAAGATTAAGTTTCATTCTCATAAACACCACAAACTAAGGTTTTCTTAGAAGTACTCTAATAATATTAAACTTACTAAAATGTTTATTAATAATCATTACTTTTTAAGGCATACAATTTTAATCAGGTTTAAAATCTTAAGAGTCTTGCTACAGTTTTATATTAGTTTATAAGAACTTTTAACTTTTTAAATATTCTTTCTATTGAAACTATTAAGTCTTATTTTGGTAACTTTAAACATTATCTTATTTTCTTTTTTTATTTGATACTTTTAAATATTAAGTTCCTAAAAATATTTTACAAGTAGCTTCATATCTATCTTCGAATTGTTCCTACTTTTCGTATTCCTCTTATAACTATATCTTAAAATCTTCAATATCGTTTGCTAAATGCTTAAGATTTCTTTCATTAATTAATTCAAATAAAAATCTATCAGTTTTGATTACTGGTCTTTAATAAGTCTGAGATAAGTATAATTTTTACATATAATGCTAATTTAATATTTTCACACTTTACGATAACTTTAAATGGCTTTAAAATAAGATATTAATTTTACAATTATTTATTCATCAGAAAGTTATATTGTTAAGGGATAATCTAATGGAGTTTACAAGTTAATATCCATTTATATTCTATAATTTAATATATCTTTATTAAAAATTATTTATTTGATGTTTAGAAAAACTTGTTTATTCTATTTGATAGAGATGGAAAAAAAACAATATAATAACTAATAAAATAATAATAATTAATATCTGTTTTTTTTATAGTTTAAGTACTCGAATAGAAACTAATCACTAAGATAAGAGATGTAATAAAAGAATTTGAGTTTAATTTAATATAAGTATATAATTTATTATCTCTCTTATATTCATTGTTTTTTTCTTAAATTTAAAGTATTATTTTAAAGACCATCACAAAATTTACTATTGCTTTGAAGATCTTATTTCCTTAATGTATTAATTTATTCTTTTTATTACAATTATTAGATACAATGCTCAACCTCATCTTAAATCATTAATTATTTTAGTTCTACATTTCAATTACATCCATATTGGCTTAATCAATATCAAGAATTTTCTTGTAGCACAACAAAGATTATTGGTATTTCTTCATTAATTTTAGTACTTCTCCATAACCAAATAATCCTTTAATATGATTAGGTTATAATTCAAGTGCTTGTTTATATTCAACAGAAGCATCATAATTATATTTAAGCATCCTGAGCGCTTCTCCTTAAAAATATAAATTAGAGATACCTTTTCCTAAAGTGATAAGAAATGTTTAGGATGATATTTTAGAGCTTTATCAAAATACATAATAGCTTTTCTAAAATTGTCTTACATTCTCAAACATTCACCTAAAATATATAAAATTTCTAACCTTTCCCCCAAATCGAATTTATATGATTTCGTTTTATTTTTATTCCTTTATCATACCATTCTATAGCATCATAATTTTCAATTAATCTAAAATATTAACCTTTACTCTTTTAAATTTATACCTTTTCCAAATAAACTTTAAAGATGATCAGAATCTAATTCTAATGCTTTATCGTAAAAACTATTAGCTTCTCCATATTTTTATTGATTGAAAAAAAAATACTTAAAATATATATAGAAGATACCTTTTGCTGCATAAATATCACATTGTTTATCACAATTATTTAAAATATATGGCAAAGTCAAGGCCTTATTTATAATAATTTCAGCATCATTTTACTTTTAAAAAGTATTAATACAAAGCCCTAGTATTAATTACAATATTCACCTTTTCCTTTAAGGGCTTAAATTTAATTTGGTTTTGTTATAATGCTTAGTCAAAGTACTTTTAGGATTCTAGTTCTAATTCGATTTCTAATTCTAACTCAATTTAATGTTTAGGTTTAGCTAAATTCTTTTAATAATAATACGTTTTCCTTGAAGTAATGCTTCAATTTTATATTGATGCAAAGCCTTGGCTTAGGATTATTTTTTATTAATACCTTTATCATTTAATATAATTTCTAATTCTTTATTCAGATTAATCTTCTCTAAATTATATAGTTAATAAATATGTACCCTTTTCTTTAAGACGAATTTCTAACTTTTCTTTTATGTGATCTTCTAAAAAAGATAAATAAGCATTATCTATTACCTTTTTCTATGAAACGCTATTCTATTTTTGCTTTTCAATTGAATCTAAAGTATGGAAAATATTGATTCTTAATACCTCTTTCATAAAGACTGGATTCTGTTTTCTATTTATTTAAGATTTTAGCTAGATAACAAATTGAAGATAGAAATACGTTTAGCTAATTTATTAAAATCATCTAATTCTAATTGATATAATGCTTTGGCTATTATTTTGATTAAATAAATTAGTTACCCTTTCCAACTAAGCTTGGAACATGATTTGATGAAATATTCAATGCTCGATCATACCATTAAATTGCTTTTTAATATTTATCAAATATCTATAAAGAGTCACCTTCAATATTCTTTAAAAAGTTACCTTTTCCACCTAATGAATCATCCATATTTGGATCTAGACTTATTGCTGAGTCAAACCAATAAAGTGCCTAATTCCTTTTTTATTATTGCAAAAATTTTTAACCTAAATAAAAATTTTAGACAACCTAAAGCAATCATAGATTTAATGTCATTAGGATATCTTTTGAGAACTTCTTCATAATCTTATATCAGTATTTTAGACATTATTAATTTTATTATACATTATCAATCCTTTTTTATTTTACCTTCTTCAATCAACACTGGGATTTCAGCTGCTAACCAAGGTGCCAACTATTTAATTAATAACTTTATATAATTACAGCTAGTTGTAAGGCATGAACAATTCCAAACTTGGGTGCGTTTTTTTACCATAAAGGAGCAAAATGAATATCAATACAGATTTTGCCACCTCTGTACATTTTAGGTGTCAATCCATCAAGGGATGGAATTTCAATTTCAATTGGGGCTAAAGGATATGTTGGAGGTATCTAAATAATAGTGCTTTGTTAACTTCAAATTAGAAATCAAATTCATATCTAATCAAATTATGAACAACCCAACATTTTCCTTTCCAACTATTTAGTATTTTGATTTAGATTACTTAGTGCATTCTTTGTTAGCTGGTTCTAATTTAACCCAATCATTATCTTCGCTTTTATTATTTTTTATGTAATTGATTAATGCTGTATACTCTTCTTTAAGTCTATCTATCCATTATGGATCTCTGGGCCCTGCACTAATTGAAATAGATGTGGGTGTTGAATGAGCTTACATAATTATTTAATATAAAATATTTCATTTCATCAAAATCAAAATAAAGATTATTAAAATTATTGGCAAACAGTACAAAAGTTATAACTTAGAGAATTTCTTTTAAGCTTGCTATTCAATTTTTGATAGTTTTAGAGATGAATTTTTTTGAATCTTAATTGGAGTCACTAAATTAATTATATTAAAGCATACAATATTATTGAATAGCAGAATTAAGTTTTTCTTTCTTATCATTCAATCTATGTTATTGTTTTTGATTTGTTTAATTTTTCAATATAACTGAAGTTTTGATATTTTATAGTGTATTTACACAATCTGTTATAATTGATTTCTCAGATACTTCGCTCTAAATAAAGTAAAATATTAAAATTTTACATCTGTAAAGCCATTCTTTGAAATATCTGAATACTAAGTTACATATCGTACTCCAGGTAGTGCTTTGAAAGAACCTTTTTTTTCATTTACTGTTATATCTGTACTCTTTTATTAAGGATCATCCTCCTTAAACATTTTCTATCCCAAAATCAATAATTTTAAATTCTAATTCTGAGATTTATGTTTCTTCTCTCCTTTGAAAATTTTAATTGAAGGTCTAGCAACTTATGATGGGCCTTAATTAATCTATTCGAAATATTATTTGAGTTTTTAAGTCAAAAAATGATAAATTTGATTAGCTGCAATAATTTTAGGTTTTATTTTTTCTTCTTCAATTAAAGATTAATCTAAATTCTCACTTATATCAATAGATTTAACTTCTCGAACATCTTATTTTTAATTTTATTAAGATCTTAAATGTAATAAAAATGCGAATTGGGCTTTTATCATCACTTAACTTAAAATTCCTATTAATAGTGAGGTACTGGCAAATTTCATTGCCAATTATTCTTTAGCACTCATTAATTAATTATTTATTTCATGTTCATTTTCATGTTCATGTATATCATTGGAAGTTTCTTTTATTATTTGGTGTTATTAGGAAAACTCAGAATCCAATAAACTTACTTATTAAGAAGGAATATTAGTATTCTATATATATTGTAAAATAAATAGTAAAGCTTCAAATTAAATTGTATTGATTTTCTTATTGATTATTAAATTAATTCGTCTAAACGCCTTTGATTATAAAAGCCTTGATTTTAGAATTCCAAAGTTCTGAGTTTATTTATTTTTAAATAACTGAAATAAAATATTATTAAAAGAGTTTTGCCTGATTTTTAAGTTTTGATTATATTGTAATATATTGAAATATCTTAGAACATGTTTATTGATAATTGATTTTAAAACTAAACAAGGGGCTTTTGAGCATTTTGGTTGAAATTTAACACTTTTCTTTTTTGTTGGAGGTGTCAAATATTAAATTTACCCTTATTAAGGTTTATTTTAAATAGGGATAGAATGAATATTTTATGTCTTTGTTAAAAGTAAAACATCAAAATAATGTTGTAATCTTACAGATTTGATTTTATGGCAGAATCCCAGTATTTTATGAGTTGCAAGAACTATTTTTAATTACGTAAATCTCATGGCCAATTTACAGCTTTAATCTTCCCTCATTTCAGAATACACTTTTAATGTTGCTTTGACAGCAGAGTTTCTAGAAGAACTTTAACTGCTCATACTTAATAGCTAATGCTAATCTGGATTAGTTTTATTTCTTCTTTCAGCAAAATTCATAATAATTTATATTTCAATAATTAAGGATACTTTTTTGGTCTTGCTATCATTTTACAGCTATGAATTCTTCTATTTTGACATTTGTTTGAGAATTAAATGGAATTGAGAGGACTATCGGAACGTATTTTTTTAATTTCTGTACTATTATTTCTGAAATTAACTGAACTATCTTACTTTTAATCAAAACTAGTTTAGGTTTAAATTTATGATCTTCCTTATTCTGTTTTCATCCTAAAATATGATTATTAAGTTGTTAGTCTTGATGTAAAATGATCATTGCTACTACTTGGAATATTTGTAGATCCCTAAGCAAATAAGTTAACAAAAGAGAAGGAACCTTTTTTCAGATCTTTAGATTTAAAACTTGAATGTTAATAAATCTAGTCATTTTATTTAAATAAATCTGAAACAGATGATGATAAAAGAGTTCCTTCTCTCATTGTTTGAGGTTAAACTTTCTCTTTTTTCTTGTTTTATTTAGTCAATTATCTACAAACTCTATCTCTAATTAATAGAACAGAATCTTTCTCCATCGGAAAGATATTTAGATTTTTGAATCCACCCTAATTGGAAATAAAAAACCTACTCTAAATTAATTTATTTTGTTATTATATTCTGTAATCTCTATAATGCTTAAAGCTTTAGGAGAATGTTCTCTAATGTCTTGGCTTTTTGTCTTTATAGAAGTATGGAAGATTTCTTAAATAGTCTTTCTCTCTACTTTTTATTATTACTTCTATATAAGTTCTGGCTTGTTAATAAAATTATTTATTATCATTTCGTATCTTGTTTTCATGTACTCTTTCAATATTTAAGATTTCTCTTTCAATATTTTACAGATTTCTGGAAAGTTTCTTCTTATCTAATTAAATTCTTCAATCTGAATATAATATGCAACAGTATTATCAGCACATTAACAAGTCGACTGTCTTATTTATTGATCAACTAATTTTACATATTTAATATACATATTTCTTCTTGTCCAACCCAACCATTATCACTTAATTAACATAATGTAATTCTAACCTTCCCAATCTTTTTAATTAACTCTACTCTCCCTTTTTATATTAGCATAAAAAATTTAGATTCCTCACCTTCTTTCCATAATATACTTTAAGGAGCAAATTCGATTTTATGCATATATTACATAAATTTTGTTATTACAAATTTACTATTACTTGGTAACATCTTCATAAAATAGTCAACGTTGCTATTCATATCTTAAAGTGATTTCTCACAAATTTGTTTGTATTCTGTTTTATTCATTGTGATTACATGAATATCCTCAGACAATACTAATATACTTGCAGTTCTTGGTTTATCTGTATATAGAGATACATCTCCAAAGGTCTATCCTCCATAATAAGAATAAATCTAACAATCTATCTATTTTAAATACCTTTTAATAGAGGCAAACTCCTCCTTCAAAATATCTATTTGATATTAACCAAGGATCCTCTCCTTAAGCTAATAGTAATTCCATGTCAATTATATTCTGTAATTTTTTACTCTTCCAAACACTACTCCAAGGTTCACTTCTGTTTGTTTCTAAAAGAAAATCCCTTTCTAATTCAACATCATGATTTCCTTTAGGTACCAATACTCCAACATTCCCTTTTAGAATCATAAAACACTTATCTCCATAATCACCGTAATGAAATATAATTTAACCCTTCTTATAATATTCATAAGTCAATGCTTTTCCAGCATATATAATAAAATCTCTTAAACTTGAACCTTCAGGACAATTCTTTTTAAAAAATTCTATAGCCATTAAAGAATCAACAATCTGTGCCATTTGTGATTCGTTGCTCATTTTAATAAACGTTTAAAAACTCTATAATGCTGGAATCAATTGAATTTCAATTTTCTCTCTTTACTCTTAATCATTATTAGATAAAAAATTGATTGATAATCTTACATTGGCTGATGCTCTGTGCATTGACCTTTTANATTTCTCTTTCAATATTTTACAGATTTCTGGAAAGTTTCTTCTTATCTAATTAAATTCTTCAATCTGAATATAATATGCAACAGTATTATCAGCACATTAACAAGTCGACTGTCTTATTTATTGATCAACTAATTTTACATATTTAATATACATATTTCTTCTTGTCCAACCCAACCATTATCACTTAATTAACATAATGTAATTCTAACCTTCCCAATCTTTTTAATTAACTCTACTCTCCCTTTTTATATTAGCATAAAAAATTTAGATTCCTCACCTTCTTTCCATAATATACTTTAAGGAGCAAATTCGATTTTATGCATATATTACATAAATTTTGTTATTACAAATTTACTATTACTTGGTAACATCTTCATAAAATAGTCAACGTTGCTATTCATATCTTAAAGTGATTTCTCACAAATTTGTTTGTATTCTGTTTTATTCATTGTGATTACATGAATATCCTCAGACAATACTAATATACTTGCAGTTCTTGGTTTATCTGTATATAGAGATACATCTCCAAAGGTCTATCCTCCATAATAAGAATAAATCTAACAATCTATCTATTTTAAATACCTTTTAATAGAGGCAAACTCCTCCTTCAAAATATCTATTTGATATTAACCAAGGATCCTCTCCTTAAGCTAATAGTAATTCCATGTCAATTATATTCTGTAATTTTTTACTCTTCCAAACACTACTCCAAGGTTCACTTCTGTTTGTTTCTAAAAGAAAATCCCTTTCTAATTCAACATCATGATTTCCTTTAGGTACCAATACTCCAACATTCCCTTTTAGAATCATAAAACACTTATCTCCATAATCACCGTAATGAAATATAATTTAACCCTTCTTATAATATTCATAAGTCAATGCTTTTCCAGCATATATAATAAAATCTCTTAAACTTGAACCTTCAGGACAATTCTTTTTAAAAAATTCTATAGCCATTAAAGAATCAACAATCTGTGCCATTTGTGATTCGTTGCTCATTTTAATAAACGTTTAAAAACTCTATAATGCTGGAATCAATTGAATTTCAATTTTCTCTCTTTACTCTTAATCATTATTAGATAAAAAATTGATTGATAATCTTACATTGGCTGATGCTCTGTGCATTGACCTTTTACACTTTTATTAAATTATAAAAATATTATTTAGTAAGACAATTTCTAAAGTTAAAAATATTTTAATTGATAAGTCTTTTTTATAAATAAATTGATCAATTTTTTTTTTTAAATAAGTGATAGCATCAATTAAATTAGGAAAATCATCTTTGTGAATTTCAATAACAGATGTTTCAAAACTATCTTGTCTAAATTAGAGATTTAATTCTTATACTTTTCGAAGGAAATACTATCCAAATTAACTGAAATGATAAAAATGACTAATATTACTTTTTTTATTAATCATTAAAATTCATACCTCCAACTACACCAACAACAATGAATAACTCTCCTAATTAATTGACAAGAATGACAGATTTATTAGATTATTTATATCCATTTTCTTTATATTTATCTATAAGGCGAAGAACTAATTTTTATAAGCTTTAAGGACTTTCATTTTTTAAGATTCCATATCTAAAATGTTTACATGGATAGAGTTCATTATCTTCAATAAGATTATTAGTTTTATCAAAAAGAGCAGCTTAGAATTCTAATGTCATTTAAACTCCTTATTAAAATAAATCATCAGATTTACTAAAATAAAATATTTAATAAAATTTAACCTTCCTAAAGTATCTAAGGCATAAAAAAAAATAAATTTTAGAATTTAGCTGCAGTTTCAGAATTAATGCTAGATTTATTATTTAGAGAGTAAAGCTTATAGAAATTCAAGGATTGCAATAACAACATAGACCATATAACTTGCAGCAATTTAAATATTTGTATCAGATTATCGAAAAAAGGATCTAAATAAAATATCATCCATTTAAAATTTAGATGCCACTTCAGCAATTTTAAGATTTCAAAATAGATTTGTATTTTTAATTCATTTATCTAAAGTCTTGTTTTGCTTCATTTAATGGAATACCTAATTTAGCCATAAACTCTTCTAATATTTTATTATCTCTATCCTTCCATAATTTTAGTTTAGTTCTGACATAAGATGAATAATACATAAAATTATAAAGTGATTATTATCTCATGAGTAAGAATTTATATTTATTTTCAATAATGATTCCTCCAATCTCCTCCCTATCTCCTTAAGTTTCTTCATAATGAATATTCAGTCTAATAACTTCATTTTATAATTCTTCAAAGATAATATCATAATTTTTTGAATTCAATCTCATATCAATATAAACATTTGTCAAACCTAGAATTGCATACCACAAATGATCATTACAATCATGACTCATTTATTAAGCTAAAGTATATACAATGGTAGAACTTGGTCTACTATAATAAGTTCCTTAATTATAATAATCTTCATGCATCTAAATGAGTTATTTACGAAGACTTTTTTATAATTTTTGCTATTATTTTTTTTATTTTTATGAATATTGTGATCCTGAATCATCTTCTTCAACTGAGTCTTCATCTCTCTCACTCATTTCTTAAATTTCTTCATCTGGACATTTCTCCGATTATCCCATACCATCATCTATTATATAAATACTTTTTCATTATTCACATTATTATGATTAATTGGTTTATGACTGTCAAATAAAAGAACTTTATATCTCCCTTTACAAATTCACTCATATCATAAACATTTCCACAATTCAATAATATTATACTCTTCTACATATTTCCACATTTTTGTATAACTTCAGTCATCTCAGAATATCCTGATACTGGAATCATTTGAAATTGCAAATTCTCTCTATTTAAAAAGAACTATCCATATAAACTTTTATTATTACTGTCAGAATTCTTAATGCACAAATTGCATTCACATCTTATGATACTATTATGGATACAGATGTTTTCCGAATTCGTTCCTTTTTAAGATTTTTTTAAAGCATTCCTTCATATTATTTAAGAGGATTTTGATCAAAAGGAGGGAATCTTTATTTATATATTATTATTTTTAACAAATACATTATTAGAATTAATTACTATTATTATTCTATTAATTTTTCTCTCTCTCTATCTATTTAAATATCAATCTATATAGAAATTAAAATAAAAAAGAAGAATATTTTATTACTTTTTTTTACATCTAATAGATAAGGATTATAAATATAAATTAATTAAATATTTAAAGTAAGAGAAAATGAATTTAATGCAATTTGATGCACTATGTCATGATTGCTGTTATTCTCAAACAGTTGAAGTATTCTATATATTTATATTACTTTAGAAAAAATAAATAGCTGATTAAACAATTTATCAATTCATAGAAGATATTAGAAATATCGATGGATTGTATTAAATTATTAGCCAAACTTAAGCAGGCACTACATTATTTGTTATCTCTGAATTCATAGCCAAGATTATAGTTTCCGAAAGATAATTTAAAGGATTTTAGGTTGCTGAGCGTTCCTCTTAAGAAGTTCAAATAATTGTGGGTTAATGTTATACTGGTGAAGAAGTGGAAATTTTGTATTAAAAATGCAGAGTATATGAAACTCTAGTCACTCTATTCTGTTAAACTTTGTAAAGAGAATTAGCATCTCATGAATAAAATTCAATATGTAATCTTGTAGGATTACTTATTTAATAAATAATGATGTTGAGTGGAACTTAATTTATGAAATTCTAAGATAGACTTAATATATTTTTTGAAGGAAATTAAATGTATAATCTTAGTATTGGTTTAAAATTGATACAGAATGTAATTTAGAACATCTAACAATATTCATCATATGATTCTTATGTTTCATATAGAAGGATAATGTTTGGATTTCAGAATTAAGAGATTTTTAATTGTTTTGAGATTGTGTGTAGAATAGTAAAGAATAGTCCTCCTTAACTTTACAAATAGTCTTTGAGTACATTAAAGGACATATTAATGTTTAACTTCAATGTGAGTTATTTTGAATTGGAATCTGATTTTGATCCGAATGACCAAAATAATGTTAGTGTAAGAATAGATCTATGACTTATAGTTTCCAGATAGATTTGCGGAATATTTTACAGATTAATAATTCTTAGAATTATTATTTAAGATAGTAGAGACATATTGTAATAAAGATAGTACTTTAGCTATATTGGCATTGAAATCATTAAAAAGAATGGCATCAGCAAAAAAAAAGATTTTTATTAATAAAGATAAAAAGAGATAATTTGCAAGAGAATTATATGCAGGTTGTACATATTTATTTGTAAATGTACAATCCTCAAATGAAGAGATTATAAGTGATATCTTAGAATTAAATACAAAATTAAATAATTGTTTTGGTTTAAGATAAATAAGATTTGATTTTGCTTTTAGTTAGAAATGGCTATATTGTTTATAATCATTTTGTATTTAAATTTTACAAAAACAAATGAAAATAAAAGATCCTCATATGTATTAAATGATAGAATTGCTGAAGAGACTATTAAAGTTCATATCAGATTTTAAATTGGATACAACATTTAAAACATCAATATCATAAACAATAACTGAGATCGGCAAGTCTATTATCCATCTTTTGTTGAATTCATAGAACTCATTCTTTTAAGGTTACACTCCACAAAATCATAAGAAATTAAAGAATACATTAAAAGAATTTTTTGAGAATTTATTTCCAATCTTATCTATAGATTTGGGTAACCATATAAAAATGATATATCATTCATTCAAGAATGCAGCATAAGATTAGGAGAAATTCATAATAGAATTAAGTTTAATTAATTATATAGTGATAAATCCATTAATATTGGATAGATCAACTGAAGACATGATATAAATGATTTAGACAGTCATAAAAGATTCTTTATAATTTTTATCAATGCCTCATACTAATCTTCCCCCACTAGTGATAATGTCAGCAATGTCATTAGCAGATAATTTATTTTAATTTGCTTTAAGTGAATCAGATGAATCTATAGGAAGACAACGATCCAACAAAACCTTTTTTGATACTTGTATTAAACCTATACAAATGCAACCTTAATAAGCAACCAATCAATTACTTCAATATATTGTGATGCAACTATAGATTCAAAATAAGGAAATAATTGAATATGCTTTAGTAATTATGAAAGAGACTATAGTCAGATTAAAACATCATTTATATAATGAATCCTTTCAATCTTCAAATGTGGTTACCTAAATTAAAGGTGTTTTGTTGAATCTAAAAAATTCAGCATTGCAATAAGAATAGTTCTTTAGTTGTAGAACATTAGCATCAGAAATTATATCTATTCTTCTATTTGATTCAGCATATGAAAATTACATAGAATCTATTGTTTAATTAAATTAATTGTTGACAATTTAACCGACATCTTAATCGATCCAAATTTATTTATATGAAATGTTAGGTTATTTCAAACATGTTGATGTTAGTAAGATATTTAGATTACTTATTAAATAACATTTATTAAAAATTGCTGATTTAACTAAATTTATTTTGATTGATAATCCTCAATAATTCCAACTTTGTAAATTATGTCTAAAATTAATGGTAGCAATAACTGAAAATAAGAGTCTTAGATTTTAATATCATAGTTCATCTATTGTTTAAATCGAATTGGTTAGAATATTTCAAGGAATTCTAACTAGTTATGTTTAGCATTTGATTGTTGCTATTTAAGATGAAAAAGTTAAATAAGAATATTCAGCATAAATTTGTAGAATGGTTGGATTGGTTTATAAAATAATGAATAACATTCTCAAAGGTAAATATATATCTCAAGCTTGTTAATTATTATTTGCAGATCGCAAATACTTAGATTTATTAATTGCTATATTAGACATCTCCTTTAAAATATCTAATTATATGATTGTAATCAATTCTTTATCATCTTTAGCTATATAACAAATCCTGTCTACAAATGATTCAAGTTCTCCATGTTGTCAGTTCATAACAATTATAACTATTCGAATTAAGTCCACAGTCTTTATCTATAGTATTAAGCATCGTTGAGAATCTTTAAAAGTTTCTCTTACAGCAATTATCTTAAGAATACAAAACATAGACTACATCATCATATCATTAACCAGCAGATAAAGTTTCATTGGATCATACAACAGATATTGTCATTTCAACACTAGAATTTGTTTCTGAAGAACAATAACTAACATAATTGGGAGTCATCTAATCTTTTGTTTTACCTCTTGATTCAATTATAGACAATATATTAAACGATTTGATTATCTGTTTAATCTAAGGCAAATGTTCTCAATAAACATTCAATAAAATAAACAGGCAATTATTTGCCATTATGTGTACATATTATAAAAACTTTGTTAATGTATTGAGCAGATAATTTGTCAAATCTGAATAATAATTAAATCATGCACTTATTAATGTTTTAACTAGAGATCTAGAGCTAAGAATCAAATAATAAAATGAAGAGTAGTTTAAAAAGAATATGCCCCTATTTTTATCTTAATTTGGAATTATATGAGAATATATTTTAATTTGTTATATTAAATACCTTCATTTTTATTAATAAAAGATTTAATATATTACTTAAAATAATTGATGTCTCAAAATTTATACTAAAAAATCAGAATAAACAAAACATTTCAATTCTTTTTTGATTTAATCATTCTTTTTCTTTAATAATCTTACAATTAAAAATCAGAAATTCTAACTAATTTTAACTTAATCAATCCACATAAAGGTTCTTAAATCTTATAGTGATTGCATCTCTTTCCTTTCTTAATAAGACCTTTCTAATTAGAAACATTACTTATGATAATTTAATCTTATTAAAATTTAAAAAACTAATTTTATTAATATCTTAAAACTGCATTATTTTTTATATAATCTAAACAATTAATACATTTATAGTGCTATCTATAAATATATTTCAAAACTATTTTCGAGTGGCAGGACGAACTTTTCTATCTGGATGATCAAATATTTTTAACTGTTATTCATCCTGTTACTCTTCATTCTTTTTTTCCCCATAGAGGCTTTCATACACCATCGCTTAAAGTTTCTTAAATTTAAAACTAATTTACTGCCATCTTCTCTGTTACTTTAATTACCGATATCTCAGGTTTTATTTTTTATGGTTATTTTTGTTACTCTTTCTGAATCACATCATTTACTTACACTTATTAATTTTATCTATCCTCATTCTAATTTTTAATTAATACACTCTCATTATTCTAAACTACTTCAATCTAAGTATTTTCTTAAATAGTTTCTTATTATTCTTTAATTACTGTCTATTAAGTATATTCTTCTTATTAATTTGATAATTCTTAATACTGTTGTTCATCATCTACATTTGAATCCTCATCTTCCTATTTCATTTAGTGTAATGGAAGCTTTAGAAGCATCTGTCTATTTTATAATTACAGTTTATTCAAAGTTACTAAATGTTCATTTATTTTATTTATTTCTATTTTCACCTCAGGTTTTTCATTCAACTATTAATGCATCACTCTTGAAAACTCTTTTATTGATATATAGTGTATTTCTGCAAAAGCAACCAAATTTTCAACTAATGCTATAAATTAAACAATTGTTTTAGGGTCTTCTATCTTTTCTTCTGCCTTCAACATAGCTCCTAACAATTATTATTTAGCCTTTAATATTCTTTCCCTTTTAAATTCAAAAGTAAAAGTTAATGTTTCATATTCTTATAATTTTTAATAAAAATAAGGTGTTGATATTGAATTTGAATATAACATTTCAAGGGCGCGAATGCTGGCTTACAAATACTTACACTATGATCTCATTGTTACAATACTCTTGTAAATTAAATGCTCATTTTTACATTAAACTTCGCTTAAGTCAACCACTTTAGTTGTAATTGAATATCAGACTTCAATCTTTTTAATAATTGAATTTCCATTTAATTATATATATATATATATAAATAAAGTATGTGTAATAAATCAAAATTGACAACATTCAGCGCCACAACAATTTCTATTTTTTTCTATCATACTTTTTTCCATATGTTCTATATTCAATTCATGTTATCGAGTTTTAAAATTTGTCTTAGCCTTACTCATGTTTCTCTATTATGAAATATGACTCTCTCTAAGACTGTCAATACTTGCATCTAAAGACTGTTTTCTCAGATTAAGTATTTTTTATTTTGGAGCATTTTAAGAAAGACGCTTAGCTCCTGGGATTTGTTCTGAATCACCTATTGAATTTTAAGCACTATGTTTGCTCTAAACTAAATTTTCGTTGACAGGATTAGACATGGACTTATCAAATATATTTTATAAATTAATACTAATGGAGAATCGAATGTACCAAAAAATCCATCAGATTTTTATAAAGGAATATATATACTTTGAACGGAACGAGCTAATTTTCTATCAGTGGAATTCGTAGTTATGGCTGTACTCCTTTATAATTATTCTATCCATTATCTTCTTAAAGAATATCGTTTTCTAAAAATTTTCTATATAATAAAACTACTTCATTTGAACTTTAATTATCGATTAAGTCGAGTAATTGATTTCATTATCAAAGTAATCCTACCATTCTCCTACATCCCCTTCAGGAAGCTTAATGGACACTCTTTATAAATTATTTTCATAGAATTTTAAATATCCTAAAACTATATCACCAAATTATTGCATAGTAACAATTTCATAATAGCGATATTTGATATCTTGAATGAGAGATGGATCTTCATTTTATAAATGTAAATTGTTGGATTGATTAAGTCTAATACTTAATCTATTTCTAGATTATAACCATAATGGATGTTCTTATCCAACTGTATCAAGTACAGCTTACATATCGATAGCAGCTCCCATCACATTTATAAAATCTTTCCAGAGATTTTGAAAACATATTATTTCTGACATTTATTCTGTATATTTCAAATAATATAAATTATAACCAAGATATCAAAATTTATTTGGTAAAAAGAAGTAATTAATATTAAAATTAAAAAAGGCACAATTTTTTTTGTTCTTTTACTGTTCAGAAATAAATTAGTATATTCAATAGTAATAATAAAAGTTAAAGATTTTTTATGTAAACAAAAATTTTGATAAGAATAGATTATAAAATAATTAAGCTAATTTTTATATAAAAGAATGAAATAATCTGATTAATAAAAAACTCATGTATCTAGATCGATGAGTTAACATCTATTAACTGAATAAGATATAAAAAAGATCTTTCCATATACTTAAAGTATTCATAATAGATATTTGGAATAAAATAGAATGGAGAGCATTAGAGATTAATTAAATAATCAATAACAACAATCTATTTCAACACACATAAAAGATCTGATTGTAAAGTAATAATGTGATAATAAAATTGTATATAGGGATAAGCTAAAGCCTCGATTATTACAGCCATTAACTATGTTAGATGAAAGTTGTAATAGAGGAGTTAAAAGAATGAAGAAACTATTATATCATGATTCATAAAATGTCAATTTACATAATATCAATTAGAGAAGAGAAATGGTTCAATTGGCTTAATGGGTAGACATGATGGTTGAATAGGTTCATTCTTTAAAATTAACAGATTATTAAGAATATTATAACAAATTAGAAATAGTTTTTTAAGGTTCAATATTAGAATTGGAAAGATAGATATCAATAGTAGGGTTTGAATTTGGATAATTTTTAAAGAAAATATGGGATACTTTTACAGAAGAAGTTTAAAAAATTATTTTAGGACTTCAACAAAGAAATCAATAAATTGAATAGAAATGCTTAGAAGATATAAATTAACTCCATAAAAATTATTAAGATGCAATTGAAAAATAAGCAGAATCTATGAGAATGATGAAAGAAGAAGCTTTATCTGTCTAAAACTCTATTATAAAAATGAAAAAAGAAAATATTTATTTAAGAAAGAAGGATAAAAGAAGAGAAGAGCAACTGCATGATATAATGAGTGATTTTTGGGATTAGAGTTTATAATTAATAGAATATTAAGGAATTGAAAAATTTCATAAGTAAGCTGAAACTGCTGAAGAAATGGATCTTGTTTTATAATAAAAAGATATGTTTGAATTCTTTAAATAAAAGTTTGAAGTACATAAAAAGGAAATTGAAAATTAATATAAGTAGAAAATATAAAATATTATTTAGAATTCTTACTTTATAAGATGAATATTATGATGGCTCAACTCATTTGATTATAACAGAATCATCTGTAGATACAAGTGATTTAATTAAAACTAGAGATTAGACTGAAGATACATCAGAGTATTACATTTATGTAAGTTCTTCTACTTAAACACCTAAATAAGCAAAAAAAGTAGATGAAGAAATATAAGCTTAACCATGTCAAGGAAATTAAGAATCATAAGTTAATTCCACTTAACTTAGAAAAGAGAGAATTCCAAGAAATTAAACAGAATCTAAAATGTTTAGAAGGGCTAGATTTCCATTATAAGAAATTATATCAGAATTTAGTTCTCTTTATTTTCCTGAATAAGAATTAAGTAGTAATGATCCTTAATTTATTATTATCATGTCTGATTAAATTTTATAATTAAAAGATAGAATTGAAGATTTATTAACTGTTTTAAATTTAAGAGGAGATAATTCTAGTGAAGACATGTTAGCACTCAAATAATATTTACTGTAAAATTATGCTAATTTTAATTATTATTTTAATGTAAACTCTATTTTTTATATCAATTAGTAATGTTGGAATGTCTTATAAACATAAATCTCTGTAGTTATGGATGCTAAAATAGACAAAGAAGAAATGGAACTTGAAATGAAAGAAATTGAAAATAAATTTAATGAAAATGTTGTTTTATTCAAAAAATATCATAATAGAACTAAGGAAAAAGAAACCATTGTAAAATTATTCAATATTTTTAGTCTAAATTTTATGAAGATTCTTTAATCAAGGTTATTAGATATGCTCCATAATTTTTAATTAATTAAATTAAAGAATAAGCTAATTAATATGGAGTTTTAGAAAATGTTGAATTTAAAGAGTTTAAAAGAAGATAAGGTACTAATATTGATTCAAAATAATAATAATAATTATCTATCAAAGATTTAGATTCTCCAACTAGATCTCCTAATAAAACCTTAACAACTCTGAATATTTAAAAGCCTTTGATGAAAATTTAAAAAATACCAAGCTAAATGGAAATATCTAGTAAAGAAGATGATGATAGAGATATTTACAAAAGTGATTCTTCTAAAGGAGGTTCAGGAGATGAAAGTGATGTTTCTTTTAGTTAAATCAAATTGGATTTCAAATAAAGTAAACCAAAATTAACAATCGAAAAGAAATTAAGAATATCTACTTGTCCAGTTAAATCTGCTGTTTATGCAACCAATTTATTAAAATAAAGTATTCTTAATTATTTAATATTTAGTGATATCTAAATTTAATATTAATTAAAGAACTGGTTTATATCAATTAAGCACCATTTTATAAAATTATCATGAATTAATTATGAAAATTCCTAATACTATTTAAAATACTCCTCTTCATGTTCATATGTATGAAAACATTGTAGCTCATTATGGTTAATCATAATTTAGTGATGCAAATAGATATAAAAGAACTATTAGAAGTTTTTTATTTTTTGAAATGAAAAGTAGTACTTGTTAATTAGTTGTTAAATTTTTAAAAGCAGAATATGATATTTAGGATTTAAACTTATATCTTTAAATAGTTTAAACATTATAAGAATATCCAAATGTTTCTTATTCAAAATACATAGACGCCTTACTCAAATGGTTTTCTGATAATAAGTATTCTTAAAGTGAAATTGATAATATTATTTATGATATTTCCACATCAGATGTAGCTTATATGTCAAGTTAATAAGGACCTTGTGATTATGATATTTTGATGTATCATTTTTTAGAGATTTATCAAAAATACAAAAATCGTACCACTATTAAATATAAACATCTATATACTTCTGTTGATCTAAATAATAAGGGTAGTATTGATTTTAGTTAATGGAATTTTTTGTATGAAGTCTTATGTTGTATTAACTATTCATTTTCAATCAGATTGTTTTATTAGGAAGCAGATTATTGTGGAGATAGTGGCAAAATGATGTCAAAATAGAGATTTACATTAGTTTGTGATGAATTAAAGATTTTTTAAGAGGATGATTAAATTAAATTATTAGATAGAGAAACTTATTTTTCAATTAGGGAAAAAATAAATAATTAATGGATGAAAGAAAAGATTGTAATGAAAATGTCATTTATTAAAGCAAGCAAAGTAATAACTATATTTAAATTTAGTATAACAAATTTATTAAGAGTATTTTTGCTGCAATTGATTCTTTTGTGTAAAATCCAAAGAATTGTTAATTTGAGCCAGAGACTATTTGTTATATGTATAAACTATTACAAAAAACATGGAAACCGTACTTTTTAGAATCGCAATTAAATATAGGGATACCAGTAGAGATTTCATTAATTAATACTACTTATAGAAAGATGGAACTGAAAATTCTCAATAAAGATTGAAACTTGACATAATAATAATTATCTCAAAAATAAATTTTATTCTGGATAATAATAATGTATAACAGATCAAATTTCTGAATAGAGGAATTTGATAATGTCTTAATAATTTTATCTGGCTTTATGTCTTTACATTTTCATGGTTTCTGTTAGTATTCCTACTTACATAAATGGTCTAGATTCTAAATAAACATTTTTAATTTATTCAAATCCATTCAGTTTATCTTATTTTCCCTTTGATAAAAATAATAAATACTTATTCAATTGCTAACTTTAAAACATGATCTCTAAGAGTTTTATTTTAACATAATTATTAATGATCACCCTCTATATTATATTCAGTTGCCCATTATTTAAGAAATGTTTATTCTGGAACAATGACACTAACACAATAATTAGATAGAGAATCGCCAAAGACAACAATTTCAGAAATACCTTTAACTCTTAAGTAACAATTTTCAATTTTTTCTGGAGAGACATATTCTCCTTAAGATAATTTGAATAGATTTTTTTTTCTATCAATTAATTTAACAGCACCATCGATAATTTCTCCAATATCTCCAGTACATATCCATCCTTCTTCATTAATTGTTTCTTTAGTAGCTTAAATATTATTGAAATAACTCTTAATAATACTGGGTCCTCTTAAACAGACTTCTCCTCTAATTTTTTTTTAACCATCAATAATTTAATCAACTAAATAATCCATTTCTGGTACACTAATTAATTTAAACTCTTATGAAATCGTTGGTCCACCAATATGACCACAAAGAGGATCATTATAATCTGTTAGGAATGAAGCAGCAGAAGTTTCTGTTTAACCATAACCTTCAATAATTTAACAACAGAATGTAACTTTTAAATATTCTAAAATTTTAGGAGAGATAGGAGCAGCTCCAGTAATTATAATTCTTTATCTACCACCTAGAATAGCTTTTGTCTTAATAAATGCTTCATCTAATTAATCATGTGTTGTTTTTCCTGTAGCTCTATAATAATTAATTTTAGTAGCAAGAGCATATTCAAATTTCTATTAGATTTCAGGTGGTAAAGAATTTATTTAAGTTTAAATTCCTTCATAAAATCTATTAAATATTCTAGGTACCCCACAAAAATAAGTAGGTTTACATCTTTGAATATCTCTAGCTATATTTTATATATTTCCACTATAATAATTTATTTCTGATCCTCCTGATAATGCAGCTAAATGAACAATTCTCTCAAAAGTATGTGGTAATGGTAAATAAGATAAATAAACATCATCTTAAGTAAAAGCAAAATGATCTTAATGTTCAAAAAGTGCAATTGTAGAAGTGAAATTAAGATGACTCTAAATAGCTGCCTTTGGTTCTCCTGTTGTTCCACTAGTAAAAACTAAAGTTAACGGATGTTATGCTTCCAATTCTGGATAAGGTTTTGAAATTCCATTTGCTCTTTTTATAAAGTCATCCCAACTTATAACTTCTTTCTTTTATTCTACTAATGTATTTATAATATTTGGATCTATTGGTCCTATTGTTACTACAGTTTTTAAATAGGGTTGATTAGATTTAGCTAAAAATCCTATTGTACTAGCCTATACAAAACACACACTTTAATTTAATTTATTATTTTTACCTCACTTAAGTTACATTCATTGAATAGGTTATACTCTCAACACCAAGTGTATCATAAAATGGACAAGATGTAAAACCATATAAAATACATGC